CTCGTCCCTGCCTCCCTAACCTGTTCTTCCTCCCACCTATCCCCTCCTCCCACCTCAAGCCGCACCTCCATCTCCTACCGACCAACCTCATCCCGCCCCCTTGACCTGTCCGTCCTCCCTGGACTGACCTATCCCCTTCCTAACTCCCCACCTACACTCACCTTTCCTGGCCCCATCCCCGCCTCTTCGACCTGTTTGTTTCCTCTCCACCTATCCTCTCCTCTATCCCTCTTCTATCCGCCTCCCACTCTCTCCCTATTTATTTCAAAACCCCATTCCCCTCCCCCTTTTCTGATGAAGGGTCTAGGCCCGAAACGTCAGCCTCTCTGCTCCTATGATGCTGCTTGGCCTGCTGTGTTCATCCAGCCCTGCACCTTGTTGTCTCGGATTCTCCAGCATCTGCAGTTCCTACTATCCCCAAAATACAATATTTCCACATTAAAACTACGGTGGGGTCGCAGTTCGTGTGGTCAGAGATCAAGCTGATAGCTGCACTGTTTCTTGTCCCATTTTCATACGTCAGTGATTGGAAGTTTTTAAACTGAAAACAAGCTTCTCGAGTCTACACAGCAGGCCTGTGGAGAGAGAGAGAAGCTCCAACAGCTTGTATTTACATTGCATCTTGTAAAAAGTCCAAAGCTTCAAGGACCATTGCCAGATTAAAAATTGTCACTGGGCCATATGACAATGTTTTGCAATTAAAAACATAGATGACTCTGGCCAGGCAGCATCTGACGAGAAAGAAACAATGCAAATGTTTTGAGTCCAACGTGACTCTCTTTTGGAACTAAAGGGCGATGGAAATATTGATGAGTTTTATGTTATTGTAAATGGAGGGAAGGTCAGGAAGAAAAAATAGAAAATTTAGTCTCTCCTGCCTCTAAATAACAAAGGCAGAACAAAAAGCAAAAGGGAATGGTAATAGTTGTACTGAAGAAGCCAAACGTTGATCCAGAGTAAGTATTAATGGCAGCATGAAGGGGAGGTGGGAGCAGATTGATAAAGTCACTGGACTAGTAATTGAGACACCCAAAAACTAATGTTCTGGGGACAGACATACAGATCCCACCATGGTAGTTAGGAACATTTCAATTCAACCAAATGTTGTAATTTAAAAGCTAGGTCAATGGCAACTATATGGTCATTGTTTATTGCCATTAAAAAAAACGCCTGATTCACTAATTGTCCTTTAGGGAAGGAAATCTGTCATTCTTACATGCACTGGTCTCAATGTGACTCCAGACCTACAGCAGTGTAGTTGAATCTTAAATGCCTTCTGAAATGGCAAATAGCCTAGCAAGCCACTCCATTCAAGGGTCAGTTAGGGGCAGGAAATACATTCTGGCCCAGGCAATGACCCCACATCCGACAAAGTGAATTTAAAAAAGGACTTTTCTGTCCTTTCAGTAAAGCCTGAAAGCAGTAACATGAAAATAAGTTACAGGCTGGCACTTGACAAAAGGAAACAAATTAAAGTAGAAAACATATTATGATCTGAAGTTGAATATAATACTGAGTCCAGAAAGACTCAGAAGATGAGATGCTGTTCATCAAGCTGGTATTGAGCTTCTGTAGAATACTGAAGCAGGCCGAGGCAAGAAGTGTGATAATGTGCTGAAACAGCAAGTGACTGAAGTACAGTGTCATAGAGTCACAGGGATATACAGTATGGAAACACACCTTTCGGTCCAACTTGTCCACGCCGACCAGACATCCTATACAAATCTAGTCCCATTTTCCAGCATCAGTAATGCTTGTGAACTGAACAGAGGTGTTATACAAAACATTCACCCAGTCTGCACTTGATGTTGAACTGTACAGCAGACAGTCTGTGAGCAATGAATACAGCATACAAAATTGAAAGAAGTCCAAGCAAAGCACTGTTTCACCTGGAAGGAGTGTTTGGATCCTTGGACAGTGAGGAAAGAGGAGATGTGATTCCTTCTGTGATTATATGGGAAAAGGAGCTAGTAAGCCAGGTGACCAAAAATCTTTGTCAAAAAAGATAGATTTTAAAGGAGCGTCTAAAGGGGTAAACAGTTTCAAAGATTAGGAAGGGAGTTTCAGAAGTTAGAGTCTAGCCAGTTTACATTTGACCGTTGATGATGGGGTGAGAGAAATTGAGAATTATGCCAGCAGTTATCCCTCACCTAACAATACTAAAATAGATTGTCTGCCAATTATCTTGTTGTTCTTTGTGGGAGCTTACTGTGTACAATCTGACTGCTGTGTTTCCCTACGTTAGTAAAGTGACCACACTGTAAAAGATACTTGACTGGCTGTAAAATACTTTGAGAGATACATTTTTTGAAAAAAAGTCCTGTCCCAGGAGACCATAGATTCAAAGTGAATTTGGGGCATTGAAGACTGATAGATACTTGAGATATTAAGGGATATGGAGGAAACCAACAGGTTTCAAATCAAAAAGATAGAAATCACCATGGACAAGAAAATTGGAGTGTAGTCAATGGGTCAGTTCTGTTTCTGAGCTTCTGTGAAATAAAGTAACAAAATTAAATTTTGTTGGTTAACATTAGCTTTATAACTGAAAACAAAAACAATAGAGGCCAATGATCAATAGGCCAATGATCATCAATATCAATGATTAATATTCTGACCATTTATACTTTTGGGGATGCAATGGCCTAGTGGTATTATCGCTAGACTATTAATCCAAAGACCCAGGTAATGTTCTGGGGACCGGGGTTCAAATCCTGCCACAGCAGATGGTGGAATTTGAATTCAAATTTAAAAAAGTCTGGAATTAAGTTAGTAAGTTTGTCGATGACATGAAGGTTGGTGGAGTTGTGGATAGTGTGCAAGGCTATTGCGGGTTGCAACAGGACATTGACAGGATGCAGAGCTGGGCAAAGAAATGGCAGATGGAATTCAACCTGGAAAAGTGTGAAGTGATTCATTTTGGAAGGTCGAATTTGAATGCAGAATACAGGATTAATGGCAGGATTCTCAGCAATGTTGAGGAACAGAGGAATCTTGGGGTCCATGTCCGTTGATCCCTCAAAGTTGCTACCCAAGTTATTAAGAAGGCTTATGGTATGTTGGCTTTCATTGGCAGGGGGATTGAGTTGAAGAGCCACGAGGTTATGCTGCAGCTCTATAAAACTCTGGTTAGACCACACTTGGAATATTGTGTTCAGTTCTGGTCACCTCATTATAGGAAGGATGTGGAAGCTTTAGAGAGGGTGCAGAGGAGATTTACCAGGATGCTGCCTGGACTGGAGGGCAGGTCTTATGAGATAAGGTTGAGGGAGCTAGCGCTTTTCTCATTGGAGCAAAGAAGGATGAGAGGTGACTTGATAGAGGTGTACAAGATGATGAGAGGCGTAGAAAGAGTGGATAGCTAGAGACTTTTTTCCCAGGGTGGAAATGACTATTACGAGGTGGCATAATTTTAAGGTGATTGGAGGAAGGTATAGGGGAGATGTCAGAGGTAGGTTCTTTACACAGAGAGTGGTAGGTGCGTGGAACGTACTGCCAGTGGTGGTAGTAGAGTCAGATACATTAAGGACATTTAAGTGACTCTTGGATAGGCACATGGATGATAGTAAAATGAAAGGTATGCAGGTTAGTTTGATCTTAGAGTAGGATATTAGGTCGGCACAACATCGTGGGCTGAAGGGCCTGTACTGTACTGTTCTATGTTCTTAAGAATCTACTGGTGACCATGAAATCATTGTCGATTGTCGGAAAAACCCATCAGGAAGAAAATCTGCCAACCTCACCTGGTCTGGCCTATGTGCGACTCCAGATCCACAGCAATGTGGTTGACTCTCATGTGCCCTCCAAAATGGCCTAGCAAGCCATTCAATTTTACCAATCGCTACAAAGAAATGTGTCAAAGAAATGAAACCAGACTGATCACCTGGCATAGACCTGAAAAGACAACGGCAGAAACAGCCCTGTTGACCCTGCAAAGTCCTCCTTACTGACATCTGGGAGCGAGTGCCAAAATTGGAAAAGCTGTCTCACAGACTAGTCATGCAATAGCCTGACATAGCTGTACTCTCAGAATGATACCTCACAAACAATGGCCCAGACACCACCATCACAATCCCTGGATATGTCCTGTCCCACCACTAGGATAGACTCAACAGAGCTGGTGGCACAGTGGTATACAGTTGGGTGGGAGTTTCCCTGGCAGTCCTCAACATTGACTCTGGACCCAATGAAGTCTTGTGGCTTCAGGTTAAAAGTGGGCAAGGAAACCTGCTGATTACTGCATACTGCCCTTCCTCGACTGATGAATCGGTACTCCTCCATGTTGAACAAAACTTGGAGGAAGCATTGAGAATGGCAAAGGCACAAAATGTACTCTTGGGTGGGGCATTTCAATGTCCACCACCAAGAGTAGCTCGGCAGCAGTATTCCTGATCGAGCTGGTCAGTCCTAAAAGACAAAGTTGCTAGATTGGGTCTGCGGCAGGTGGTGAGGGAACCAATAAGAGGGAAAATATACTTGACCTCATCCTTACCAATCTGCCAGCTGAAGTTGTATCTGTCCATGACAGTATTGGTAAGAGTAACCATTGCACAGTCCTTGTGGAGACAAAGTCCCACTTTCACATTGAAAATAACTTCCATTGTGTTGTGTGAAACTCTCACCGTGCTCAATTGGACAGACTTCAAACAGATCTAGCAATGCAGTTTTGGGCATTCATGAGGCACTGTGGGCCATCAACAGTAGCAGAATTGTACTCCTGCACAATCTGTAACATCATGGCCTGGCATATCCCCCACTCAACCAATACCATCAGGCCAGGGGATCAACCCTGGTTCAATGGATGGTGCAGAAGGTCATGCCAGAAGCAGCACCAGGCATACTGAAAATGAGGTGTCAACCTGGTGAAGCCACCAAACAGGACTAATGCATGCCACACAGCATAAGCGGCAAGTGATAGGCCGAGCAAAGCAACTCCACACCATTGGATCAGATCTAAGCTCTGCAATCCTGCCACATCCAGTTGTGAATGGTGGTGGATGATTAAACAACTCACTGGAGTATGAGGCTTCACAAATATCCCCATCCTCAATGATGAAAGAGCCCGGCACATCAGTGCATAAGATAAGGCTGAAGCATTTGCAGCAATCTTCAGCCAGAAGTGCTGAGTGGATGATCCATCTCAGCTTCCTGCAGTCATCCCCAGCATTACAGATACCAGTCTTCAGCCAATTTGATTCACTCCACGTGATATCAAGGAACGGTTGGAGACATTGGATACTGCAAAGGCTATGGGCCCTGATAACATTCCAGCAACAGTATTGAAGACTTGAGCTCCAGAACTTGCCGCTCCCCCAGCCAAGCTGTTCCAGTACAGTTACAACTGGCATCTACCCAACAATGTGGAGAATTGCCCAAGTTTGTCCTGTATATAAAAAGCAGGACAAATCCAACCCGGTCAATTACCACCCTATCAGTAAAGTGATGGAAGGTGTCAGAACAGTGCTATCAAGCAGCACCTACTCAGCAATAATCTGCTCAGTGACGCCCAGTTTGGATTCTGCCAGGGCCTTTCAGCTCCTAACCTTACTACAGCCCTGGTCCAAACATGGACAAAAGAGCGGAGAGTGACAGCCCATGACATCAAGGCTGCATTCAACCGAGTGTGGCATCAAGGAGCCCTAGCAAAAGTGGAATCACTGGGTATCGGGGGCAAACTCTCCAGTGATTAGAGTCATACCTGTCACAGAGGAAGGTGGTCGTGTTTGTTGGAGATCAGTCATCTCGGCTCCAGGACATCTCTGCAGGAGATTGTCAGGGTAGTGTCCTAGGCCCAACCATCTTCAGCTGCTTCATCAATGACCTTCATTCTGTCCTAAGTTCAGAAGTGGGGATGTTCGCCAATGATTGCACAATGTTTGGCACCATTCATGATTCCTCAGATACTGAAGAGTCCATGTCCAAATGCAACAAGATCTGGACAACATCCAGGCTTGGGCTGACAAGTGGCAAGTAACATTCGCGCCACACAAATACCAGTCTGTGACCATCACCAATAAGAGATAATCTAACCACCGCTCCTTGACATTCAAGGTGTTGTCATCACTGAAATCCCACTATCAACATCCTGCGGGTTATTATTGACCAGAAACTCACTTCATAAACATAGTGGCTACAAGAGCAGTTCAGGGGTTAGAAATACGGCTGCGAGTACCACGCATCCTTGACTCCCCAAAGCCTGTCCACCATCTACAAGGGACAAGTCAGAAGTCTGTTGGAAAACTCCTCACTTGCCTGGATGGGTGCAGCTCCAACAACACTCGGGAAGCTTGACGCCATCCAGGGCAAAGCAGCCTGCTTGATTAGCACTACATCCACAAGCATCCACTCCCTCCACCACCGATGTTCAGTAGCAGCACCTTCGAAACCCATGACCACTTCCATCTAGAAGGACAAAAGCAGAAGATATGTGGGAACACCACCACTTTCAAGTTCCCTTCCAAGCCACTCACCATCCTGACTTGGAAATATATTGCCATTCCTTCACTGTTGCTGGGTAAATCCTGGAATTCCCTCCCTAATGGCATTGTGGGTCAACCCACAGCAGGTGGGCTGCAGCGGTTCAAGAAGGCAGCTCACCACCACCTTCTCAAGGGCAACTAGGAACAGGCAATAAATGCCCACATCCCACAAAATGAAAATTTTAACAAAGCATTTTTTTCAATAGAATCTTAACTTCTAATTCACTTGCCCTGCCATTTTAATCTTTGAGAATGTAGAAAAATAAGATGTTTTTTTTAAGAATTAAAATTTTTGCTTACCTTTTTAATTTTATTTTAATGAACCTGTTCAAAGATGTTATTGCACACCTCTGGAGCAGGTGAGACTTGAACCCAGGCCTCCTGGTCCAGAGATAGGAATCTACCACTGTGCTGCAAAGGCCCTAACTTTTCATCAGATATAATTCGTAGACCTGTTCAGTGATGCTGTTATACACCTCTGGAGCAGGTGGGATTTGAACCCAGGCTTATAGGCTCAGAGGTATAGACACTACCACTACACCACATGATCTACCTTTTTAGTAATTTTTTATATTATATATTCGAATCAACTTACTAAGAGTTGTTGTTACACACCTCTGGAGCAGGTGGGACTCGAACCCAGGTCTCATAGCTCAGAGGTACTGAACCTACCATTATGTCACCATCTCCCCTTAAAATAATGAAGGAAGGAGGTAGTTTTTTTAAAACAACCTGTTATGGACAATCTCTGCAATTGATTGAACTTGAACCCAAACCTTTTGGCTCAGATACAGGGATATTGCCGCCGTGCTACAGGCACCTTACATCTTTTAATACTGCTAATTCCTCACACCTGATGGTGCTTAATTTTTCTTACTGCTGGTAATTGCTTGCGATCAGATCACTTTCAGTTTATCCACTAGTACAGTTTCCTAAATTATTACGCTAATTGCTCACTTTTTTGTTCTCTTTTCTATCTCATGAATATTTTTGCATCAACTTGTTCAGAGATGCTGATACATACCTTTGAATCAGGTGGGACATGAACCCTTTTAGTGTGGTGGTAGTGTCCTTTCCTCTAAGCCAGAAGACCTGGGTTCAAGTTCTACCTGCTCCAGAGGTATGCAATAACATCTCTGAACAGGTTGATTAGAAAATATCTGCTTGTTATTGATAAGGGCTCTTGTGTTTGAGTGGTACTGTCTCTATAAGGCTGGATTCAAGTCCGACCTGCTTTTCTGAACAGGCTGATTAGAAAATATCTGAAAGCAGAAAGCGCAAGTGAAACTCAGCCAGTCTGGCAGCATCAGTGTAGAGAGAATCATATTTAACATTTTGAGTCCAATTTGACTCTTCTTTGGAACATGGCTTAATTTATGTAGACTGATAATGGCATTTCAGCTACCATGAATTGGTTATAATTGTTTTTATAAATTACCTTTTGTAAGCAGGGCTGGAGGATACGTTCAAGTGATGCTTATGGCCCTCGTCCTGATGAGTAAGTATTTATTCTCAAATTTAATTTATAACATAGTTATAATTATATCATAATTTATGATGGAAATTTTAACTTTTGTGCACAAAGCTTCTCGTCTTCAATTCCCTTTTACATGAGATGTTAAAACTGTCACATGTTGTTTTCCTCTTTCATCCTCTGAACAGTTGATAAGAAGTGGGGTGATCCAAAATTAGAGGGCATAGGTTTAAGGTGAAAGGGAAAAGATTTAAAAAGGACCCAAAGGGTAACTTTTTCATGAAGAGGAATGAGCTGCAGGATAAGTGGTGGAGGCCAGTACAATTGCAACATTTGAAGGGCATATGGATGGGTATATGACTAGGAAGGGTTTAGACGGATATGGTCCAAATGCTGGCAAATGGGACTAGGTTACATTGGGATGTCTATTCTGTTTGGCATGGACAAGTTTAACCGAAGGGTCTGTTATGTGCTGTATGACTCTCTGATGCTCTGGTATATATATAAAAAGACAAGTTTATCTGTTCATTAGTTGTTGGTGTCACACTTCCATTGGGTCATTCAGGCTTTTGAGACGGACTGATTGTTTTCGCTAAATTATTTCTGAGTTTTGTCATAGCTTTTGGCACTTGGGATATCTGCTCTGAATTTTTTAGCCATATTAAGCATTTACTTTCTCATGGATTCTTGTGTACTCTCACTTTCTCCAGCCATCTCTTTTCTTTCGTCCTTTCTCTGAAAACCAATGCCAAAGGGGTAAGTGTTAAAGTAAATGGGCTGAAACATATGCATTTAAAATTTTATTTCTGCAACTTGTAAGGTTTGTAGACCTGGCTGTCACTACACTACAATGTTTATGATATATAATAAGCCATCAATGTCACATGTGCGTATTTATATATTTTTTATATTAACACTGGCGCCGTTGGCAAAGCTAACATTTATTGGCCATAACTGCCTGACCCTTGACATAGTGGTTGGTCTTCATGTGGATTCCCTGCAGACTGTGTGGCGAAGGTGCTCACACAATCTTGTAGGGGCGAGGAGTTCTGGAATATTGACCCGGCGACAATGGGGATACTGTACATGTCTAAATTGGAATGGTACGTGACTTGGAAGGGAGCTAGGAGGATGTGGTGTTCCCATGCTGCCCTTGTGTTTCAATGTGATTGAAAACATTATTGAGAGAGCTATGATCAAAAAAGCCTTGGTGAATTATGCAGTGCAGCTGATGTGTATTGCACATTACAACCGCATTATGCTTGTGGTGGAGGGAGCAAAATATTTTTCAAGGTGCTGAAGGGGCTTCTGATTTGTACAGTAATTCCCTCAATTGAAAATGACAACAAGATTTTCTTAATTTCAGTGTACCTGCATTAGACTTGAGGAGACTTGGTGATTCAGATGGTGAGGTAAACTATGATTCATATTTTGAAAATGAATTTTTGAAATGCCATTGAGACTTTGCAACAGATTAGAATCTGGAAGTGAGACTCTGTTTGTTCTAAAAATTGCCCAAATAGGGATTGATTTTTTAAGCTGCAGTTCTAAATCCTAAATTCAGACTTCACTCGATGTTTACAGAAAGCTGCTTTCTGAACTATATATTTTCCTTTTTTTTGACTGCACAGTGGAGAAGTTTGAACACACTCAAAATGAAAATATATTACTTCTATGGGAATTATGCTGGAATAATCTTACTTTTTCGCTTTTCTTACACATTTCTGCAACATATTGTATTTTTCATAACCTGAATGTCATGGTTTGTACGGCTAATGCACGCTTTTCGACTGTTGCAATGCGAAAACAGGCCAGTGTGCACTGGTGTTTTAATCTGTAGGCAGCATGTAATCCGATTTCAGTATCCCACGGCCTTTTAATACTCCTGTTTATAAAAGAGAAAATAACTAACTTCAATCTGAAATCTCCATCAGCAGTGGTTTATAGCAGAGAATTCCACATTCTTTGTAAGTACGCTCCCATAAGGAAGTTCTATTACCATGAAGATGTAGTGGAGGTAATTAAAAGGTTTAAATGGAGCTGTATGAACTACTTGCCATTTAGTCCATATATCCCGCAAATTGCATTAGTACCAACTCTGCATGATAATTGCTGTTTGACCATGTAAATACTGAACCTCGTTGAGATTGCTCTTGATTAACACCTATATCAATTTATCCTTGCAGAATGATTTATCTTATACACCTGTTATGAAAGAACATCCTCGCTTAGCGTCTCCGGATTCTACCTCAACTGTTAGCTGGGGTACGCCCTTCCCAGCTCCTTTTCCCCATCGTCGCACCTATCATGAGGTTTGTTTATCATGGAACTGGCTGATTATTGATCAGAGAGTGCACATCCCAGGATTGTTTTTATTTTATCATGTTCTAGCTGTAATAGAATTATAGCAACATACAGCACCGTTATAATTCCAGTTAATGGTAGTACTATCAAGTCAAACTCCAGAGTAAAACGTGACTTATTCGATCATAAGTTTCATTTTGTAAATTATTTATTGTAGTAGTCAGTGGATATATCCATAAGAAGCTGCCAATGTACTTTTGAGGCAAGAAAATCACTTTTATTACATGTAAAAGTACAAACAGCCATCTATTTTACATTATATTAGAATTATTTGAAATGGTCTTATTACAACTATTTAGAACTGAAGATTGAACCCTTTTATCATGAACACCAACTTCACAGATACTCACCTCAACAGTGCATTGATGATGGAGTAATGTTTTGTAGAAATGGTGCCAATCATGTGAGCTGCTTTGTCCTGGATGGTGTCAAAGTTCTTGACTTTCTCAATATTCAGCTTGAACTAATCCCAGAACAGCCGGGGTTAAATTGGGGCTGAGTGTGGGTGATATCCTGTCCTTATACACTTCCACAGAGGAAGATCATGGAACTCAACATAATTGAAATCCAAAAAATCCTAAAGCTCCCACCCATTTATATAAAATAGTTGACAAGAGACAACAAATTAATGACAACACTTCTGCTTTTTCTAAAATAGGGTGAAAATTCATGGTTATATTCAGAGTTTTTTTTTGTGAAAATAGAGTAGTTGAACCTTGATTATAAAACCAGAAAATTGAATGAATAAGTGTTGAAACTCCATTTGTGATTTCCTTTTCTTTCACTGGCTGGTGAAATCACTCCATTGCATTCGGTGTGAAGTGATTATGCCAATGCACCATTAATCCAAAGGCTGGGACAAATGATTCACAGACATGAAATCAGATCCCATCACTGGTGCTTTTACTCAAATCTGGAGTAAAAAATTGTCCTAACAGTGACCATATAACTGCTGTTGATTATTATAAAAACCTATCTGGTTCACTAAAATCCTTTCAGGGAGGCAATTTACTGGTCTGGCTTGTATGTGACTTCAGACCCACAGCAATCTGGTCGACTCTGAACCACGCTCTTGGCAAATAAGAATAAAATGATGGCCTAGCCAGTGATGCTCACATTCCATGAATACATTAGAAACAAAATTAAATCGTTAAACCAATATGGAATAAAAAGCTGATATCTTTAATGGTGACCATGAAACTATGGGATGTCATTAAAAACTATTTGGTTCACTAATGTCCTTTGGATTAGATAACCACCATCCTTGCAATGGTCTACAGGTGTTTCCAGACCAACAATAGTATTGTTGGCTTTGATGAAAGGTCATTGGCCGGAAACATTAACTCTGATTCTCTCCACAGATGCTTTCCAAGATGTTTTCAAATTCTTAACTCAGATTTCCAGCATTGTGCAAAGCAATACTGTGCTTTTGTGTTGGTTAGCTCTGAACCTCCCTCTGAAATGATCGAGCTACAAGCCACTCAATTGTGGCAGAAACCGATATGATGGATTACAGTGATTCAAGCTCGCAGTTCACCACCATCTTTTCAAGTGTAGTTGGATTGGCAATAAATGTTGGATTGTCCAGCGATGTCCACATCCTGAAATGAATAATGAACAAAATAAATCATGTATATTTTCACAATCCCTCCCAAGTTTGCATGTCACAGAAATCAGTACAATTCTAGGACCTATTTGTTCGTTATGTTCTCTTATGTTTTGAATTGTAACATCTGACAGTCAATTTGCACATAGAAATCTCCAACAAACAGCAATATATTAAAAATATATAGATAATACATTTTTTTCTTAGTAATGTTGATTGAGAGAAAAATATTAGCTGGGAACTGGAGATTTACTCCCCTGCTCTTCTCCAAAATCATGTCAAGAATCTTTTGCATACACTTCTGGGGGTGAACAGGACTACTGTCTAAAGTTAACACGAGACTTCAGCCCTCAATGTACCAACTGTCACAGCAGCACTGGTGTTTTGCAAAGAGAAATACAAATTTATATTACCCTTTGTGCAGGAGCGGATTAACGATTCCTGATTTTAGTCCTGGCCTTCATTACTTCTGCATGGACATCTTTCTAAAAGGACTATTTTAACTGAACTGTTTGCATTCAGCCATGTCCAGTAGAAGAGTTGACTATACCCGAGAACCTGCCTGTACCTTCGGAGAGTTACAAGCTGAAATATCAACAGTACAAGGAGGAAATGAAGATGAAATACAAGGAACATACCCAACAAATAACCCAGTGGGGCACATCAAGCTCTTCAGGTCGACAGCCAACACCAGCTATTCTCCAGATGCAGGTACCTTGCCGGAGGAAATGGGGTAGTAGAAAAATTAACCTTTGACTTGGCACAAGTTTATGAAGCTACATCTTCCTGTAGTGAGGAGCTAGAAACTATGGATGAGATTCGGGGCTTCATGTAGAGAAATCACCCAGAATCAGTTGACATGTTAAAGAACATTCGTATGTTAACCTACCTCTCAAGAAGAATGTAGTAAAACAAAGTGGAAGTTATGCAACTATATCGGCTAATGCCTTGGTTACATATTGTGGGGGACCGTTGTCAGCTCTGGACATTGCAACTCAGGAAGCGTACATTGGTCTTGGGTGCAGTAACAATCCATCACAATGACACTGGGGTCAAAAGTGCTCAATTGTGAACATAGATTACACAGTCTAGGCTTGCAATCCACCTGAGTATAGAAGATTGAGTTGTCATCTGATTGAGGTGATTAAGATGATTAAAGCAATTGATTGTTTGGATAGAAAGAAGCTGTTTCCTCAAGTGGGTGAGCCCAATACAAGGAGACAACCTTAAAATTAAACACTTGACGGGTGACGTCAGGCAGCATTCTTTCACACACAGGGTAGTGGAAGTCTGTAAAATGTGATTGAGACTGTGAATTCATCGATAATTTCAAAACTGTGATTGATTATTTTTTGTTGGCTGGTTAAAGGACATGGAACCAAGGTGGATAAGTGGAGTTGAGATGCAGATCAGCAATTAGCCTTAAAAGATTAATACAATTTTTGTATAGTTTCACTGACTGAAATTTATATATTAGCACAATAGTAGGGTTCCCTACCTCTGGACCAGAAGGCCTGAGTTCAAGTTCCACCGGCTCCAGATTTGTGTCATAACATGCCTGAACAGGTTGATTAAAAATATTTATGATAGTCTGTTTGTAAGAGCAAGTGACTTTGTGTTTTCTGTGTCTGTCTGCTTGTCAGTTTCTTTTGTAACTACGACTTACGTTAAACATAGCTTGGATCTCTTAGGAAATATCTACATCTCTTATCAAGAGTAATGTAGTTTTTGAGTCTCATGTTACCGTAACTTGAATCTTAGTATGTCATAAATTATTACTTGTTACTCAAGCATATGCCTTTTCTATCAAAGACATATTGGTGCATAGTCCTTTATCACTTTAATAGACTTGTAGGCTAGTATTACAAGAAGGATGTTGGTGGCAGGAAACGTATGGAAAGTAGATTCCTAGCAAAACCAGGTGCCACCTGCAGGCATCTCTTACAACAATGATATTGTCAGACTGCCAAGAGAAGCTTGATTGAGGCTCAGTGCCTCCTATTGAGTTGATGAATTGTTGTTACATTCTTTTATTTTTTGAATTTCTGCAAATGGCAAAAGGAATCTCCAGTTGGCCACGTGGCTCCTGAAAGCCTGACTTCTCTTGATGAGAAAGCAGCCCTACAGCAATGTTACACCAGCAAGCCATTTTCCATGGGGCAAAGTATGAGGAAGTTGGAAGCAGTGAGTTGGTGCTATTTTACTTTTTTTCCTAATATAAAACAAGGTTTTTCTTTTCTAATTCTTTAGATCTCCATTGCATTTGCCAGCCAGAAAAGCAAACACACGGCCAGTTCTCAGACCTTTGCTGTTTTCCTGTGAGCGCACTGCAATGTGTCTTTTACTCCCTCCAAATTTTCTTTAAATTTTTCATGGAACATTTATACTCAACAAAGCTTTTATTATCGAGAGTGAAAGTATTATTTGTTTCCTTCTCTTGCTGTCATTTTAATTAAGTTATAAGCCATTGGTACATTTTTCTCCTCAGGATGTTCAAGAGGATTTTGCAACCAATGAAATATTTCTGCGTCACTAACCTCCAGACATAAGGTGTCTCAAATAGCAATGAGGTTACTGACCAGTTCATCTTGTGTAGTGGCTTAGGTTGACAGGAACAAATTAGATAGCTTTCCTGCACTTTGGACAAGTTCATGGGATGCTTGCTTTCATCCCAACAGGGAGATGGACTTTCATTTAATTGCCTTGTGTAGAAAACAGCACCTTCAACATCGCCTTGGTCAGTTCTCCCTTAGCACTGCTCTGAAGTATGATTTTTATATACTCCAGCATCTGGACAGGTGTTGAATGTCTAACTAAGCACCTTTTTAACTTAGTAGAGTCATATAGCACAGAAACAGATTGTTCAGCCCACTATGTCTATACTGACCAACAAACACCAAACTATACTAAAACCCATTTACTTACACTTGGTCCATAGCCTACTGTGCCCTGGCATTTTAAGTACTCCTCCAAGGTAGACAAACAGGATACTGGAAGATCACAGCAAGCCAGGCAGCATCTGGAGGAAAGGAGAAGACCCTTCTTCAGGACTGGATGTGGGGATAGGGGGAGCTGCAGATAAAGAGGGGTGGGGATGGGGCTCGGGGTGGGGTGGGAGTGTGTTAGCAGAATGGTGGTGATAGGTGGACACTGGTAGTAAGTACTCATCCAGATCCTCCCTAAATGTTGCGAGAGTACTTGCCTCCAACACCCTCTCAGACAGTGTGTTCCATATATCTAACTCCCTCTGGGTGAAAAAAAAGTTTCCTTAGATTTCCTCGAAACCATTTGTTCCTAACATTTAAACTAACGCCCTCTGATCTTAGACACATCTGCCATGGGGAAGAGATTCTCATGACCTACAGTCTATGGCCTGTCATAATTTTGTATATCTTAATCAGATCCCCTTGCAGCCTCCTCTGCCCCAAGGCAAACAAATCCAGCCTATCTAGTCTTTCCTCATAACTGAGACTTCTCATCCTGGTGAATCTCCTCTATGCCCTCTCCAGTGCAATCACATCCTTCCGATAGTGTGGTGACCAGAACTGCACAGCGTTCCATCTGTGGCCTAGTGAAGGTTTTATAAATAAGACTTAAAATAAAATTTCCTTTTCCTTTATTCTCTGTCCCAGTTCGTGAAGGCAAGCATCCTGCATGCCTCCTTCACCATCCTGTCTATGTGTGCTGACACCTTCAGGGATCTATGGACTTATACACTAATATCCCTTTGTTCTTCAGTCCTCCATAGGGATATGCCACTCAGTGTATATATCCTCCCCGTATTAGACGTCCCAAAGTACATAGTTGAAATGCATACATTAAACTGAGGTCTCCACTTCCCTGTCAGTTAACTGTGAAAGATCCTGAGGCAGTTTTAATCAGGAGCAAGTGAACATTCCAGGTATCCTAACCAATATTTATGCCTAAACTGACATAATTGAAAACGGATTATCCAGTCATTACCACATTGCTGTTTATTTAATTACCCTTGCGGTGCTGTGGTGGTGTCCCTACCCTGAACTAGGAGGCCCAGGTTCAAGCCCCATTTGCTCCAAAGGTCTGTAATAACAACCGTGAACAGGTTGATTAGAGGACAGTCACATTGCTGTTTATTTGAGAGCACTTGTGGTGCAATGGTAGTGTCCCTATCTCTAAGCCAGGAGACCCAGGTTCAAGTCTTACATTGCCCAATAGGTAAGTAATAACCTCTCTGAACAAGTTGATTAGCATTACTGTTTGTGGGACTTTGCTGTGAACAACTTGGCTTCTGCAGTTTTGATATTACAACAATGCCTGATTATAGAAGTAATTAATTAGCTTGCAGAAGTGCATCCTGAGGTGGTGACTGGCACTATGTATATAAGTGCAAGTTTGTTCTTGCTGTGAACCTATGGTCTGTGAACAGCAGAAGTTGGTAAATTTTGTGCAAAGTTCTTGGTTAATTGGCATGGGGATTCATAGTTTAGATTTTTAGAATACAAAGTGCAGGACTCAACATTCGGGCTCTTAGGTTAGAAGAGGTGCAGTTAAAATCACTACCCAATTTAAAATGATTCTAATTTTGTATGTAGGACGACCTTGCTGCAGAGAAGAGAAAACAGGCAGTAGTAGAACAAGTGTTGGTGGATCAGCTTTCCAGGTAAGAAAAAGTCCACCTTGCTCTAAGAAAGACCTGGAAAGAATGTTTTTGAGATAGCATTGCTTCAACTAATAATTCTTTTCAGGTTTTGCTTTGTGCTTTATCTACCTTCCGTTACTGTGAAGGGATGTTAATTCTGTTGCAGTTCAATTTAATCCTTTTAAATGTTTGTAGTAATACTAGTGTGGGTACTTGTGAAAGATAAGTTGAAGTGGCTTTATAATGTGTACAAACACTCTAGAGTTTAAGATGGGTAACACTTGCTCCTGTATATGCAGATACGTATTTCACATTACGTTGGAGCGGTAACGCCAATGTGGTTAGCATTAATTTTTAAAAAATTATTTATTCATGGGATGTGGGTCTCATTGGCAGGGGCAGCATTTATTGGCCATTTCTAAGTGTCCTCGAGAAGATGGTTATTTTTGAGTAGAAATGAATGGTTTGCTAAACTGCTTCATTGCTGTGAGTCTGGAAGTCCAGGTAAGCCAGACTGGGCAAGGATGGCGGATCTCCTGCCCTAAGTCAAGGATTGTAATGAAGCAAAAGGATTTTTGCAACAATCTGGGACTATCTTTTCAGTCCAAATTTGTTTAATTAACATAATTTAAATTCCACAGCTGCTCTGGTAGAATTTGTATTCTTAACTCTTAAATATTTATCCAAGTCTCTGGATTACTGCTTCATAACATAATCATAGCACGTAGAATCCTACAGTGTGGGAACAGGCCATTCGGCCCAACAACTGCACACCAATCCTCCAAAGAGCATCCCACCCAGACCCATCCCCCAACCTTTTCCCTGTAATCCTACATTTCCCATGGCTAACACACCTAGCCTACACATTCCTGAACGCTATGGGTAATTTAGCATGGCGAATCCACCTAACCTGCACATCTTTGGACTGTGGGAGGAAACCGGAGCACTCAGCGGAAACCCATGCAGACACAGGGAGAATGTGCAAACTCCACACAGACAGTCACCCGAGGTTAGAATTGAGCCCAGGTCCCTGGTGCTGTGAGGCAGCAGTGCTAAGCACTGAGCTACCGTGCCACCCATAATCATTCCACTGCTGTAGTTGTATAGAAATATGTGGTTAATATATCTCTCAAATCACTATGCAATGCTTTTAACTTATTCAAACATCCTAAAGTGCTCTTTGAGCATAATCAGACTAAAATTGATATTGAACTATATAATCTTAAGAAACGTAAAAGCTGGACCGAAAAGCATTTTAGCTTCTTAAAGAAGGATTTACAAGAATGGTTCCAACCGTGAAGGATTTCAATCACATGGATAGATTGGAAAAGTTGAGGTTGTACTTCCTTGGGGAAAAGAAGGTTGAGAGGTGATTTAATAGAAGTGCTCAGAATCATGAGGGGTTTGGTAATGTGGACGGAGATATATTGTTCCCATTGGTCGAAGGGTCAAGAACCAGAGAGGACAGATTTAAAGTGACTGGCAAAAGAACCAAAGGCAACGTGGGAAAAATGTTTTGAGCAGCCAGTGGTTAGCATCCGGAATACACTGGCTGAGGATAGTGAAGGCAGGCACAATTGTGGTATCCAGAAGGGAGTTGGATAAGCAGGGCTACAGGTGGAATCTTGGATTGAGGGACGCAGCGTGTACGTGATGGACTGAATGGTCTCCTTCTGTGTATTCTGTAATTCTGATCCATAAATGGAAAAAGACCGAGGCTTAGGAAAGAAACTTAAATGCTTGAGATCTAGATAACCGAAGACACAGCATCCGATGGTTTGGTGAAGGAGGTGTGGTTAGAAAAGATACCAGATTGGGGAGCGTTTTTGGTAAAATTCTACTCCTCCTATAAATAGTTAGAAAATAAACTTTCACAGGTACAAAGAGGATCAGAAATACTATGAAAGTTACAATCCTGAAAAACCTGTAAGGTTTGGTGGAGGGAGGAGAGGAGTTGCAGTGGTGGAGATTACACCCAGAATCTTAATCAATTCTGAAATCCATTTCAACAGACTGTTAGACCATCTTTATTATTGCACTCCAGATGTCAGTTGAAAGTCACCTGTTTGTGATCCATATATGGTGTAATCTGGAAAGTGTGGTGACTCTTGTAAGTAATTAAGAAAAAAAGCAAGAATTCAAAGCTTCTTTTGCTTCGGGAATTTTAAGTAAAGTTTGAGATCTAAGATATTAAGCATTACTTGTCTGCAAATTGTAGTTGTTGGTGGTATTCTCTGTAGTGTTTATTTGGCTGTTGCCCTGTATAATATGGTGGTATTTGTAGGAATGATCACTGCACAGTCAATGTGGGGGCAAAGTCCCTCCACATTGAGGATATCCACTATCATGTTGTATGGCAGGACCAGTGTGAAGTGGGTGTTTTAGACTTAAAAGTGGATCTAGCATCTTAAAACTGGGTGTGCATGAGGTGCTGTGGGCCACTACTAGCAGCAGACAAATTGAATTCAACAACAATCTGTAAAATCATGGCCTGGAATATCCCCCACTCTACCATTGTCATCAAATCTGGTGCAATGAAGGATGCAGGAGGGCATGTCAGGACCAGCACGATGTATCAGCTTGGTGAAACTACAACACAGGACTACTTGCATGCCAGATGACAGAAGCAGCAAATGATAGATAGGCTAAGTGATTCCACAACCAGTAGATCAGATCTATGCTCTACAGTCCCACCACATCTTGTCATGAGTGGTGGTGGATAATTAAACTACTGACAAGTTGTTATACACATATATCTCCATTCTCAGTGATGGGAGAGCTCAGCATGTCAGTGCAAAAGATGAGGCTGAAACATTTGCATCCATCTTCAGTCAGAAGTGCTGAGTGGATGACCTACCCTGGCCTCCACTAAATGTCCCCAGCAACACAAATGCCAGTCTTCAGCAAATTTGACTTACTCCATGTCTAGAAATAGCTGAAGACATTCGATGCTTCAAAGGCCATGGTCTCTGATAACATTACGGCAATAATACAGAAAGCTTAGAGTCATAGAGTTGTACAGCATCCAACGTTTCCATACTGATCGGATATCCTAAAGTGACCTAGTCCCATTTGCCAGCATTTGGCCCATATCCCTCTAAACCCTTCCTATTCCTGTACCCATCCAGATGCCTTTTAAATGTTGTAATTGTACCAGCCTCCACCATTTCCTCTGGCAGCTCATTCCATACACACACCACCGTCTACTTGAAAAAGTTGCCTCTCAGGTCCCTTTTAAATCTTCCCCTTTCACCTTAAAGCTATGCAGTCTAGTTTTGTGTTTCAGAAAATGTCTTGTCCCTAACCAAGTTGTTACTGCACACCTTTGGCACTGATATGTGTACAGTAGTGTGGAAAATTGCCAGATCTATGTCCTGTGTACAAAATGCAGGACAAATTCAACCCAGCACAAAGTAATATGGTTGAGGTTGTTGGAGTCCAAACACCTCACCTCTAGATATCACTGCAGGAGTTCCTCAGGGTAGTGCCCTAGGCCCAATCATCTTCAGCTGCTTCATCAGTGACCTTCCCTCCATCACAAAGTCAGATGTGGTGATGTTTGCTGATTACACATGTTAGGCCAGTCAATGATGCCTATCCCCACATCCTGTAACCAAATAAAATATTTTGAAAATTATTATTTTTGAAAGCTTTTTAATCCTTCACAATATCATTTGGATAGTTTGTCTGCAAAACAATAAGCCACCTTTTATCCTTTCTTTTAATTTTCCTCTAAATTTCTTAGTTTTTCTCACCCTCACTCCCTTCTTTCCATTTTGATCCATCAACTTAACTAACCTTGTGGTCACCCCATGCAATCTTCGCTTTCCTGGTTTACTTAATTTCATAAATGGTCATAAGTGATTCTTCAATGTTTCTCTACATTATAGCCACAATTTTAATAAAAACTATGGATGAATTATCAGGCCACTGTAACATGTGAGTATTTCCTTTCAATAAAGGGCAGTCATCAGTGACCCTGGACAAGATGTAGGCACCACCGATCTGAGTCAGCAGCAAACTATTCTTCCTGGTCTTGGCTCTGCACCCCTGCGCTTTAAAAGTAGAAAATTACATCAAACGAGGTATGTGTTTGTGGAATATTTTAAGACTGAATTGAATTATTTATATATGCCAATTGTGAATGTCATGCATGGCTCAGTGGTAGCACTCCCATCTCTCAGTCAGGAGGTGTGAGGTCAAGTCCCACGCTAGGGATTTGAGCACGTAATCTAGACTCACACATTGTGCTATGCTGAGGGAATTCTACAGTGAGGTACTGTCTTTTGTAGATGTTAAACCAGAGTCTCCATGAAAACTTCTCAGATGGACATTAAAATATCCTATGATAGTACTTTCCACAACAAGCAAATCAAACAGATCGGCTGGTCATTATCACATTGCTGTTTGTGGGATCTTGCTGTGTGCAAATGATTTCCTTCATTACAATGGCGGCTATGCTCAAAAACAGAAGTGTTTAATTGACTATTAGGTTTTTTGGTACCTTCTGAGATTGTCCAAGACAAGTCCAACAGGAACGTTGTCAAAACAAAATTTGACAGGAAGCCATTTAAGGAGATATTAGGACACAGCTCAGACAGAGATAGGTTTTATGAAATGTCTTGAAAGAGGTCATAGAGATATACAGCACGGAAACAGACCCTTTGGTCCAACTTGTCCATGCCAACCAGATATCCTAAATAAATCTAGTCCCATTTGCCAGCGTTTAGCTTATATCCTTCTAAACCATTCCTATTCACATACCTCTCTAGATGTCTTTTAACTGTTGTAATTGTACCAGCCTCCACAACTTCCTCTGGCAACTTATTCCATACATGCACCACCCTCTGTGTGAAAAGGTTGCCCCTTGGGTCCCTTTTAAATCTTTCCCCTCTCACCTTAAACCTATGCCCTCTAGTTTTGGACTCCCCTACCCTCGGGAAAAGACCTTGGTTTTTCACCCTATCCATGCCCGTTATGATTTTATAAACCTTTGTGAGGTCACCCCTCAGTCTCCGACACTCCAGGGAAAATAGCCTCAGACCAGTCAGCCTCTCCTTATTGCTTAAACCGTCCAGCCCTGGCAACATCCTTGTAGATCTTTTCTGAACCCTTTCACATTTCACAATATCTTTCCATTAGCAGGGAGACCAGAACTGCATGTAGTATTCCAATAGTGGCCTGACCAATGTCCTGTACAGCTGCAACATGACATCCTAACTCTTATACTCAATGCACAGACCAATAAAGGCAAGCATACCAAACACCTTCTTCACTATCCTATCTAACTGCGACTCAACTTTCAAGGAACAATGAACCGGCACTCCAAGGTCCCTTTGTTCAGCAACATGCCCCAGGACCTTACCATTAAATGTATAAGACCTGCCCTGATGTGCCTTTCAGGTGCAGCACCTCACATTTATGTGAATTAAACTCCATCTGCCACTTGTTCTTGATTAATCCCTGCCTCTCCAGATGCAAATTAATCTGTCCCTCAGAATTGCTTCCAATAGTTTCTCCACCACTGAATTTGACTAACCGGCCTGTAGTTTTTTGCTTTATCCCTTCATCCCTTCCTGAATAATGGTACCACATTTGCTGCCTGGTGAAAGAAGTAAACATGTAGAAAGATTTAGAAAATTCTAGTGTTTAGGGCTCAGGTGGCTGAAGATCTGGCCACTCTGAAGTAATGATATCTGGGAATGCTCAAGAGGGCAGAGCTGTTGGAATGACGAGGTCTCTTAAAACTCTCTCAAATGTGGATTGATAGTGACACCACTTCATGATTGTGAGATAATGCTACAGCATGTAAGTCACGGGAACAGCCTGAATTCCATCATTGCTTGCATTCTCATTTAGACAGTAGAATTTCTAGCTCAACCCCTCAGTTAGCAGTGATGCTAACTCCAGGGGAGATGTGAGGAATGCAGAGTACCCTGTGGCCATTTTCAGGAAAAAAAATAGAATCATGTTCCCCAAAATGGCAATTAAGGTTATTGTACAAGAGTGTAATTAGAAATGATGCATCACTAACTAACTTCTCCCTCTGCTCCATATGATCTCAGTACACTCAGAAACATGGGGTTTCCAAAAACTGGAAAAGAACTGCTATATATTGGACTGGTCCCAAAGGTCAAAAGATGATTTCTCCCTGTTCCTCTTTATAAATAACACTCAACTTTGGTTTGCTTATACAAATTAAAATTGGCAAATTTCCTTCCCTAAAGGACATGTGTGAACCAGGTGGGATTTTTACAACAACCTGTAATAATCACTGTTAGATTAGTTTTTAATTCCAGATTTTAATGAATTAAAATTTCACCATCTGCAATGGTGAGCCCATGCTCCCAGAACAACATCCTGGAGTTCTGGATTGCTAGTCCAGTGACATTACCACTACACTACTACCACCACTTCCATCTCCTCCTCATGTACTTATCCAGGTTCCCATAATTATATCCAAGTTATCTGCCTCAGTTACTACCTGTGGTAATGAGTCCCATATTGTATCCGCTCTCTTGAGCAAAGAGATTTCTCCTGAATCCACCATTGGATTTATCTTTGATATTTATTGCCTCAATAGGGTAAAAACAAGTTCAACATTGACAGAAAATGTGCTGTCAAACAAGCTGCACTTTGATGCCCGGATTATTTCAAGGTATATTATCTTATCAAATTCAAGTGTTTTTTAAGTGTGTGTGTGTGTCCCCAATATCAATGTATTGTATGTGCTGGTATTTTCAAAGAATGTGAACACCAATTTAAGCAAGAGTTGGATGCTATTTTGGGAGTATTGGATAAATAAATTAGGTTGACCAGAATAGCCTCCCTCATCATGAAGGAAGGGAATGGATTAGATAGAAACTGTTTTGAGTAATTGGGGAGACTAGAATGAGATTCAGGTGGAAGATGTTTGGGACAAAAAGCATAAGAAATGTTTTACCTAAAGAGAAACTGAGCTAATGTTTCTGAGTTGAATGTAACTCTTCTTCATAAATTGTCTAGAGTCTACAGAAGGATGTAGACAGGTTAGAAAGGTTAAATGAGGGGGGATAGTGTCTTGGTATAAAATATAATGTGGGAAAATGTGAGGTTATGCACTTTGGTAGGATAGGTAGAAGAGCTGGATGTTATTTTAATGGGGAAACTGCAAAAAAGCTCTGAAACAGATAAATTTGGGGTTCTAGTACATGAATCACAAAAAGTTAACATCCAAGTTCAGTGGTTAATAGGAAAGGCAAATAGATTGTTGGTCTTTATTTCAAAGGCAATGGAGTCTGAAATGGGAGAGATACTAAACAAATATTTTGCACAGTTTCTCTTTGGATAAGACATTTCTTGTGCTCTCTTTCCCAAACATCTTTCATTTGACTCTCATTCTAGTCTCCTCAATTACTGGAAACAGTTTCTACATAACATGTTTCCTTCCTTCATGATGAGTATTTACTGTAGAGAAAGACATGGAGGCTAGGGAACTTAGGGAAATAAATATCAATGTCTTGAAAACAGTCTACATTACAGAAGAGGACGTGCTTGAAGTCTTAAAACACATAAAGGTGGATGTATCTCTGGGACCTAATCAAGTGTATCTGAGGATGTTTTGGGAAACGAGGGAAGAAATTGCAGAGCTACTAGCAGAGATGGTTCTATCATCTACAGTCATGGGTGAGCTGCTGGAGGACTGGAGGGTGGCCAATGTTGTGCCTTTATTTAAGAAAGGCTGTAAGGAGAAGCCTGGAACTATAGGCCAGTGAGTCTGATATCAGTGATGGGTGAGTTCTTGGAGAGGATTCTAAGAGATAGGATTTATGTACATTTGGAGAAGCAAGGACTGTTTAAGAAAAGTCAGCAAGGCTTTGAGCATGGAAATTGTGTCTCACAAAGTTGATTGAATTTTTTTGAGGATGTGACCAAAAAGCTAGATGAGGGCAGAGCAGTAGATGTTGTCTACATGGACTTTAGTAAAGCCTTTGACAAGGTTCTGCATGGTAGACTGGTTAGTCAAGTTAGATCACATGGAATTCAGGGAGAGGTTGCCAATTGGATACAGAATTAGCTTGACGGTAGGAGACAGAGGGTGCTGGTGGATGGTTGTTTTGCAGACTGGAGCCCTGTGACCAGTGGTGTTCCGCAGGGATCAGTGCTAGGTTTACTATTGTTTGTTACTTATATAAACAATTTGGATGAGAATTTAGGAGGTATGGTTAGTAGGTTTGCGGATGACACCAAAATTGGTGGAATAGTTAACAGTGAAGAAGGTTATCTAAGGTTACAAAAGGATCTTGATCAATTCGGCCAATGGGCTGAGGAGTGGCAGATGGAGTTTGATTTGAATAAATGTCAGGTATTACATTTAGATAAAATGAACAAGGGCAGGATTTATACAGTTAATGTTAGGGCCCTGGGTGGTGTCAAACAGCGAGAACTAGAGGTTGAGGGACATAGTTCTTTGAAATTTGTGTCACAGGTAGACAGGGTGGTTAAGAAGGCATTTAACACATTCACCTTCATTGCTTAGACCATTGAGTATAGGAGTTGGGACGTCATGTTGAGGTTGTATAGGACTTTGGTGAGGCCACTTTTGGAATAGTGTGTACAGTTCTGGTCACCCTGCTATAGGAAGGATATTATTAAATTGGAGAGGGCTCAGAAAAGATTTACCAGCAAGTTGCCAGGACTGGAGGGTTTGCATTATAAGGAGAGGCTGGATAGGCTGGGACTATTTTCACTGGAGCCTAGGAGGTTGATGGGTGACCTTTATAGAGGTTTACAAGATCATCAGGAGCATAGATAAGGTGAATAGCAAAGGTCATTTTCCTAGGGAAGGGGGGGTTCAAAACTAGAAGGCGTAGGTCTAAGTTGAAACGGGAAACATTTCAAGCAGAGGGTGGTGTGTGAATGGAACGAGCTGCCAGAGCAAGTGGTGGAGATGGGTACTATTACAACATTTAAAAGGCATTTGGATGGGTATTTGAATAGGAAGGGTTTAGAGGGATATGAGCCAAATGCTGATAAATGGGACTAGGTCAGATTGGGTATCTGGTTGGCATGGATGAATTGGATTGAAGGGTCTATTTCTGTGCTGTATCTGTATCTGACTAATATCTGGAATGAGCAGATTGTCTTATGAGGGTAGGCTAGACAGGCTTAGCCTGTATCCTCTGCCGTTTAGAAGAGTCACAGTTAACTTAATTGAAACATATAAGATCCTGAGGGAACTTAACTGGGTAAATGTAAAAGCAAAGTGTTTTCTCTTGTGGGAGAATCTAGAACTAAGGGCCATAGTTCAAGTATAAGAGGGGACCCATTTAACACAGCTGAGGAGATTTGTTTTGTGTGAGTTGAGAGTCTTTGGAATCCCCTTCCTCAAAAGGGAACGAATGTAGAATCCTTATAAAATTTAAGGCATGTGTAGATAGATTCTTGCATTGCCAAAGGGGATGAAAGATTATTGGAGGTATTCAGGAAAGTAGACTTGGGGTGAAAATGAGATCAACCATGATCAGATTGAATGACAGAGCAGGCTTGAAGGACCAAATGGCATATTCTTGTTCGATGTTCGAATACTCATTGCATGGTTGAAGAACCTGCCTACTTTGTATGCGCTCTTTCTTTAAACAGGAATGGACGGGATGCGTGCAGAGAACTAATTGGTTTCTTCTTTGCATTTGACAAGTCTGTTACAGTATATGAACATCGTCACTTTGGGAAAAACAGGTATGTCTCCTCCTAGCAGACACAGTAAATAAACATTTAGAGCCACAATTATACTGAATAATCAACTCCTCCTATTTCTCATGTTCTTAACTCAGATTGGATGTTGCACTAGTGTGTCTGATCTGTATTGTTGGTGATCCAGTTCAGTCTGTTTGGGGATGCATCTGGTTTGTTTTTCTCCTTTTGGCCTATGCGATTTACATGTTCATCCAAGACAAATATCTGAGATTGCATTTTAGAAAAAATTCTGAAGTTGCACATCAATCAAATATCTTGCTACAATTGATAGAGTAGGCATGATTGTTGTGATTCAAACTTTTCTGGAAAAACAGTTTATATTTTGTATACAATTTAGCACCTTTCACAACCTTAGGATGTCCCAAAACACTTCATAGCCAATTAAGTAATTTTGAAGTGCATGCATTGTTTTTGGGGAGCCCTGGCAACAATTTCTAACATCTGTATTAATGATTGACATTCAGTAATAAATGATGGCCAAGAGACTGAGAGACCCCCCTGCTCTTCAAAGTTGTGATTTGTGCTCTTTTACAATCACTTCAGGCAGCAGACAGGCTGTTGGCTTAACATCTCGTCTGAAACTTGGCACATTTGACAGTGCTCCCCACACACTGTGCTGCACTGCAGTCTCAGCCCATATTTTCTCTTGGATTCCTTGGAAGAACACTCTAAGCAGATTCAGACTCTGAAAACAGCATAAAAAATGAAAGAACTGTGGATGCTGTAAATCAGGAACAAAAACAAAGTCGCTCGAAAAACTCAGCAGATCAGGCAACATCTGTGAAGGGAAAAACTGAGTTAAAGTTTTGGGTCCGGTGACCCTTCCTCAAAACTTCTGAGGAGATCTTCTAAGGCAGGGTCACCAGACCCGAAACGTTAACTCTGTTTTTTCCCTCACAGATGCTGCCCGACCTGCTGAGCTTTTCCAGCAACTCTGAGAACAGCATGCCTGCACTGAGCCAGAGTTGATTCAAGTGTTTTTTTTCCAATGCTGAACACAAAAGACAGCTGCAAGAGACTGAACCACACCTATCTGGAGAAACCATGCTGAATGCTCAAAATAATCTGTGATAATGTGCCCTGGGCAAACAATTCACCTTTCATTTGTCTTTGGATAATGAGGTCGATCTTCACAATTTACGGCGATCTTCACTATTTAGGCCTATCTCACTTCAGATGATGATTAAAACAAGCCATTTTCAAGCAGGAGAGGTGGCGATGCCGTAGAAGGGCAAAAGCAGCAAATGCGTGGGAAGACCTTTTTTGCGTATTCTCCTCCAAGTCTGTTATGCACCAGACCAAACCTCCTTCAAAAAAATCAAAGAGATAGCCCAGACCTTAACTTTTATCTTATTTAAAGACGTGTAAGGTGCTGTGTCCCAGATGTAATTCAATTAGTTCTACTACTTGGCTTTAAGGAAAACATATTTTATTCCTCCTCTATAGTTAAAATACAAACAAAAGAAAGAAGAATTTGAATAACTTAACTCTATTAGGAAACTTACCAGAATAATATGTTATTTACCTACTAATCAACAACTGTTCCAATACAGTAACATCCCATAAATACATCCTTGGCAAGGCAAAGTCAGTAAAACAGATTGTCTCACATGCGATTCTGGCAGTAGAAAGAGAAAATTTCAACTTTTTTCTGTAACAGAGAGAAACACAGTTGATCTGTCACATGTTCCCTTTGAACTGTGTTATGTAGAATGGGTGTGGCTTCATCTTGCATTCCTAAAAAGTAGAAACATTTCTCAAAGGATGTAAAGACGTATTGGCAATTAGCAGCGACCTGTATATTTAGACTCGGCTTTGATAATGGTGTTCCTTTAACTTTGACTTCCTTAAAGTAAAAATGGGATTTTCTTTCAGGACAAAAGCATTGCCATTCATTCAAAGGGGCATTTACTGTCATCAGCATGGTAGGCGAAAGAGAAGACAGTATGATGTTGGAGATTTCAATGTGGTAGGTAACAGAATTCCAGAACGTTACAGCACAGAAACAGATTATCACCTCTACAATAATTCTAATGTCATGTCCCCTTTTCCAGTTCATGCTGCAATGTATTTATACTAATTCTCTTTTCAAGTAACTGTTCAGTTCCCTTTGAAAATAATCACTGCTTCAACAATGGTTTTACGGCAGATAATTCCATATTTTGGCTTATGTGACTTTTAAAATCTCTGTTATCCCTGGTGCTATCCCAGTGATTTCATACTGTATCTTTTCCATTGCCTTGCTGTTGTTTGCATAGATATGCACAGTGCTCCATCTCCAGGCTAAATAAGAAATAAAGTCTTAAACTGCTCCTGGCATAACTTGAAACACTTTACAGCCACTTTATTTGAAACTTCATGGCTATCTTGACTCAGGAACTGGAGCATTGAATGCATGCAGGAAGCTCTCACAATGTGATCATAGTGATTTAATCTATTTCAACAAGAGTTGAAACATGAAGTAAAGGCCGGGACATTTGGAATAACCTCTCTTCAAAATTATGTCATTGGGACTTTTGGGTTGACCTGAGAAGACTGATAGGGTTGCAGAAGAGGGGTCCAGACCTGAAACGTCAGCTTTCCTGCTCCTCTGATGCTGTTTGGCCTGCTGTGTTCATCCAGCTCTACACCTTGTTTTCTAGGGTTGCACCTTGTTTTGTGTATAAGGTGTTAACTTTTTAAATTCCTTTATTTTCTGCGCCAGGGTACAAATCTAACCTTCCTGACTTCACAGCATGTTGGTCTTCCAGCAAGTATCCAAGAGAAACGGTTATTAATTTTACGGATCATTGAAATTGATGAAATTGCAAAGCACTCATTGCTGTAAGTATTTGAAGAACCTCTTGTTATCTCCAGCCTTTTTAAAAAACTCAATAAAGGAGTAATAAGTCATGACGATAGATAAAGTGAACTCCTCAGATGGTTTTAAGAAGGCTTAAGAATGGGGAGATGACTCTATCCAGGATAGAGTCCAAATTTGATCACCAAAATAGGTAAGCTCTCTGTCACACAACTGAAGAGTCATGGAGCTGCAACAGTAACTCTGTCTAGATAGAGTTGTTCCCTTTTGAAGGCTTTCCTTAAAACCTCCCTGTAAAACACCCCAAAGTCAGAAGTCACATGACACCACATTAGAGTCCAACAGATTCATTTGAAATCACAAGCTTTCAGAGCGCTGCTCCTTCTTCAGGTGACTTCACCCATAATGTAAGAAACTAGACAAAGATATTGTGGTATTGAAAAATCCAGCACATATTTATTACAACTAATTAATACTGAGTACAGTACATTTCATTGGCATGGATGTGTCCTGGTGTCTAAGCTAGTATGTCACAATACACTCCCAGTAGACTAGTATGTAACAACATACTTCCAGTAGAGTGTCATGCTTCAAATCGTCCAAGATAAGATAGAACATGAGATCTTTAAGCGCTCGGGTCACATACTGTAGAGTGATGATTGTATCATGAGCGTGACTTTTTTAAAAGTGTGCTGACCACATCACATAACACAACATTGTCAGGCAAAGATATGGATTTCAGCATGGATACCTGTGTTATACTATGCAGATGGAAGAAGGCAGTCTTGATAGTGAATATGGGGTTTGAAACTCATCTTGGAGTTAAATAGGATGCTCAGGTTCACTTGTGTTATATTGTGTTTTTAATGTAGAAAACCAAGCCACGGTGCTGCAGAAGTCAGATTTGACCCTGGTAACACAATTGTAATGTTACTGGGCTTCTGGATTACTAGGCCAGACTAATGCAGCTGGAGAAGTTATAATTCAATAAGTTAATAAGTATGGAATAAGATGATAGTCTAATTAATAATCATAAATTGATCAAATTATTGTAAAAGCTATCCTCAAATATTGTAAAAATCCATCTGGTACACTAATGTCCTTCAGGGGAGAAATCTGCCATGTTTACCCTGTCTGGCCTATATGTGGTTGCAGAATCACAGTGATGTGGTTGATTTTTTCCCTCTGAAATCCAGTATTAGGTCAGAGTTGCATTAACCTGGTTGAGGAAAAAACTCCATGGGTGTGCCTATACTGCTTTGACTGCAGCGCATCAAGAAGGTGGCTTACACGTTCTCAAGAGATGATGGGGTGGGACATGAAAACTCCCACGAAAAAAATTCAAAAGAGATGAGCTCCACACTGTTAACTCTAAAAGAAGCACTCGTAGTGAGGATTACTATTACATTTAGTAGCTAGCATATGGGAGATCTTATTGGTGGAGTGGGAGGCTACCCTGAGTCAGAAGCTACGGGTTCAAGTCCCACTCTAGGACTTGACGGTCACAGAAGGTGCATTTATGATACATCCAAACACCATAGAACCATAAAGATGGGTCAGTCAGATGGCCTGAACAGAGGTAAATGGAATTTAATCTTGAAAAGATAATGCATTTTTGGTGTACTGATGAGACAAGGGAGGAAAAGTTTGATGGTAGGACACTAGAAAGCACAGAGGATCAAAGGGACCTTCGTGTGCATGTCCATAGATCTTGAAGACAGCAGGACATATGGATAAGGTGTTCAAGCAGGCATACTTGCCCTTATTAGGCAAGGCATTGAATACAAGATCAAGAAGGGTATGATGGAGCTGTATATAATGTTAGGCCACAGCTAGAGTACTGTGTGCAGTTCTGATCACTGCAGGAAGGACATCATTGCACAGAAAGGGTACAAAAGAGATTCATCAGGATGGTGCCTGCACTAGAGCGATTCACGTATGAAGAAAATCTAGATAGGCTGGGGTTGTTTTCCTCAGGGCAGAGAAGGTTGAAGGGGACTTGATTGTGATGTACAAAATTCTGAGTGTAATTGACAGGCTAGATAGGCAAACGTTTTTCCTCTTAGTAGAGGGGTCAATAACCAGGGGCACAGCTTTAAGGTAAGAAGCAGCAGGTTTAGAGGGAAAATGGGGGTAAAACACTTTTCACACAAAGGATTGTGGATTTCTAGAACTCACTGCCGAAAAGGTGGTAAAGGTGGGAGCTCTATTTAGATGAGCACTTGAAACAGCACTTGGCTACAGGCCAAGTGCTGGGAAATTGGATTAGAATAGATAGATGTTTAAGCACGGCCATGATGGCCTGAAGGGCCTTGTTCTGTGCTGCAAAATCTCTATGACTGTATGATTCAGATTGAGTATCAACTGGTAAGTCCTTTCAACACACACACCATTGGCAGGTGGTAAGAACAGGAGATTCCTGGCCAGCTATCCTGAGAAGGCAGTGGCAAACCACTGCAGGATCTTGCCAAACATAACAAGCACCGATACAGAAGTGTACAAAAAAAATCAAATTACTGTGGATGCTGAAGATCAAAATTTAAAAACAACAAAGTGCTGGAGAATCTCCGCAAATCTGGCAGCATCTGTGGAGGGTGAAAGAGAGTTAACATTTCATATCCAATAATGACTCTTCTTCAGAACTCCAAAGAAGTTTTCTGAAAGAACCAGTGTTGTCCCCCTCGCCCTCAATCCCTCTCCACATGTACTGCCAGACCTGTTACAGACTTCCCCACCTATAATCCAGAGCATGTACCTGGAGAGAGAAAATGTGTGCTAAAATACGAAGAATCATTTTGAACTGCAGGTACCATTACAAATGTATACTGCAGTCTGTTTTTGATTGATTTTAAAATACAATTTTTTTTCTCTTAATTTGCTACAGAACTGGCAGCAATCCAGCTTTCACTCAACAAGAGATTGATGACAGAAATACCATTCTATCTGTGCAAGGTGAAAGTCAAAGGGTACACTCATGATGCAAAAACAGTAAATTTCTATATCCAAACTGAATTATCTGCAATGATCATTAGCTGTTATCTTTTATATTCAATAGCTTGTAAATATAGTGTTTATTTTTATCAAACTAAAACCCTTTTAATTATGAAAGCAAAATAATGTGTATGCTGTAAATATGAAGTAAAACCAGAAAATACTGGAGATCCACAACAGCTCAGCCCTAGCAGCATCTATGGAGAAAGAAACACAGTTAATGTTTTGAGCTTGACATGACTGTGATTTAGAATATGTTCTGAAGAAGGGTTATATTGCACTTATTGTTAACTATATTTCTCTCTCGACGGATGATGCCAGACCTGCTGAATTTCTCCAATACTTCCTGTTTTTATTATATTTACTACATTTACTCAGATGCATGTTCAATTTTTTTCCCCATAAATAACCAATCATTGCCTTTTGGCTAGCTTCATCATCTAGGAAGAATTTAACCAATCTTAAGGAATATTTTGCATATTGTGGTGTTGTGACAGTAAAAAGGCTATGAAACCCCACTGCAGACTGTCAAGTTCTTGGCTTTCTGAATTGCTCAAGCAAATTGCTCCTCATTTCTGTCTTAAATGGGCAGATCCTTCGTCTGAGATTATGCCCTTGGTCCTCGTCCCTCCAATAAATGGAAACAACCTCTCCATATCTACCTGTCAAGACCCTAAAAATCTTGTGTTTCAATGAGGTCTCCTCTCATTCTTCTAAATTCCAATGAGTATATGCCCCACCCACTCAACCTCTCCTCATAAGACAGACCCTCCATACTTGGGATCAACCTATTGAACCTTTTCTGGACTGCTTCCAGAATGGAATTGATGTGACTACAAGATCTGAAGTCTCATGAATAGTAGGCAGTGTCTTTGTTTCTGACTGAGAAACTCCGGGTTTGAATTCCAATTCCACCTCCGGACTTGATGACATAGGAAGGTGCGTTCATAAAGTAGCCAAGCAGGTTGAGCATCAACCTCCCAGTGCTCCAACACACACCAACAGCAGTGGTAAGATCGAGAGAGAGTCATTGTCAGCCAATGTTTGGAAAGAACTTTGGAGCTTCTATCATCACTATCCAAAGTTTCAGGCCACGAAGTACGTGAAAAATACATGCTGCTCCTGCAACTCAGACACCGAGTGAACTGTAACACTCCACTAGATCTAACCTGTGCCTTAACTGTTACGAGCAGTTTGCTGATCCTTAGTTGACCTCTCTGTTGTGGTTACAAAGATTCTTGTTGGGGCCTAACCAAGCAACCCAGGTTAGCAATTAAGCCTTTCAACCATATGACTTGTGATTCGCAACTTCTGAGCTGCAAGTATTCTTGATAAATTAAATTGAAACAGAAAATAATCATCTATTGCACACACAATTTCAAATTGAACTTTCTTTTTCTTGCTCAAAAATAAGGACTGATGAAGGAAAAGCTTGTGAAGAGAGGGGTTCGCACGATGACTGGTTTGGTGAAATTTTTTCACCGGCATGAACAGTGTGGAGGTGGTTCGCTGTCGAAAGTGGAACTAAAACAGGGTCTGAAGGAGTTCCACTTGGAGCTAGCTGACAAGGTCAGAACAAACAACAACCCCTCATATTTATTCTGCACTTCCAACTTAATTGAAGCACTTTAGAATATTTAAAACAGATATTTGACGCTGAGCTTCATAAGGAGCTGTAAGGACAGATGACCCACAGTTTGGTCAAAGCTGTAGGCTTTAAGGAACGTTTTAAAGTTGGAGTGAGAGAAGTAAAAAATTATGGTGGGAACTTTTTTTATTCACTCATGTGACATGGACATCTCTGGCATTTACTGCCCGTCCCTAATTACCCAGAGGGAGTTAAGAGTCACATTAGTTAAGGAGTTAGGAGACACATGTAGACCAGACCAGATATGGATGGATATCTGGCAGTTCTTCCTTCCATAAAGTACATAAGGGAATCCAGATGGGTTTTTTTCCTGACAGTGGTTTCATAGTCATCATTAGACCCTTAATTCCAGATTCTTTATTGAATTCATAATTTCACCATGGCAGGATTTGAACCCGGGTCCCCAGAACATTAGCTAAATTTCAGGATTAATAGTCTAGCGATAATACTACTAGGCCATTGTCTCCCCACTGGTTTGGTCAAATATTTTCACGGGCATAATCAGTGTGGAGGTGATGTCCTGCAGAAAGTGGAACTAAAACAGTGTCTACTAAATTGGAGAAGGTCGAGACAGCTGTTGGCATGGCCGCTAGGGGTAAAGCAAAGAAAATCAGGGGTACTATATAGGAGCACAGATACTTTGGGGAAGATTATAGAGAGGAAAGGGACAAGGCCATGGGGGGATTTGAAAATGAATACACGCATGTCAAAATCTAGTCCATTGCCAGATAGGATGCCTTTGTCAGTAAGTGAACACAAAATTGATTGGTAATTGGCACTTGCCAGCAGAATTTTAGGTGATCTCATGTTTATGGAGGGAGATACCAGTGTTTCTTTATGAGCTCAAAAGGTGAATGTAATGCTGCTGCATTGTAAAACTGGAAAGATTAAATGCTATATTGAAATATAAAAGCACATTCTTTTAAACACATTCACATGATATTAGTTTCATAAGCAAAACTGGCATTTATAGACCATACCTAAACTTTTCCACAAGATTTGATATATATGGAAGAGCTTGGAATGCCATTTCAGTAAAAAGAAGAGAGTCGACCCCAATTATTGTAAAACTAGAGTAAATCTCAATTATTGTAAAACTTTAGTCATGAATAGGCCACCTCGATAACAGTGACAGGTTTCCTTCTTTAAAGGACGTTTTCTTGAACCAGTTGGGTTCTTTGCAATGTTTTTACTAGTAGCAGCTCTTTATTTCCATGTTTCCAAGACTGAATTCAAACACTTAAATGGCCAGACTGGGATTTGAATTGTGTTCTCTTGGTCATATACCCATTCTTCCAACATATTGTGATTTACTTGCTATTGTTGTGTGTGTATAGCTGTCGAATCACTCATACATTTCTTGCAAATCATTTGCCAGACACCGACTCCTAAATCATGAGATGCTTCTCATTGAACAGGTAGCTTCAGTTCAAAAGGATGAAATCAGTTTTCAAATTTCAAGTTGTAAATTAAAACAACAACAATGCTTGCTATGAAGGTATAGTTGAATTCTGAAACTTTGTTAGTTTATTAATATAAACATTGGTGCGGCCTGAAAAACTGACCAGAGCTTTTCAAATTTTAAAGTGCAAAACAATCTACTAAATGATCTAAAAGATTTACTTTGACACTAACAAATAATAAATTGTTTAATTGAATTCCTCATCTGGAGGTGAATTTATTTTGTTATCCACTGGAATTCTGGAAACTAGCTCCAAAACTGCATTATTTAGCGTATTGGAAATGAGGACGTTTAAAACCGTAGCATGCACTGTAAATGTTGTTTCTTTTTATAGGACTTTGAGTCTGTATGGCTTCTACTCGACCAGGATGGTGATGGTGAAATAGATTATTACCAGTTTATTCAAGTCGTCATTGGAGAAATGAATGAGTATCGTAAAGCGTTCGTTAGGAAAGTAAGACAGTTATCTTGCTCAGTGTTACACTATTGATATGCTGTAAGGGATGGACAATAAACATGGGTCTAAGTCAAGATTCTGTTCATAAATAACCTATAACAATAATCTTTTTTCATAATAAAGATTTGCGTTCATCTGATCCATTTTGCATTTGAGATGCCCCAATAATCCACAGATGATAAAGTCATTCTGAAGTGTCATAAATTTGCTATGTTGATGGCAAATGAAATTGCCAATTTGCACAGTAATGGGCTGCAGAACTGGATCAGGAGAAGCTTAATGCAAACAAAATGAATTCCTTGTAGCATTCTCCATGACAATGCCTCGGCCAATCAGTCAATTTGCCAACCAGTCAGCATCCTTTACTTTGTTTGAATAAGTTGTTATGATCTTTTGAAATTTGGCACTCTTGCATTTGTCCTAATGGGTGCAAGGTGTTAAGCTTTGGCAACTTGTCTCTCTTGTTAGCAAGATTCAATGTGAATTATTTTAAATTGTACGATGATATAACACCAATGCTGTTGGATTTGACAAGATCAAGTGGGATGTTTAATAGCCAAAGAACTGAAATCTCTTTTAAACTACCTGGTTAACAGTCTGACAGGTGTGACCTGAAAATCTCTTCCATCGCCACAACCCTGGTATAAACCAACCAATGGGTGGTTAGTTCTATATGGCAGGAGGCGTTTTATGGTATCTCTACCCATATGTTACAGAAATCATCTCATGTCAGCCCAACACCCCAGTATGCACCTCTGGTCTCCATTCGCTGAGATATCTGGAGTATAGTTTGATTCCGGGATTTTCTGAGTCCGAGTTGAGAATAATGCCAATCAGCTAAAGACTTTCTCCATTATAATTTTGAGATAAATTACTTTGATAATTGATACCTGCTGGCGTTTCCTCATGAATGAAGATTTAAGGAAGGTTGTATTCCTCATTTGGCTTAAAATCTGTGCTCTAGGGCTGCGGTTCCTCCATATGTATTTGCAGATTCTGTAACATACACTGTTTGCTTCAGAACACCTATTGTCCACCTCCTTTTCAATGCTGGCACCAAATTAAATTGATAGGTAGGTAAATCAGCCCGGCTTCCTTCATATGCTTCTTGGAGTGCAGGCTGATGCAGGACTTCAGTTTTATTTAAACTGATTTTAAGTCTTAAGATCTGTGCCACCTTGGACAAATGAGAACACATGTTCTGTGTCCAACTAGAGATTAAGCCATTTGGAAATGGTAATGTGTAATGAGACAGGTTAATAAATGATCTTGGAGGAAAATATCCCCCAGGAAATAGTGATCATAACATGGATTTAGCATTCATTTTGAAGTGAGAAATATGGGTCAGAAAGAACTGTGCTAAACTTAAATAAAGATAATTACATATGAATCAGGGCAAAGTTGGCTAAAGTGGACTTCAGGAGTTTAGCAGAAGAGATGGTTGCTGAACAGTGGCAGAAGTTTAAGAACACAGATCATGACTTGCAACAGAGATGTTTTCTTGTGAGGAAGGATTTTAGGAAGGGGATAAACCAACTCTGTTAACAAAGGATAGCATCTAATTGAAAGAAAAGAATATACAATGTGGCAAAAATTAGTGGTAAACCAGAAGATTAGGAAAAGTTAAAAATCAACCCAAAGGTAACCCAAAAGAGGGAGAAAATAAATTTTTCATAATAAATTAGGAAATAGGAGTTTTTTTAATGGATAAAAAGAAAAGGAGAAGCAAAAGTGTACTTGGGCCACTTGGAGAACACAGCTGTGGAAATAGTAATGGGAAACCAGGAAATGGCAGAGAAGTTAAATAAATACTTTACATCAACCTTCACAATGGAAAACACTAATAGCATTTCAAAAGTAATCAATAATCAAAGGGCGAAAGGGGAAAAGGAAATAAATACAATATTATCATTAGCGATAACGTAATAGGGAAACTATGTGGCCAAAGGCAAATACGCCCCCTGAACCTGATTAGACTGTATCCTAGGATATTAAAAGAAGTGATTAGCAGAGCAAATTTGATGGGCCAAAAGACCTAATTCTGCTCCTACTTCTATGGTCTTGTGGTCTTGAGTTGTTAAAGATTGCAAGTCTGACTGTGACCCAGTTTTCCCTTTGACTGTGTGTAAGCTTGAAGACACTTAGATTTGAAATGGCTTCCATCAATCTTGGATCATGCAATAGCTCCTTTCTTCAAATCTACTGTTGCCTCCTGCAACATTGTGTTGAAAAAGATGGTGATTAAGGTCCAGGCAAGCACACATCCTTGATTTATACCAATGCAGTTTTGAAAGGGACTCGAGTTGTGCTTGGAATGTCCACACTGATTTTCATGAAACCTTGGAAGGCATCCAAGTTTTTCAAGAAATGTTCCTGAGTTCATCTCTGCTCACAATGATAAATGGGTTGAGGTCTGTTAAAATGGCCTTTGTTTTGCTCATGGCCTTCTATTTATCACAAAGTCTAAATACTGCATCTCTAGTGCCTCTATTTGCAGCAAAACCATATCGGCTGTTTAGGAGGTTTTCTTCAATCATGGAGCCATGAGCTTGCTCTAATGTTTTCAAGTCAGGATCTTCCCAGCAAAAGACAGATGGGTGCTACCATGGTAGTTGAAGCAATCTGATTTTATCTTTGTTAATGTATAATGTAATGATAACAGAGATACAAACATCCTGTTCAATCATGCTCTTTCCCAGCAAGTCTTGATTGCTGATATCAATGATATTGACAACAGAGTCATAGAGATGTACATCACGGAAACAGATCCTTTGGTCCAACTCATCCATTCCGACCAGATATTCTAAATTAATCTAGTCCCATTTGCCAGCATTTGGTCCATTTTTTCTAAATCCTTCCTATTCATATACCCATCCAGCTGCCTTTTAAATGTTGTAATTGTACCTGCCTCCACCACCTCCTCTGGCAGCTCATTTCCATACACACACCACCCTCTTTAAGAACTTTGCCCCTTAGGTTCCTTTTAAATCTTTCCTCTCTCACCCTAAATAAATGCCCTCTAGTTTTGTACTCCCCTACCCTGGAGAAAAGACCTTGACTATTCACTCTATCTATGCCCTTCATGATTTTATAAACTTTTATAAGGTCCCATTGCAGCCTCTGGCACTCCAGGGAAAATTGTCTCAGGCAATTCAGCCTCTCCCTATGGCTCAAACCCTCCAACCCTGGCAATATCCTCATAAATCTTTTCTGAACCCTTCCAAGTTTCATGACATCTTTCCTATAGCAGGGAGACCAGAATTGAATGCAGTATTCAAAAAGTGGCCTAATCAATGTCCTGTACAGCTGCAACATGACTTCCCAACTCCTATACTCAATGCACCGACAATAAGAAGCACTAAAATCTGACTATGGCAAATGAAATCGCCAATTTGCAGAGAAATGGGCTGCGTAACCCAAATCCCCCAAGGAGCACCTATGGCAAGAGACTACACACTGATAAGGTGTCAGTCTTGATCACTGGTTGGAGAACTTTGAAACATTCTTCAGCACTTAGTGCACAGTGCATGACACTGCCGTCAACCACACCCAACAACAGAATGTCAAAAAGGTTGAGCGTTTTCCACTAGTGCAATCCACCACTTGTTTTGAGTGTTCCTCAGTTGACACTGAAAGGTGCTGCGTACTTGATGGTTGGCTGCCTTTTTCTCCTGGCTAGTGAGCTGAGCCCGGAGAGCATGATAAGCTGAGCTTTTAATTTTTTTTTTTGCAGATTTCTGATTTCAGTTGGTATTTCTATCGCACCAGTCCCTGTTCTTATTGGTGTTGAATCTGATGACCTCATTGGAAGTATCCAGCAACTTTGACTTCTTAGAGTTCACCTGGAGTGGAATCAGCAGTGAGTTTAGGTTGTCCTGTCTGGTCTGTTACGTTGCCCAATATCTATCTCTGCAAGATAAGTTTTTCAGGCTGTTGATTCAAAATTACTTTGGGTTTCTATTCCTGTGATGGAAGTTCAGCTTTGAGCAAACAAGCTGGTGGTCTGCTTGACACTCAGCATGAATCCAGTGTACAGGATGTCCTTCAGACCAAATCTTGGTGTTTGGAGAGGGGATGCATCCATGTAGTCTTGAAGAAACCTTTTTGTTGAAATAAAGTATTGGGTTTGGACAGCTTGTTTCCTGCACAAAGTCCCAAGAGTAAATGTCCATTTTCGTTACAGTTTCTGAGCACTCCCTTCCATGCCAAGCTGCCACAGCCACCTGTGGCTTTAAAATTGTCAAAGATAACATTTTTGACCTTAGGGGGTTATTCTGAATGAGTTAACGGAGATGCATAAAACCTGCCTTTTATTTAGCTGGGTTAGCTTTCAGGATTGGAGCAGAAATGGTGATGAGAATTGCAGATGCTGGCCTTGGAATGGGAGGTGCAGGGACAAGATGCATTCAAAGTGGCTTATTGAAAGTTTATTGATAGTCATTTTCTGACTGACATAGAGGAGGCATTGTTCACTTTGAGGTGAACTAATAGAGGGTACAGCCAGCGTCGTATTCTTTCAGGCTGCCTTGCTCTGAGAAGTGGACCTTACTCAGGGCTGCTATATCTATGTCTAGTCTGGCTAGTTCATGGACCATCACAGCTGAGCATCACTGGGGACTGCTGTTGTCACCAGAGTTGAGCATCATTCACTCCTTCCAGCAGGCAAGTTTTGGAAACTTTCTCTTTTTTTTTGAAGTGACTTTGTGACAACTGGGCTACTGCTATAATTGATATATTACAGTATATGTTTAAATCATGATTGCCTCTTTAAGACCAGGAGATTAATTTGCAATCAGCAGACAGTTTGGGTGTCACTCAGAGCTCAATTGTGCTTTGGTGAAGTAACTGCAGATTAACAGCTGCTTGCTAGCACAGAACTTGAATCTTGCTGAAGAGAGAGATGTTACTGAAGCTTTCCATCTTGCACTCATTAGGATAAGTGCAAGAATGCCAAATTTGGAATGATCACAACAATTTAAACTCCACAAGAAAAGGATGCTGATTGGTTGTATGCTCTTTGAAATTTTCCATTCTTGCATTTGCCCTGATGAAACCACTTTATGATTAAGCTGTGTCAGTAATGAAGTGTGACAGTAGTGTATTTGACACACAGTTTTTAATATAAAAAAATTAAAGCTGTTTGCTTTGGATAACATGGTATTGTAGCTTTTATCATTTTGTTTAGTTAAATCAGTATTTATCTTCACAGGCCTATATGAAGCTCGATCCAAATAAAACGGGTAGTGTTTCTGTGAATGTCATTAGCAAGTTCTACAATGGAAGGAAACACCCTAAAGTCTTATCAGGTAATCAATGGTCATGATGTACTTTTTTTTTGCAAGTAATTACTCAATGTTACATTTTACAGATAATGGAATGAGTTTCTTATATCTACAGTTGATTCTACAATTGAGTCAAGAATGCCTTGGCCAACATTGGATAAATTAGACCATCAACAAAAATTAGACCCACCAGAAAATTGAGCTGCTGCCTGGTCTTATGTACATATGTATGAGGAGCAAGAATTGGTCATTCCACCTTCTGGCTTGCTCTACCATTCAATAAGATCACAGAAATATAGAAAATAGGAGTAGCAGCATGCCATTTGGCCCATCGAGCCTGCTCCACCATTCCTTGTGGCCATAGCTGATTCTCTTCCTCAACGCTATACTTGTGGTCTCACCCCATACCTCATGTTACCTTTAGTGTCAGAGATCTATCTTTTTATTTCTTAAATAAATTCAGTAACTTGGCCTCCAGCCTTTTGTTGTAGAGAATTCCACATTCACCACCATCTGAGGTGGTGTCCCTATCACCAATGGTTTTGGAAGGCAATTTAGAACCTCAATGTATTGTGGTACTGAAGCAATGGGATGCTCTATTTTGGTTATTTTGCTCTATCCAACCATCCATTTTGGCTTCATTGATGCTGGAGGCATCACCAGGGATGGTAAGAAATCTTGAGGGGGAGCCTATCATCATCTAGATCCGGCATGGTGTGGGAAGACATCAGGTTTTTGCCTACCGCCCAGTTCTCAGTTTCTCCCCAAATGTCTCCTGGCTTCTGGCCAAAATCATTACCTTTACAATCATGTTGCAGGAGAATGCTCAGAGCAGCAAATTCGAACATCATTTCTGGACACATTACAGGAGAACTGCATCAACTCCGGAGAAGTCACCTACAGTGAATTTGAAGCTTATTATGAGGGGCTCAGCCTTGAAGTTGCAAATGATGAAGATTTCGCTAACATAATGAGGAATTGTTGGGCATTGTGAGACAGCAGAACTTAAGGCAAAACTGGAACGTTCATTATTTCTGTGCAAGCTATTTTCCATCAATGTGCATTTTACAAAAATGTGTTAAAGTTTATTGTTGTGAAGAATGCCTTGTGTTATTATGAGGAGCTTTAGATTTTCAGTCAAGGTGCAGATATTATTAGGTTTTATAATAATATTTTATTTTTTGCAATGTCCATCTCCAGTGTAGATTTTCCTGGTGAGGGAATACCAGAACCATTGTTAGAAACCAGTGTGAAGAGGGAGCTTGCCCAATTTTCTATCCATTGTGAAAACGAGGTCTCATTCCTCATGGTCCCTGCACTTCCACCTGTTTGGTGATCTTGTTCTCATGGTAGATGTGGGACCAACAAAGTAAGTTCCAAATGCTAACAACATATTTGTGCAAATGTTTAATGCCTGATGAGCTGTCTGGCTGATTTTATGGTGTGTGCTTTTTATTTTTTTTGAAACACTTAAGGGGTGAACAACGCAATTTGATCTTTAAGTAACCAGCCACCAGTACCCTAAATTTTGACTGGATAAAATTCCAAGAATTTTTATATATCAGTATTATCTCCTGAGCTGCTCCCAGTGTTTCAGAACTTTCTAACACTGTTTGTGCATTCAGTTGTAAGCTCTTCTTATGATGGGCACTGCACTTCAAAAGTACTTAATTGACTGAAAAGCATTTGGGATGTTCTGAGGTGGTGAAAGATGCTACATAAATGCAAATCTTGCTTGAAATTAATAGTTTTAAGTGCAAAGTCTGGAACAAAATCTCTATGAATTTTCAATAGCAAATTGATTGGCAGTTAGCCTCCTTCAGTCTAAGAAATGATGGGAATGTAGCCTCTGAATTATGATGAGATCATCTGCTACACTTTCTAATAGTTGAAGTGGATTGCCTGGAACCAAAGTCTGCTGCAAGTGTCACATATAAAGTGGTTGTTTGTAGGTGCTGCACATTGGCTGAAATCTGCTTCCCTGGAATCTGTGGTTTCTGAATATTGATCTCTGCATCTGGTTTCCTCTTCAGGCAAAAATGCCAGATTGGTAGAAGGCTATTTTTCCATGACCTGTTTCAGTGATATCTTGTGTGGAATTAAACAGGATTTTACAGCAGAGCAGCTAGCCATTTGTGCTCAACGCAAGCTTCACTCCAACCACTCTTCTTCATGTCACCGAATTAGTATAACCAACTATTCCTTTCTCCCTTGTGAATATCTCCAACTTTGCTTTAAATGCATCCTTGCAATTCACCCTCAACTGTTCCATTTCTCTTTCTTTATTATTTTAAGGGATGTGGGGCATAGCTGACATGGCCAGCAGTTGTCACCCATCTCTAATTACCCTTGAATGGAGTGATTTTGCTAAGCCGTTTCAGGGAGCAGTCAAGACCGAACACCTTGCTGCGGATCTGGAATCGTATGCGGGTCAGACTCCCTTCCCTAAAGAGCATTAATGAACAAGATAGATCTTTACAACAATCATTGCTAATTCTCACCATGAGGCTAGTTTTCAACTCCAGATGTCTTGATTGAATTTAAATTCCACGAACTACTGTGTGAAATTTGAACCCATGATCCTCACTATTTCGTTTGGGCCTCTGGATTATTAGTCCAGTGATATTAACACACCACTGTCCCCTTATCTGGTCATGAGTTCTGCATTCTCACCACTATCTGTGAAAAAAAGTATTCCTTGCTGAAATTTTGTGACTGTCTTGTGTTAATGACCTCAAGCGCTCCTCTTCCCACTCAATTCTTCATTGAAGTATAAGATGGTCATCTGTATAGAACGCTGCCTATCCAGCTCACCAACCTTGCAAATACCATGCAGAATATGAAAAGACAACTTTATCCTTGAGAGGCCTGTTATGAATTGTTACTAATTAAGTTATATTAATTTATTTCTATTTAAATAGTGAAAACTGCTGTGACAATAAATAATTAAACTACTTGTTGACAGCGTTCTAATATATTTGATTTGATGTACTTGAGCTGCATGTATTTTGATTAGTGTTTCTTTCTTTTGACTTTGTTGTAATTTTTAAATTGTAACTCCTTTCCTTAATGTGAAAAAGTGCATTATAATTAAATGAATTGCCAAATGGATTTTTTAATGCAAATATTATTCTGTCCTCTACACACCAAAATGTCAGCAAGGAAGGAAGAACCTGACATTGCCTCTTTAAAGACATTTTTGAAGTCTGACAAGAGTGCTACTACTAATCCATAGCTGACGGTTTCTCCTCTGGACCTTGAGTCTTACTCAAACTTTAACATCAACTCCAGGCCAACAGGGCACAGTATGGAATAAGTCCTGCAAAGTCCAAGACATAGTCTTTTAGGCATGATCACAGACTGAAGTCTCCTCGTCCTTAACACGTAGATGTAAAAAGATTTTTATGATGCCATTGGAAGAAGCGTAGGGACCTTCTTAGTGATCTCGGCAAGCAATTAATCAATTATTAATTGAACTTAAATTTCACCAAATACTATGTTGTGATTTGAACAATGACCTCAAGGCATTTAACAATAAAAAAGGACAAAGGATGCTGGAAATCAGAAACAAAAACAGAAATTGCTAAGAAAACTCAGCAGGTGTGGCAGCATCTGTGGAGAGAAAGTGAAGTTAACGTTTTGGGTCCATTGCCCTTTCAGAACTGGCAACCTACGCATTTGTCCGATCTTCTGTGTTACTAATCTAATGATATTACCACCACACTATCATCTGTAGATACCACGGTGCTTAAATTGACAATAGGCTCATGTAAGCAATTTTTTTTCAAAATAACATACTTTTACATACAGAAAACCATCACCCTAAACATACCTTCACCAAACTGGTTGCGGGAACTAAACAAACTGTATTGTTAAAAAGGGGTCTTCCCAACTCCTCTCCCAACCCAAGACCTTGGTGGTCTGCTTTTGGACCATAGTCACCCTACAGTCTTGGTGACCCCCTCACTTATAGTATGTACTTAGCTAGTTGCTTACTCCTCCCTAAATCATAGGATAATGTGGAAAAGAAACAATCGAACAGCATCAAGCAGATGAGAAGCAGCCTATGATTGAAGGACTGACTCTTTGTCATTCTGTTCCATTCTGTTTTTTTTATGGAGGGGGGAAAATTGATACAATTTTCTGGGCGATTTGGAGATGGTGGGGACAATTCACCGTCTGCTCCAGTATATGTTGCAGCATTGCCAGTCATCATCTTTCTCTCTCTGTGGAATGACCACATTGACAAACATGCAACCCACATTTCTGTCAGCCTCACTGTTGCATCACAGGAATTGCAACTGTTGCTGCAGTTCTCCTCAGACAGTAGTAGGCTGTGAAGTGATCTGATAGGGGTTTCCAAAATCCTGAGCAGGCTGGATATTGTAGATAGGGAGCTGTTCCCACTTGTTAAAGGTACAAGACGGCATAGGTTTAAAGTGATTTGCAAAAGGTACAAATGTGATGTGAGAGGGGAAAGCAAAACTTTTTCACTCCGGGAATAGTTAGGGTTTGGAATGTACTGCCTGTTAAGTGTAATGGAAGAAGTTCAATTTAGACATTTAAGAGGGATTGGACGATTATTGCTGTAGAATTTGTATACCGCCCCCCACCGTGTGTGCGCAAGCTCTCTGAGCATTTTAACTCAGCCAATCTCCTGCCCTTTTTACTCTGTAGCCCTGCACATTGTACTTTAAGCAATTAGCTTCTGGCCTCTGCTATCTCGACATTGCTGTAATGTGGATAGTTACAGCTCCCGGCGTTCGCTGGGGACATATACCAGCGGAGTTGCGCAGGCGCCTGGGTGGGAATTGTCGCACTTTTCGGCGTAAGGATGGCGATTGGGGGGGCGGAACTTGTTCAAAGCGTTTTAATGCAGAATGTTAGTGAGTTTGCATTTGCTGTGCAGTTGCATTGATCCAGTTTAACAATTGTTTGCTTTGTGTGTGTGTATATAGGAGGCAGGTGAAGGCCGGATCGTCTCCGGCTCCTGCCCGCATTCCAAGCTCTGCACCCCGGCGGGCAGAGTCATGCAGCGACCGGGCTCAGTGCAACAGAAGGTCCCCTCTGCTTTCAGCACTGCAGTGAGGGACGAGCCAGCAACCAAGCGGCATAACCAGGTATGGGGCAGCATTGCCTGGGTCTGGGAGGGACCATGTGCAAAATGCAGAGCTCTCTCCAGGTTGCATTCATTTTAAACCTTAGAGAGTAAACACTCATCACATCCGGAGCAAAGGTGCAAATTCCGGGCTTTCAGTTTTAATTCATCATTTGTAGATCGAAGAGGTACCCGGCTGTTCATGCTATCCCTGACCTCCCATCTGGTTTCAGATGGGGGGAGACAACAAGGTGCAGAGCTGGATGAACACAGCAGGCCTGCTCCTATGATGCTGCTTGGCCTGCTGTGTTCATCCAGCTCTGCACCTTGTTGTCTTGGTTTCAGATGGGAATATGCCCAGGATACAGAGGGAGAGAAATGCAGGAAATTTTTGTGATTTCTCCGCACTGCGAAGATGCATTTGGATGGTGTCTTTCACGGACACTTGGACGTTGCCTCAAAATGTTCTACAGCCCATGGTTTGCATCCGAAAGTGTAGCTTCCGTCCGTCCCCATCCTCCCTAACCCACCACACAGGCACATATATTGTAGTTTGTGGGTAACAAGTTCCCATGACCAGCAATGTGGTAAATAACCAGGATGCCTGTTGTTCAAAATAACATTTAAAAATTAACTTCCTAAAGCCTGACAACTATCTGCAAGGCACAAGTCAGGAGTGTGATGGAGTATCCTTCGCTTGCCTGGATAAGTGAAGCTCCAACAACACTCGAAGCTTGACACCATTCATGACAAAGCAGACCACTCACCGAACTGGCACCACATTGACAAACATCCACTCTCTCCACCGCCAATGCATGGTAGCAGCAGTGTGTACCATCCACAAGATGTACTGCAGAAATTCAACATTAGTTGGCAGTCCCTCAAAAACGAGGATGATGACTCCACTCTCGGGATGACTCCATAGGGGGCTGTACAGACCAATGCGGCTATCACAGATTTCTTACACTTGGGGCAGAAGGTGGTCGTGGGAAAGAGTGCCTGGGGGATTGGTGTGGCAGTGCACGCCTTACGCAGTTTTTGAACGGCTTCCACTTCTTCCCAATGGCAAATCTCGAGGTCCATGACGTCTTCTTGGATGCTCCACATCCACTTTGGACAGTCTTGGACTGGTGATGCTCAGGTGTCAGTGAGAATGCAGCGCTTCACCAGTGAGGCCTTGAGAATATCACTGACGCACTTCCTCTGTCCATCTGACCTGTTTCGAGCTGGGAGTAGAGCACCTGTTTGGGGAGTCTTGTGTCAGTCATGGGAATGACGTGCCCAGCCCATTGCAGCTGATCAAGCGTGGTCAGTACCTTGATGTAGGCCTGGTCAAGGATGCTGGTACTAGTGTGTCTTTCTTCCCAGTGGATTGGCAGGGTCCTGTGCAGGCGGTATCAGTGGTACTGCTCCTTCAGAGGCTGTCTACAGCAGACACATGTCTCAGTGCCATATAGGAGGTGGGAACCACCACAGCTCTGTATATCATGAGCTTGGTGTTGGATCTGATGTTGTTGTCCTTGAGCACCCTTTTCTTCAGGCCCCCAAAGGTGAGGAGGTGGTGCTGGATCTAGAAATTCAGCAAGGGTCCTAAGACAATGCCTTCCAAATACACAGCTACTACTATCTAAAAGGATAAGGGCAACAGCTACTTGGAAACGCCGCCTGCAAGTTTCCCTTCGTCTGCACGTGCATTGTTACACCCACAAAGTCACGCTCTTAGTTTAAAAACTCTTGATGGGATTTGTAGCTGGCCAAAGTAGTGATGACATGCTCATTCTAATCAAAATGCATTGGTTTTCTCTTTCCACTCTGATTAAAATTTATTTATATTTTTACTCCGAGTTTGAATTAAACTGCTTTGTACAGTCAAATTGTAAAGACTTGGAGGGAGAATTTTGACATGCATTTACCTAGTAACAAAATGGAGCATTCTGAAATATCTTCAAAAAACCTTTTATCTTAGATTTTTTTCCTGAGAACCATTCTTCCCAATGTACTTGTATTTCCCTGGCGCTGATAACTATTTTTGTTACAAAAATATACTTTATTCATAAGTGATCTTTATGTGCACACGCAGGTACTAAAGCAGTTCTGTACAGCCTTTGCATTTGAAGAAAGAAAAGACATGAATTTGAGGTAAAGAGAGGGTTGAAAGAACTGAATGTACCCTTGTTGCACTTTGGCAGGAAGCCCTTAGACTGTGGGCCTTTCCCCACTGAGCCTTGGCAGCAGCAGCTTCCCTTAGTGCATCCCTTAGCGCATAGCCCTGGAGCTTGGAATGTGCTAGTCTGCTACACCGAGAGCCTCATGCTCCTCGGGAATACAATCACCTACATTTAGGACGAAAGGGTCTACTCCTGCCTCATCAGCCTGGACCAGGAGAAAGCCTTTGACAGGATATTGCACACCCACATGTGGGATGTGCTGTCCAGAATGGGCTTTTGGGGAGGAATCTGCAATTGGATCTGAGTACTCTATGCCATTAGTAGTGCAGTCTCAATCAATGGGTGGGAATCAGAAAAGTTCCCAGTCAGATCTGGAGGCAGGCAGGGTTTCCCACTCTCTCCTGCCTTATTTATGTGTTGTATAGAACCTTTTGCTGAGTCCATCAGGAAGAGTGTGAATCTGATAAGGGTGACTATTCAGGGCAGTGGCGGCCTGCAGATCAAAGTCCCCCTGTACGTGATTGATGTTGCTGTTTTCTGCTTGGATCTGCACTCCTCGTGCAGAGTCCAGAGCATCTGGAAACAATTCGAACTGGTCTCGGGAACCAAGATAAATCGAGTAAAGAATTAGGCCATGTTCTTTGAAAACTGGGCTAAATGATCCTTTATGCCCCCCTTCACCATCAGGTCAGATTATCTGAATGTGCTGGGAGTGCCCGGGCATGCGCAAAAACTCATGTAAAACGCTAATCTGCAGAAGAGACTGATGAGAACGTTTCCCAGGATGAGGAATTTCAGTTATGAAGATAGATGAGAGAAGTTGGGACGTTATTCTTGGAGAAGAGAAAGTTGAGGGGAGTCATTAAAAAATCATGGTGGGAGGAACATATCACCAAGGCGAGGCAGAAACTGGGCAGGTGGAAGCACCACTCCCTCTCTGTTGTGAGTAAAAACCTGGTTATCAGGTATGAGGTACTCTGTGTTGTTGTATGTGGCCCAAGTCTGGCCATTCCCCGAGCCTGCATCAATGCAAATCACCCGAGCCATCTTCCACTTCATCTGGAGGCCAAAGATGGATTGGGTTCGCAGGGAAACCATGCGTAAAGCTCTGGATAAAGGGGAAGGAAAGAATGTGCCCAATGTTGCCCTCATGCTGATGGCCTCCTTTGTGTGTGGCTGCATCAAGCTGTGAATAGAGCCTTGATACATAAACACCAAGTGTCACTATGTCCTGGAGTTGTACCTCTCCCTCATGTTGTGAAGGATGGGTCTTGCCTTGTTGCAGTGGAACGGTCCAAGTAATTGACCAGGAACCTGTCCCTTTTGGAAAAATTAATAAGGGCAAACACCTTTGACCACAAGTCCATCAGGAAGTGGTGAGCAGGTAGCGCTCAAGATCCTGCGGGCAAAGGAGAGGGTGGATCCTATTGGGTAGTTCTTTGAGCAGACTGTCAAAGACATTTGCCAGTATGCATCCCTGCTGGAACTTTCCAACAAGGTCTAAGACGTAGCTTGGCTGGTGGTGAGATCCTGGCCCTGTTAGCTTTATTAATGTTAATTTCTAGTACACGGCACTTTGCTAAGATGCAAGTTTCAAAAGAATGCTCTGATTGTGTTCCACGATGGATGGTGTTGACTGCAAACCTGTTTAACAGAAACTTTGTTTGGAAAAATACAGCGTTCCATTTGTGAAAAGCAAGTTTAACACAAAAGTTGTTAAACTCATGTAAAACGCTAATCTGACCACAACTAGGTTATTCTGGAGTCACACTTCAGAAAGGATGTGAAGGCTTTGGATGCATTGCAGAAGAGACTGATGAGAACGTTTCCCAGGATGAGGAATTTCAGTTATGAAGATAGATGAGAGAAGTTGGTACGTTATCCTTGGAGAAGAGAAAGTTGAGGGGAGTCGTTAAAAAATCATGGTGGGTCTGGACAGACTAGATAGAAACAAACTGTTTCTGTTGGTTAAAGGATTGAGAATCAGAGGGCTCGGATTTAAGGTAGTTGGAAAAAGAAGTAAGAGTGTCCGGAGGAAGAACGTTTTCCCACTGCAAGTGGTTAGGGTCTGGAGTGCACTACCTGAGAATAGGTTCAATGAAGGAATTGGATTGTTATCTGAAAAGGAAAAATTTGCAGGACTACAGGGAACAGGCAGGGAAAGTAGTACGAGGTGAATTGTTGAGCCACCTCCTGTGCTGTAACCATTTTAGGGATTGCTTGCTCATCCTGTGTTAGACCAGCTCTTCCAGTGGTTATTTCCAGACTGATAGGGTTGAATCATCTATCCAATCTGTTCGTAATTCAATGGGTCAGATCCTTCACTCATAAACTTGTTTTCAGTCCTACAGAGTTTTGGCCACTGGAGAGCTAAGTCTGAAGGCACTGGAGGCAGATATACACCATGCGATTGCTACTGAGAAAGTGGATGGATCCTGCTGTTATGTTACTAAGTACAAAGGTAACAGAACTGACAGGCCATTGTTTCAAAAAGAGAGAAAAGTGCTTTTTAAAATAAAAAAAAAAGTGCATTGTAGCATAGACTATAGCATAATGATAATGTTACTGTACTAGCATTCCAGAGGACCAGATTAATGATCTGGAGATGAGCTCAACTCCCACCATGACAACTGGTAGAATTTAAATTCAATAAGTTAATGTTTAAAGTAGAAATCTCATCCTATTAATAATTCATTGAAAATGTGCATGGCTCATTGAAGAAGTTCAGAATGTGGTTAATAAAGCACATGGTATTTTAGTCTTTATTAATTGATGAATAGAGTTCAAAGAGTTAATGTTGAATTTGTATCGATTGCTTATTCAGCCTCCGCTTGAGTATTGATCTGATTTATTATTGTCACATGTACCTAGGTAGAATGAAAAGTTTTGCATGCAGTACAGGCAGATCATAGTGCATTAGGCTAATCGAACAGAACACGGAATACAATGGTATGGCTACGGAGAAGGTGCACAAAGAGTGAGATTAACACTAAATTTAAAATTTGAGAGGTCCATTCCGAAGTCTTAATGATACCAGTGAAGAAGCTGTTCTTGAATCTATTTGTATGTAGATATAAACTTTTATATCTTCTGCCTGATGGAAGAGAGTATAACCGGGGTGGGAGGGGTCTTTGATTATATTGTTTGCTTTGCAAGGCAGCAGGAAGTATAGATGTAGTCAATGGACATTGCTCCCAGTTCTGGGCATCACACTTGGGAAGGATGTGATAGCATTCAAAAGCTTCCAGGAAAGGTTCATGAGAATGGCTATCAGGATGAGGAACCTCTGTTATGAAGACAAATTGGAGAAGTTGGTTCTGTTTTCTGTGGATGAAAGAAGACCAAGAAGAGATTTAGTAGTGTTATTCAAAATTGTGAAAAGGGTTTCTGGACAAAGTAACTTGGGAGAAAATGTTCCCACATGTGAGAGGATTAAAAACAAAAAGGCATGGATTTAACATGATTAGTAAAAGAAACAAAAGTGATGGGAGGAAAACCTTTTTCATGCAGTGATAGTTTATGGTCTGGAATGCACTGCCTGAGAGTGTGACCAGAAGGTGTAGGAGCAGAAGCAGACTATTCAGCCCATCGAGTCTGTTCCATCTTTCAATGGGATCATGGTTGATCTGATAATCTTCAGTTTCACTTTGCTGCCTTATCCCTTTCCTGTTCTCAGCCTTTTATATTCTTAAAGACCAGCCTCTATAGCCCTGTGTTGTAAAGAATTCCAAAGATTCACTGCCCTCTGAGAGAAGAAATTCTTCCTCATTCTGTGTCCTAACTGGGTGATCCCTTGCTCTGAGATTGTGCCCTTCACCATCCAGAATCTGTGAATTTCTAACACATTCAAATATAGACCAGGATAATGGTGAAAGCATTATGTTCCTCTTGACAATGACCAGCTGCTCCATTTTGTTTCCTCATACTGTCTTTTTTTTTTTTTTTGCTCTTCAGCTTAAATCTGTGTCCTTGGTTACTGGTCCCTCTCTTATTGCAGATTATTTTTTCTTAGTTTTATCAAGCTCCCTTCAAGATTTTGAACAATTATACTTCAAATCTACCTTAAACTTCTCTGCTCTAGAAAGATCATTTTTTTTCCAGTCACTTCACTGAATACTCATTCCTGGTTCCATTCTGGTAAATCTCATTGGCCTTTGCTCAAAGGCCTTTTGATGTTTTTCCTAATGTGCGGTGCCCAGAATTGGTCTCAATCCTGCACATGAAAGTCAGCTACAAATTTATAGAAGTTCAGCGTAACTTCCTTGCTTTTGTAATCTGTTCGTCAGTTTATAATGCTGAGGATCCCATATGTCTTTGTGACAGCCCTTCTCAACTTCTCATTACATTCCAAGTCTCTTGTAAACACTCCCAGGTCTCAGACTTGCACCTTCTTTAAAATCATACTCATTAGTTTATATACTCTTGTCCTTTCCTTTCCTCCCCCAGTCAATCTGTTCACTTTTTATCCTGTGTTAAATTCAGTTCCCACTTGTCTGCCCATTTTGTCTGTCTGTGCCCCACTGAAGGCTATTATTTTCCGGTTTTCCATTCCCCATGTTTCTGAATTTGCTACATAAGCTTACAAGCTGCAATCCCACTTGTTCAATCATTATCCAGCACTGGATTTAAATTCATAATGGCTTTTCTTCTGTGGCTTGGTTAGTTGGACCCGCTGTTTTGGTTGCTTGATGTACAACGCTATGTGATTGTGATGGTGACCTCTGTGTGAGAGAGAGAGAGCGTTGTCTGGCCTCTGTGCTGTGAAATTCTGAAGTTTTTTATACTTTGCTTTAAGCAGTGGGCAGAACTCAGATAGTTAATGAATGTCTGATGGTAAATGTTGTCAGATTCGCCATGTCTCTGGGCTCGATTGGACAGGAAACCTACCAAACAAGCTGAGAAACGATTCAGGAGATTCCAATCCTCCAAAACCAGCACCGGTAACAAGAATATTTTTCTTTTCTTGTCTTATGTTTATATTGATAATTTATTGCAATTTTAAAAATACTTTTGTCCTTTCTCCCCAGTGATTAGATTGAGGGAACCCTTTTGCATTTTAAATGGCGGGGCGGTGGGGGATGGTGGTTTGAATGGTACTTGCCTTCTTCCTGTTCTACCCTGTGACCTGATATTCAGGGAAGGAGGCTGGCGTAGAGGTGGCCTCCATTGTTTCTGTGGCCTCCTCCAGCCCTACTATCCTCCTCCTCCCAACTGTTCGTCTATTCACTCCGCCATTGGCAGCTGTATCACCAACTGCTTCGGTCCTAAGCTCTGGAAGTCCCTCTTCGTTTCTGTAGCTCTCTCACCTCTTTAAAACCCGACTAGTTGACCAACCTCTTTGTTGTTTGTCCTTGCATCAATTAAAGTAGTTTGGAGTTAAATTCTGTTTGTCTTAACCTCACTGAGGTATGCAAGTATGTATCTTGTTGTACAGCTTAGGGAGAGATTGTTGATTGACCTCTGGCTGGAATTTGAAAATCCCAATCCTTGTGAATGTCAGTGTTTTATATAAAGAGTAAACTGAACAGTCCGGTATAACGGAAGGCAGGTACTTGAAATGTGAAAGTTAGTGATGGTGTTGAAGGACATAGCTTAAAAAATTTCTAGATGGCATCGCTTTGTAAGCAGTGCAACTGGATGGATTGGGTGCCTTCTGACCCTTGCTCGATTTACTCCTCAGAGTTCACTTGGAATCTCGATGATGACTTTAGGACAGTTGCTGAATCCTGGATCCCAGCACATGGAGTGCTGCAAGTAAATGGCCGCCTGCAACCAGATGAAAATGGCCATATTCCTGGTATGAGTTTTCATTCTCTAGATGACATTGCCTTAAGATTCTTTGCTTGAACTTCATAAAAAAAATACTTTTGTTCCTCCTCTTCCCTCCAAATGATCCCAAGGTTGGGTTCCGGTAGAGAAAGGGAGCAAGCCCTACTGCTGGCATCTTTCCACTGTAAATTATGATGCTGGATTAGCACTGGTCTTGAGACCCTGCTTGGAGAAGAACCTTCTAGAAATTACCGCTGTTCCGTTAGTGGAGCTTCTTGAACAAACATTGGAGTTGGTAGGAACGCACATTAACGGCAATCCGTATGGTAGGCAGACTTCTGTTTTCTCAGTGTGTTGTCTTTTGTTTTTTCAACTGAATCTCTTCGCCGTACCTTGTTTGTGTGTCAGCCGTATGTTACATTGCATTGTTTCCTCTGAGTCAGGTCATGGCTCCAAATCCCAGTCTGAGACTCGAGTTTGTAATCCAAGTGGACACTCTCAGTGCAGAACTGCAGGAGTGCTGCACTGCCGCCAGTGCCGTCTTTCAGATCAGATGCTAAACCAATGCTCTTGGTGCCCTCTCCAATATTCAACCTTCTGTTTTAAAGACAGAAACTCCCAAAGGGGCAACACTCTGTCAGTACTGCATTGGGATTGCCACCCTACGTTTTTTGTTTTGAAGTCTGAAATCTTTCTGAATCTGAGGTGAGAGTGCAACTCGCTGAACCACAGCTGCTATCTCCAGAGATGTCTGTTGACCAAGTGTGGAAGGGAACATTATGAATTAAAGCGAAGGAAACTGATCCAAAAGCCTGTGGAGAGGAAACGTTCCTCTTCAGTTTTCTGCCCTCAGGCTGGTGATGGTAGAGGTTCCACCTTTCCTCCTGTCTGTCATTAGTGTGCTCTGGAAGGATTTAAAATTGGATAGTCAACCTGTTTAGCCATATTGTGGACACATCTTCCCTGGACATCTGATCCTGGTGGGGTTCAAACCTGGAGCTCTAGGCTGAGAGGTAGGAATGCTACCCAGTGTGCCACAAGAGCTCCCATGAAAAATATGAACCAGCTAAACTGACTCTTTACATGTTTACAAAGATGATTAAAAAGTCATTTTACAGCATAATAAGTCAGTATTCTGCAGCAAAGAAAGTTTAATATTACTCACTTAACCATAGCATGATCAATTGATCTTTTATCCTAATTGTTTGTGGGACTTTGCTGCAGATGTTGGCATAAAATAGTTGTCAATACTCTGGAATTCCCTGAGAATGTGAAAGGAGCGACACAATTTTTGTTTCACCAGCTTTTATCGAACACCTTCTCAAAACTGTAGTTGGGACAGATTTTGACAAGGTGAGGAATATTCCAGCTGCACTCACCTTGGTCTCATTCTGGTTGAATGTTTCCTACATTTTTGTTCCTAATGTGCTTCTTTTTGTTAGTGTGGAACTGACAAGAGTTTACTCTTAACTCTGTCCCAGGGCTAGGAAACAAGAGACAACCTATCCATTTTCTGATTTCTCATGGATCCCTGCAGATTGAGAAACCCCTGATGCTCAACCTCACAGATTTGATTACGTGGTTTGAAGGAAGCCCTGAGGGTAAAGTTGAAGGCATCGTGTGGCACTGCACAAATGATGTATTATTTAAAGTAAGTGGTAAAGTAATCAGAAAGGTAGTTTGTGCTACTTGGTGTTGGGCAAACAAAGGTCAAGTATTTGGAAGTGAGTGCATGAACCCACACTTACAATGGGTAGAGCACAGAGGAAGCCAATTGGTTCATCACCTCCATGCCAGCTCTCTGCAAGTGTAACTGAGCAAATCATACTTGTTCTCTACCCCCACAATTTTTTTTCTACTCAAATGATTATGCAGTTACTTGCTTTGAAAGCCATAATTGTACCCACCTCCACCACATTCTCAGGAGGTGGTGAGCTGTTTTCTGATCTATTCTGCTGCGATGGGAGTCACAGTGTCAAGAATCCTTTGATGTGAGTTCATCCCCATGTGACAACCTGCCCCCAGTGGAAGATTGGAACTGCTTTATGTAGCACACTCACTATTTCTTGTCTCAGTAATACAGACTGGCCCAGTAATAGGACTTGACACTTCTCACTCAACACCTATTGATCCAGGGCACTAGCGCTCTGTGGGGTGGAGCTGCAAGTTGAATCCACCAGTATTGGTAGGCTGTGACTTTAACTGGTTAAACTTCAGGATTCCTCACCTTAACCTTGGCCCTGCTGCCCTGGACCTGAGCTTTCTGGATAAGGGAAGCATGCCTCTCTGCTTCTGCATTCTTATCAAGGAAACAAACTGTGGTTTATGAATTACAGCACTTTGGAATTGTGACCCATGTTGTTTTCGGTCTAGTTGGCTATCCATCAGCTGCTGTTATTTGAGAGAGTGGATTTGCTGATGTTTCATTCAATGGCTGAAGGAATAATTGTTGCTCCACTGCCCCAGAACTGACCTTGTTTCTGTCAGTCTGTTCAGGATCAGGGGTCATCATTACTTTGAAAAGGATGGAAGCTTTGAGCCCACAATGTAACATTTTGCTGTATGCTCCCAAACTACTTCTGAAATTCATGATTTTTGTTTTCTGTTTTGTGTCACACCTTTAGATATGTTGCATCCAAAAAGTAAGACATCCTGTTTCCAACTGGTTAATGTCCATCTTCCTCATTTTCAGCTTCATCGTCATCACCTGGGTTTACAGTGGCCAGTGCAAGACCCATATTTGACTGCTCGACCTTTATCCATTAATGTTGATCTAACAAGGTACGAGTGTGATCCTGAAACTAAGTCATCGTTCCTGGTCTTCACAAGGCTCAATGGGAAGCAGTTTGACCATTTTAAAGACATTCTGTGGGAGAAAGATGCTGCAAACTAATACTGTACTGGTCAAGGAATTCTGGTTCAGCAGGTTGGCAGTTCACAGTGGCTTGTGAGTCAATAGGACTGCTATTGGTTTGTTACAATTTGCCTGCCATGTCTACAAACTTTGCTCTCAGTTCTGACAATGGGATGTTACTGAGCAGAGTATTAAAACATTCTTTTTACATGAACGTTTTAATCCTGTTCAGAAATGGTCATACAGATATTTTCTGTTGAGAGACATTGTGACACATCTCTGGAGCAGTTTGGACTCGAACTAGACTCTGTCTGCTAGGAGATAGGGACACTACCATTATACCACAAGAGTCCCTTCAAAATGATCATCTAATCGTGTAAAAATCTCAAACCAGGCACAAGCTATTTACACAGCTCACTTAGGTTGACTGCCATTTTAACAGGTAGGTGTACAAAGTCCATGTTTGATGGTTTAATATTACAGATCCAAACACCACAATGAACCAGACTTATTTCCTCAAACTATGCTATCCAGCTCAGTCCATGTATGAAGGCATTGACTGCGTTTAGGAGCAAACTATTAGATTTTGTACCTTTTTAATGCCATGTGTTAACTGCTCTTTGTAACTTTAAAAAGCTGTAATTTGGCTTTACTGTTGAAAAGATGCATGTATTAATCTTGCCCTTGGTTTGTGAGATTTAAAATTTTGTTCGGTGCTGCAGTATTATTTACCATGTATTGGTGATTGCTAGTTCACCACATTTTTGTATGAAATGTTCTTAAGCTTCTATTAAAATAATCCTTTTCATTTCTGCTTGGGGTGTCATTGGCAAGGCTGGCATTTATACTGAGCCACCTCCTTGAACTGCTGCAGTCTGTGTGCTGAAAATGGTCCGATAGTGCTGTTATAGTGGCAGGTCCAGGATTTTTGACAGCAGGGTTCAAGAATGGGGCTCTTTCCAACTCAAGACGGGTGTAGTTGGAATCATGCCAGCTGGGACTTGTGTACTATTTTATTATTTGATTCCTTTAAGTCCTACCATTCAGCTTAAACAATTCTTAATGCGATTGCAACTCAGGGATTCTCTAAGAAATATTTCGGATCCTGTACTTGGGGAAGTGTTGCACTGTTGGAGGAGACGAGATGCTAAATCAATGCCATATGCCCTCTTGGGTTAAATGTCCTGCGGTATAATACCCAGAGCAGCAATGTCCTGGTGTCCTAATCAACATCCAAACAAATAGAAACAAACTGCTCTGTGGATGCTGGAGATTTGAAATAAAAACAGGTGTTGCAGAAACTCTGGCAGGTCTGGCAGCACCTGTTAAGACAGCATCTCCATGGATGCTGAGGTTTTCCAGCAACAATACCAGAATTTCTTCTGAAGGGTCACTGGACCTGAAACGTGAGACCTGCTTTCTCTCCACAGATGCTGCTGGACCCACGGAGTTTTTCCAGCACTTTGTTTTTATCCAGAATACATGAAGAGGGAAGGGTAGTTACAGGAAATAATCTATTTTATATCTGTAATTTAGGAGAATGAATATCCCAACTAAATTGTTATTCGTTTTAGTTCATCAGTTGCAAAATCACCTTTTTTTTTATTTCTCTTTAATTTTTGTATTGTGTGGGTCAGCAGTCATTAGCATCACAACAAATCTCTGGTTCTCTTTTTCTCTCTCTCTCTCTCTCTCTCAGAAGAAACTTCATTATTTTCAAAAAATTACACATTATAGGGTAGTGTGGTGCATAAAAATATTGTTTATGCTTGTAGAAGGCCAGTTACTACTGTAGCAGAATCAAATGAGATTACATGCTACACAGGAAATACTAAGTGAATTGAGGTTTGAAGGGACTGCAATTTCCAACAGTCTTCAGTAAAGAACTGATGGAACATGGAAATCAGATAATCAAAGACAAGAGGACCTTGAATGTAACAGGACATGCATTGAATCATTGTGAGTTTTATTTACAATACTACTTTGTTCAAGCGGTGGGGGACGATTCCTGGATTGGCACCATGGATGTATGTTCAGTGCAGCTTTGTCTAGCCTGTTGATTTTTTTGGTTTTGAAATTGGCCATTTCTGCGAGTCAGAGGAGTCATCACCATGACTGTGGACTGGTGCTTATTGAACTGTGTTCCCCCAAATTATTTTTCTCCACCCATAACACCAATGTTTTTTCTTTGTCTGTGTACATCGTGGTTTAAAAAAGGGTAGAATTTAAGTTAGAGAGTCATAAGTTGATAATATTTTGTTTACCTGTGATTGGAAGTGCTTTATTTGTAGCAAATAGTTTTCAGTTAACCTGAGTTCAGAAGACAGGACAATTGGAGACTTTGAGCAATTGGATTAAATCTTTTAACTTTTGTGATGATTGCAGAAGTAATGGGGCTCAAGTATCAGTGTGCTTTCCCAAACAGATTGTGACAGCAGATCTAAATGATACTTTCGTGATTTTGTTAATTTTGTTTCAAAAGTGTTCGAGGGTTGCAGTCTAGTTTCATGTATTAAACCATACATAAAGATTCGACTTACAGATCAGATATTCAGTTACTTCAATGATTTTTTTTTATTACTTTTTACTAAAATGAAAAGGTGAGGAGCATTTATGCTAAGAAATGGAACACGCTTTCCAAGTGTCAACATCAAAAGCTTTTCAAATAAGATACAGAGCAAAACTCCCTCTAACAAACTATCTTCAACTGTATTTGACGTTAATAAATAACAAAACCTTGTTCTGTGAAGACTGTTCTATAGTATAAAAGAGATAATCAACATATAAATACATTCTACAAAAATACTTTTCACACTTCTTTCAATGTGACTACTTTATTCAAAATAGGCGATTTGAATACTTGCACAAAAAATCTATCCGATTACAGGCCTTAGTTAAAAGTACTGACCACTAAGTAACTGGTCCTTATTGAGCAGGAAGTGTTGATACAAATCTTTAGTCTTTAAATAGATCAGTAGTCCTCAGTTTTAACATGTTCCTCTATGTTTACATATGTGCCTATCCTATTCTGCACAGTAGAAAAATGGGTTGCAGAGACTGAAAAGGAACTTGGTCACATCTTCAATGTTGTGTCTGCTGCTATAGGCAGCAGAGCTAAGATGTGATAGTTAAAGACAGATGAAGTATGGTCAAGCCTATAAACTTCCATCCCTGTCACGGATCTTTTGTTCTATGTACATTGTAATTAAGTTATTTTGCTGACTTTACTCACATGCCTTACGCTTTGGTATTGAGGATGGGAGGTTCTGTAGAATCAACCTCAAATAAAAATGAGTTTCTGTGTTTATCTTGGTACTATTACTGAAGGCTGAGTGTTTGGTAAATGGGGTGGAACCTGACCACAAGGAAGGGATGAAACATACAGCTGAGATTTGCTTCGTTAATATCTGTGATGAGTCTGTAAACGAAAGGACTTGTACGGATGGACAACTATAGAAATCCCATGGAGGAACCATCTCGAGTGAGAAGCACCATTGCTCCTTCAGCATCTTAATCTCTACTACTTTTCAGAGCCCTAGTTTCTAAATGGATTAGCATCAAATGTTCTTTGAGCACTTGTGTCAAAGCTCTATGGTCTCCTTGGGAAAATGAAAAATACAAAGTTCAAAGAGACAATTTTTCCACATGCTCCTTCTGTCTCTTGCCAGCACTCGCAGACCAACTCCTGCCTGCTTTGGACATGAACCTTGGTTAAATTGAGAAAAGGAAAACAGCCTTTGATTAACTGCTGATAGGCCAGTCAGTTAAACACGGCTGGGTGGCAGAAACCTAGAACACTTCCCCCAAAAAAAGGCTGTGAAAGCAAGGGGACAACTGGAACTTTTAAAACAAAGATTACTAGATACTTGTTAATGGACTCGAAGTACAAACGAGGCAGGTCTGAGAGGGTATGCTGAAGTTCTCTAAATTACAAATAGAATTGCCGAACTTGATGATCTGTCCTTCAAAAGAAATGTGTAACACTGAACTTGGAGATGCACATCTTAGTCAGTGGAAATATTTTCCGGGATAGTCACTTGGACTCCAAACTGCTCCGCCAATTTCTTTAATTGTTCTTCAAGAAGAATGTTCCGTTTGACTTCCTGATTGTAATTGAACTTCAAATCCTCAAGTTCTTCAAAAAAGGAAGGGTCAAAGTTCTTCAGTTCCCTTTTCAGCTGCTGTATCTCCTCCTAGAAACCAAAAAAAATCAAATTACCCTCTAAATAACATTAAAAAATGTTTGGGAACATATTCTGATTTACTTGCCATTCTGAAGAGAGTTTTGTGATGTTTCTGAAATTTCCTAGAGATCAGCTAGTACAGACTGATTGACGAAAGATAATGTAATTCCAATGGACATAGCCAGTTTTCTGCTAACAAATCCTTTATACATTCAGTCGCCTACACCCATCAACTCCTACTCCTTAACTAGAGGTACAGGCTGAGTCATTTTGAAGCTTTGACTAATGAGCTGGAGATACTATTTTGAATCCTACTACAGCAACTAGGGATGTTAAATCCAATTGAATATATCTGGAATTAAAAAGCTAGCATTACAGGGTGGGCCATTTAGGAATGAGATGTGGACAGGTTCACCTAGAGAATGGTGAGCCTTTGGAACTCTGGCACAGACAGTGTTGAGGCTAAAAAAAAAATTGAATATTTTCAAGTAGATAGATACAGTTCTTAGGGCTAAAGGCAGGAACTGGTTAATGAGTTGGATGATCACGTGATCATATTGAATGTTGGAGCAGACTCGAAGGGCTGAATGACCTAATCCTGTTCCTATTTTCTATGTTTCTATCACTAGCAGAAGGTGTGAGTAAAAGTTGAGTTATAAGTCCCAATGAGAACCAAAATGATCAGATTCAACCATTGATTGTTGAAGTTCATGTGCAAATACACAACATGCCTGTAAAAATGATGCAGCACAGTAGGAGGCCATTTAGCCCATCCGGTCAATCAGCTCTTTTAAATAGAGGCATCCAATCGGACCCTTTTTTCCCTCACAGCATTAATTTGTTTTCCTTTTCTTATTGTAAATATTTACCTGACACCGTTTTCGAAGTTATTTCCTGAATTTGCTTCTAGCATCCTGAGAAAGTCCATTCTAGATCACAACTTATTATTGTGGGCTGACACTAATCTGATTTAAGAGGTTTAAGCCATGACTCTGAGTGTAAAGTGAACCAGGCAAGACTGCTTACCTGCAATTGTTGTTTCTCTAGGTCTGATGCCTTGAGTTGAGTTTGCAATTCCACTAGTTCTCCGGTCAGTTTGTCCTCGTTACTGCCTAATACATCATTGCAAACTGTAACAGGATTTAAATCAAACAGTAGTAGACTGTTACATTTAATGGAAAATTAAGTATTTTGTGGCAACCAAAGGATATTGTTAAACAAGGCATCCTGTTTAACCTGTAAGTCTATGGTTCTTCAATTCTCAAGTGAATTCCATTTTAGTACCCTCAAATCTGAAATGGAGTCAGTTTCAGCTGACCAATCATTAGGCTTTTCACTCCAGATGTCAATTAGTCTGTGTATCTTAAACCTTGTGAATGAGTAATTTAAATTTTCCACAGCCCAACAAACCTCCGAGATTTCAGTGTTCCTCTTGAGCATCTGAGATTTTAATCACTGTCATTGGCAACCGTGCCTTCAGTTGCCTGGATTCTAAAACGTATTATACATCAAACAAGCTATAGAAATATAAATTGTTGTTCTTTCTAGAATGTTGGCAGGTGTATCCATGATGTGGTGATGGGAGCTGAAAACAGAGACTGCAGAAACACTCACTTCTCTCACCAAGTGCCCAGGCTTGAATGCTGTGCTTTAATTAGGCAGATTCTGGAACTTTGTTTCAGTCTTTACATCCCACTAAAAATGGGACTTAATGTTACAGCCTAACAAATTAGGGCATACCCTTTTGGATAACCAGGCTGGGAGGCTGTTTGTGGTGAGTTCTTCCACGGAAAAGGTAAATGGTGATTAAAAGAATCAACCATTTGATTTATCGTAAAGAAATAATGAAAATCCCTCAAGTTCACTTCCAGGGTAAAGGAATTTGTAGGAATCTTATCTTTATGATAAACCTCCACCAGCACCCAGTAATGGGTGGATGCAATGGGAAAGTTCACCTGGATTATGGAGGCAGTCTAAGGGGGACGTAGCCTTCCCCAGCCCACTCTAGTTAACTTTGGTTCCCCTGTATCCTCTCTGCAGAAGACCACTGCCCTCTCATGCCTGGGGAAAGTAAGTTTTCTTTGGTTGTTCTGTATTCTAAAGTGCATTCCAGTAAACCATCTTGCACATGCTAAATAGAAGCCTAGTTAAGTAAAGATATGGAAATCTTTATTTTGATAATATATTTGTTCAGTAGTGATATGCAGCAGTAAGTGATCTAAATGTGAAATTTGAAAACTGCATGATAAGAGTTACCATTTCTGCTGCTGCCACTGCTGCCTTCTGTTTGCTTCCTGCAGACCCTCAAATGGTGCAGAAGTTCAGCTTTTTCTTTTTCTAATCGGTCATTTGTCAGTCTTTTCAGTTGATTGAAATAAAAGATAGAATTAGAATTTACCGATAAAACATGTTTTAAGTTCTCAAAAATTACCACAAATGAGATTTTTATCTCACACTTGAGTTCTGCTCATTACTATGGGGCTGTTAGAGATGGAAAATAACCTTAACGCCAGTTACGAAGCTGCAGTCTGAAATTTACAAGCAGGTACAATCTCATTCAGACTTAGCTTGGTTAGCTATAGCTACAATTATCTGCATTTTTCAGTTCAGAGCAATAATCCTGAAAGGAACAGGCCAGTCTAGTAACAGAATGCCATAACTAGACTCTGGACTACCCTTGAGCAATGACATAGGTGCTCAAGTAGCCTGTAGAAAGATGTTGAGCTGGATATAGGAATCCAGTTTAATACCATGTACAGTTTGTACACTTTTTACATTAAAATCATGGCCACTTCCCAAGTTAAATGCCCTTTTACATAAGTTTATACCTTAATAACTGAAGTTCTCTGGTCAGGCCCGGCTCTGTTTTAGCTTCTTCAGGGAAATGCTTAAGAACTTCAACCTGCAACAGAGAAACAAAATGCAACATCAATCAAAATGGTCCTGTTAATGACTTTTACACGTCTTATGATTATAATTATATTAATATGAATTAAGGGAATAGGTAGTTGGTAATTTGTTGACATACTTGGAGCTTTAAAACTTGCATTCGTTTCTGAAACATGAATAACTGGCTGATTAGAACAGGAATCAGAACCCTACCTGTATTCTCACACATTCACATCCTCATAACCGACTTAAGTAATCCATACTGTCAGTACTAGATTCAGTTAATTTTCTAGATAGTGCATTGCTGAAGATGTGAAATGTTTAAACATTTCCATTACTAATATTGTCCAGAAAACTTTTAATTGATCTCTACAATATTAACTGTTATGATGTCTCGTCATCTTCTCTCCCCTGTTGAAAGAATTAATTCTGTTTCTCAGAAAGTTGTCAGCCACGTCTAAGTGTCAATGGGCTGTTCGATTAGGGAGGCAGCAAAGAACTGACAGTGGGAAGGAAGAGAACCAGAAACGGTTGGAGCAGTGAAATTTCTCTGCAGTAGTCTTTAGTTTCAACTCAATAAAATAGACAATAACCATTCACTAGCTCAATACTCAGGACCATGTCCCAACAAATCAGAGTCAATGTGTCTGTTTTAAAATTTAATAAATTTAACTGTTAGTATCATTAAATGGTAGGCACTCCCTGGCAACACTTCTACCAATCAGAGTTTGTTTTCCAACTGATTAACACTCTCATACAGTATAAATGTTGGTTTTCCCCTTGAATTGGTAGACGAGAAACTTGAATAGACAAAATAAAGTTAATTCATCCTTTACATTTGTCGAAGGAGCACACTGACATTAGATTTGCATAGAGGAATTTAATAATGGTACATTATGGCAGGGAATTAGATAAAGACATGAAGCGTAGGAAACTGCAGGGCTATAAGGAAAGAGTAGGAGGTGGGACTAAAGAATAACTTGCAAAAAGCGGTCATCGCTACTTCAGGCCAAATAGCTCAGAGATAGTAAGAATTGCCGATGCTGGAGTCAGAGATAACATAGTGTGGAACTGGAGGAACACAGCAGGCCAGGCAGCATCAGAGGAGCAGGAAAGTTGATGTTTCGGGTTGGGGCACACTGTGTTATCTCAGGCCAAACAGCCTCCTTTTGCCTTCTAAGATTCTATGCATTCACACGTGACCAGAATGATACCACAATTCTTCTCTCACCTGTTCCTCCAGTTCTCCTATTTGTTTTGATAACTTTTGCTCGTTATCAGTCGATTCTCTCAGCAGCTGTCTAAGATCGTTGATGTTTTGGTTCTTTTTTGTAATGTCTGTCTCCATCTCCTTTATCTTACTCTCATACATTCTTTAAAGCATGAAGGAATCAATTACTCTTTGGTCTTTGTAATAATGTAAGAAATTCTCCAATTGCTATTAAAATTGACAAGGCTGAACTTTAAACAAGCCATCCTCGTTATCTAGTTTATTTTGAAATATTTCATTATTGTTGAAATTAACTCGATGTGAAATATGTCAAAAGTAAAACTTCTTCATTTTTAACACCATCTAATTCTAAGGTGTTCAATATAATCAAGATCAGCTCAAAATTCCACTTAAATCATGAGCAGGACTGGGACAGATCATATATCCAGAAACTGGAAATGGAACGGAACTAGGTGTTTAAACTGGATTCTGCCCAATATTTCTGATGCAGCCATTTTTCATTAGCGATCAGCTGTGGGTAAATCTGCTGAATTCCCATTCACATTCCCTTGACATAGCTGGGGGAGTTTCCAGGTTATCCAAGGAATTCTACTCCTTCCACCCTTTTAAGAGGATCTGCAGAGGGCGGAGGGAGTTGGCAGGAGTCCCAGTTCAGGGGAGGGGAGGGGAGTCAGCCAACTTGTGCTGCCAAAGAGTCCGAATGGAGCTGAAAATTCTTCGCTGTCCCTTGTACTTCAGTCCAGGAGGAAACTCATGGTTACTTAACATAGTGGTTAAGGAAACTTCATCTCTTGAATGCTTAGTTTTATGTTCCCTGACAGTCTCTACCCGCCTACCACAACATGCCAACAATCTTAACTGTGAGATGAGACTGAGGTTTTTAAAAGAAGGTTTTCACAGGATATAGACGTTGCTGACTAGGCAGAACTTGATGTGCCTCCTTAATTGCCCTTGAGAAGGTAGTGGTGAGCTGCCTTCTTGAACTGCTGCAGTCCTTGGGAAATAGGTACATCCAAGTGCTATGTGGATGGTGTTCCAGGACTTAGACCCAAGTACTGCATGGGTCTGTATACTCATTGGAATTCAGAAGAATGAGGGGAGATCTTATAGAAACATCTAAGATTATGAAGGGAATAGATAAGGTGGAGGCAGGGAGGTTGTTTCCGCTAGCAGTTGAAACTAGGACTAGAGGGCATTGCCTCAAAATAAAGGGAAGCAGATGTAGGACTGAGATCAGGAGGAACTTCTTCGCCCAAAGGCTTGTGAATCTGTGGAATTCCCTGCCCAGTGAAGTGGTTGAAGCTACCTCGCTGAATGTGTTTAAGGCAAGGTTAGATAAATTTTTGAACAGTAAAGGAATTAAGGGTTATGGTGAGTGGGCGGGTAAGTGGAGCTGAGCCTCAAAAAGATCAGCCATGATCTTATTAAATGGCGGGGCAGGCTCGAGAGGCCAGATGGCCTACTCCTGCTCCTAGTTCTTATGTTCTTATGTACACCATAGTGCTACAAATTAGATAGCCAAAGGTCCCTTTTCACCTCACTCATGTAGAGAACTAGCCTTGTTGGAATTTCAGTCCTGCTAAATCTTTTTAATGGGAATGAAATGCATTTCTGGATGTTCCTACATCAACACCCATACCTTTGGGCTCCAATTTTCAACTCCCCATCACCATGTCTAATTCATTTTTGACAGCCTCAATTGAAGTTGCCTCTGTGACACTCTCAGACAGTATATTCTGGATCCTGACCACTAGCTGTGAGAAAAAGCTTCTCCTTTGTATAATTTTTAATTCTTTTACGAATGACTTGAAATCTGTGCTATTTTATTCTCTATCCCTTTCACAAATAAGAACTGTTTCTCCTGATCCACTCTGTTCAGATAAAAATGCATTTGAGCACTTCTGTGGATCTTCTCAGCTCTTTTAGTCCATGGAACAGTTCTCATTTCTCTAATCAAAGTTCCTCAGGCCTGGAGACATGCATGTGAATTTTTTCAGCACCTTCGAGTGTCTTTATATCCAGTCAAACCATTCTGTGTTTTAAGAAACTGTCGCTCTTTTTCTCCCCATTCAATGGTTCTACTATTTAATGTTTTCAAAAATGTTCTTATTAAAAATAACTCCTTACCCCTTTTACTATTTTATTTTAACGAATTTTTAAATTTTAATTTAAAAAAAAAACAATCTGCTGTATTCAAGACCTATGCCCAAAAGATACTTCCTCCTGAAAACTGTAAAGAACCAAGCCATCCTGCACATCCCCTGTTGCTCCCGTCAAAACTTGGCCAAAACTCAGAATTAAATTGGATTACTATGCAAGATCCATGACAGCCAACAATTTGTTTTTTTCCCTACACATTTTGCCAAATGTTCTTAAATTTAAGGGATGTCAAACAGGGAAAGATCTATTGACCCATGCAGCTATGATGTCTTGTGCATGACGATGCAAACCCCAGCCAAGAAATCTCCTGGGAGAGGTAAAAAAGTAAGAACCCCGACCAGTTAAGGGAAAAAGTATATAACTGTAACAAATATTGCCCAAACTTTCAAGATGCTGTTATCAAATTCTCGGTAAGGTTTGCATTTAGTCCCGGCCTCTTGGTTTCTACCGACTGACCATGAGTTTCCTGTCAGCCTGCAAGGTTTCTATGCTTTACGTATGGGAGATTAAAGTGATACCTTGTGACTACAATGGACTTCCAACTTTTGCTGTCTGCGCCCTCAAGTTGTGGACCCCTACTCTCAGCAAAACTTAATCGGTTAGTGGTCTCTTCCAACTGCTGGCTTAGCTTCTCGTTCATAATCTCCAGGTTGCTTTTAGCAATTCGCAGTTTTTCAGTACAGTCACTTTCCTGTCACAGAACAAATATTCAAAAAAAAACAACAAAACCCAACGACATCTTTGGTCAGTTGTGGGTCATCAAAATTGACTTTTAACATTTTCAAGAGAAAAAAATCTGGGCAATCAAAACTAAAAAAAAAACAGCAAAGTCAAGCAGCAACAATGGAGTGAGAAATAGAGCTAATTTTACATTTCAGTGACCTTTCATTTGTTGTGCACCTCAAACATCAGCCAGTAATGATGAGAGATCATTGTCCTGAAATGTTAACTCAGCTTCTCTCTCCATTTGTGGTGAACTGCTTCCTCACGTGCTGAATATTTCCAGCATTTACATTTTCATTTGGTTTTGTCTGGTGTAAATTTTGATTTGCTAGAATACAAATATTATATAAATATAAAACTTCATTTGTGACATGACATGCAAGAAAACCCCATCCTCTCTCCGTAGATGCTGACGGACCTGCTGAAAATTTCCAGTATTTTCTTCTCTTACTATAGAGAAGTGTTCAGCAAGTCCACTTCCACATCAACTAGTGACGAGAGTTGTGTTGAGAAGTGGGAAGAACTAAGCAGAGAGCCGTAGTGTCCCTCCCTCCAAAAGGGGCAAGAGATATTGAAGAGATCCATTGTCTAGCTATGTTCATTGGCATCACCGGAAGGATATTATCACTATCTTGGAATTGGGCCATATGCTAACCTTCTGTTGTTGACGGTGAAAATAAATAAAAGCTAATGTTAAAAACAATGACACTTTTATAGCTAAACTTACAGTAGAGGTGGCTCTCACAATCGACCAAGTGGCTTTACCTTTTTGAGTTCCTTTCGCAATCGCTCATTTTCAGCTAAGATCTTTTCCACACCTTTTGTTTTGGACTCGTGACGTAAGCTCAGTTGGCCACCCACCTGTGATTTTAATTTCTCGAGTTCCGACTGAAACAAAATAAGGCAGTAAGTTGTAGTTTGCTGTTGATGTGAAATTCGATTCTGCTAAATTAGCTAGTGCATGATATGTTAGAATATCTGAATAATTGTAAAGTGATGCACTTAGGCAGCACAAACAAGGCAAGGGAATTCATGACGAATGGTAGGACCCTGGGAAACAAAGAGGATTAGAGAGACATTGGTGTTCATGCACTTTAGTTCCTTCAAGTAGCGGAACAGGTAGATATAGTGGATATATATAGATATATAAAGCAGCATTTGGGATACTTGCCATTAGATGATTGAGATGTTTCTCTTTGAAGGAGGGATCAATGACCAGATTTAAGTTCAGGGACAGAAGATTGAGGGGATGCGAGGAAAATTTTTTTCACTCAGAAAATATTTGGAATCTGGAACTCACTGCCTGGAGGCAGAAACACTCACAACATGCAAAAAGTACTTGGATGTACATTTGCGATACCAAGGTATACATGGCTATGAGCCAAGTGCTGGAAAATGGGATTAGAAAAAGCAACGTGGTTGTTTTTGACCAGTGCATTCTTTCTGTATCCACTCCTTAAAAACTTTCAGAATTTTGAAGGCTTCTCTTAAGTTTATCTCTGGCTTCTTTCTTTCAAGAGGGAAAAGACACGTCTTGTTAATCCCTTACTAGTACAGCAAACTTTGTTTTAACTGGCACCCTATGAACTGACACTTTTAATAAACTGGCAAAAATTATACACCTGAAATACTAGGAGTTTTCTGTATTATCGCGATCTCTGCGATGTTCACATAATTGGTGGAGGGTGAGAGTAAGAGCGCTCTCCGCTGACAAGTTTTAATTAAGGCAAAGATGCATTATTGTTCAAGTGATTTATGCTGTAAATAAAGTATAACAGTGATGTATATAGCCCTGTATTAGGCTTCTATTATTTAGTGTGTGTTTTTACATTTGATTATTGATTTCTTGATCAACCAACACACTCCTGATCCCATAGGTGCTGGTTAATAGAAAGTTTGCTGTATTTATACCGACATATTCCTAGTATCATACTTCTCTGCAGTGTCTCCTTTATATCCTTTTTGTAATCTGATAACCACAACCGCATGCTGTAATCTAAGTGTGGTCTATAATGTCTCTCTTCAAGCTTTTGGTCTCAGCCAAAGCCATGAGAGCTGTCTTATCACCTTTTAAAAAGTTCTGGCAGTAAGTTTTACCTCCACTACCCAGCAGTGAGGGAACTATTTCTACAAGTACTACAGACTATTGTTTATTAATAAATTTAATAGAGAAGAAGAGCTTGTAATGTTGACTCAAACCTTAAGCTTATCATTTTCCATTTCAAGGCAGGCTTGTTTCTCACTGGAGATCACTCCTGGAGCCTTCTTCAGCTCTTCATTCTCTCGCTGTATTCTTTCCACCACTTTCTTCATCAAACCAATTGTTTTCTCCAGCTCAGGCACTGTCTTGCCACTGCGCCCAGACTGTCAAACATTTGTTAGTAGTTAACAACTGTCTACAGCGGCTGGTGATTGAGTTCAATAATGGAACTCTTCAAATTATTAACAGAGATTTCAAAGCAGAAATAATCTTCTTCCCAGAACTGCCAAACCCTGAAGAAACACTTGTCTTTAAGAAAACGTTACACACACACATTAGAATCTTATCTTCAACAACTCAAACTTCAGGGATTGATCTCACTACAGAATGTTTTTAAGAAAAAAACATACACTTACATAGCCCCTTTCATTCCCTTAATATGTGAGAAGTTCTCATTATGCGCTGTCGGCACTGTTGCAGTACAGAATACACAAACATGGCTGATGACTGGTGCACAGCAAGAGCCCAAAAAGAGTAATGAAGTCATTAACAGTTTTGGTTAACGTTACTCAAGGAATACATCTTATCCATGATGCTGGGAGACCCCTATGCGCTTGTTCAAATAATGCTAGGGAATTATGATATTAAACTGAAAGAGATCACCCTCTATAATGCAGCATTCTTGCTAAACTGCAATGAAGTTTCAGCATTGTTTATGCACTCAAATTCCTAATGTTTCAGTTATGCTGTATTGAGAATTGGCCAATAAATATTTATAAAGAGATCACAATAGGTCTATTGTTGCCCAGGATCTTTTTAAAAATTTCACGTACCCAGAGATCCCTGTATAAAGCCTACAAATACAATGATAGCTTACTTCAGTTTGACATATCGGTGAGGACCAAGGGATGCATATTTGAACTATGCAAAAGTTTGAACAGAGGAATAGACTGGACCAATGAGCAGTCCTTTTGTTCTTGGGGAGTAGTAGCTGGAATGGTAGGTGCTGATTATCTTACAAGAGGAAACAAGGTCGTAGACAGCAACAAATAGGTTCACCAGGACGTTGCCTGGGATGGAGAAATTGAGCCATGAGGAGACTAGACAGGCTTGGATATTTTTTAGAGCAGAGAAGATTGAGGGGGGACATGACTGAGGTGTATAAAATTATGAAGGGTGTGAACAGGGTGAATAGAGGGCAGCTGTTTCCCTTGGTTGAGGGCTCAGTCACGAAAGGACATAGTTTTAGGGTAAGGGGCAGGAGATTTACAGGAGATTTGGGAAAAATATTTTTCACTCAGCAGGTGGTGGGAATCTGGAATGCACTGCCAGGGAAGGTAGTGGAGGCCGAAACCTTAGAACCTTTAAAAAATATTTCGATGAGCACTTCAAATTTCATAACATTCAAGGATATGGGACAACTGCAGGAAATTGGGATTAATGCACCTTTAGGGGTAGTCGGTTCACAGTCGATGGGCCGAAGGGCCTTTTCTGCGTTGTATGATTCTGTGAATGCAAGGGCAATGGACACATAAATAGCATATAGTTCATCTGATCTCTTAAATTAGTTTTGATGTGAGGGGATCAGAGAGGAAATTTTTTTGGTCCTAAGTTTCACAGGAGGTTGAATTCTCTAAGTCATAATGTTCTAAACGTATTAGTGCAGGGCAACCCAATGGAGCAGTTGATCATTTCCTGCTGGTATGTTCTCATGTACTTCTGTAATAACACACAGGGGATATATTTTCAAATACTTTTAATTGACGTGATTTAAATAATGCAGACAATCTGTAGTATGGTTTGCCCAGCAAAACCCACCAGATAAATGAAATCACACATGCTGCCTTTTCTACAGCAATGGAAGAATCAATGGCCCAATTACAACGTTCCCTCAATGTTCTCATTTGAAAAAGTTGCATTCATCTAGATTTACATGTAACAGAATAATCTAAATCCTGATCTGTTCCTCACTCACATTCATTGCAAATGCCTTCCTTAAAAATTTATTTACTCGCATGGAGATGATCTACACCACTTTTCTTTCATTAGACTATTCTGGTAAATAATGTTAACAGTACAGAATAATTCAAAGAACTTGAAGCAACTGTAGAGATTAAGTATTTTTGTGAAGTTTTACTGTATTAGACATGTGACTATTTCTGTATCCTTCTACAAATATAAATAGCTATTAGAATTGATTTCTAAAGTAAGTGTAGTTGGGATCAGTTACCTGTTGGGAATCTGGAAGACAGTTAAATTTGTCAGCACCAAGAATTTATCCTTTATCAGCAGGGCAACATGCACTTGTAAATGTATCAAATAGCAAATGATGGATTTTGCTGAGAGGAATGAGCTGAAGTAATATAAACAAAATAGTACAACTTTGAAGTGGGGGCATGAAAATGGAGACTTTTGGGGAGGAGAAACTGTATGAACTCAATTCACCTTGGCTTGATTTGCAGGAGCTCGGATTACTAAGGAAGAAAAAGTTACGCTAACCTTGATGAAACATTGTTTTGGTATCACCTGGAGTTTGGGAATGATGTCAAAGCTTTGGAAAAGGTGCAGAGAATTGTGAGAATGCTACTAGGGGTGAAGAACCTATTATGTGAAGAATAAATCAATATGCTCAAAACTATAAGGAACTTTGATTGAGTAGGTCAGTTGGCAGGTCAGAAGATGCATTTAAGGTAACTGGTAAAACTACCAACTGGGAGAGGAGGACAATTTTTAAGAGTTTTATGATCTGGAATGCACTGTCTGAAAGAACAGAAGCAGATTCAATAGTAAATTTAATTCAAGAATTAATTATATCTTTGAGAAGGAAATATTAAAACAGCTGGGCAGGAAAGAAGAGGGGTGAATGGATAAATTAGATTGGACCTTCAAAGAGCTGGCCCAGCTATGATGGGCTGAACGGTCATCTTTAGGGCTTCATGATTCTGTGATTTATTTCAAGAACTTACAGATCCCCTTGAATGAAACAAAGGTGATTTTTTTTAGGACAGTGCAGACCCACTACCCTGTAGTTAGTAAACACGAGTGCTGAAAGCACAGTATCTCACTTACCCCTCGCATGTTTCCAAGTTTTCTTTCCAATTCTGCTTTCTCTTTTTTGAGAAGTTGATACATTTCCTGCAAATTAACGATTTGATCCTGAGAAAAGGTATAAGAAACAAGCAACACAAATTAAACCAGATGATACAAAAACAGCAGAAAACTTAATCCTTTGTAAAGAATCACATTTTTGAAATATGTGTTGCATAAAATGTAAGATAACAAGGTGTAGAGCTGGATGAACACAGCAGGCCAAGCAGCATCAGAGCAGCAGGAAAGCTGACGTTTTGGGCATAGACCCTTCTTCAGAAAATGTACCATGTTTTACTTTTGCAGCTCAAGGCTCAAAAGGTAGAACCGTGTAATGTTCACCTATTGGTTACATAAGGTCATGTAACTTCTACATAAGCTGAAATTGATGTTTTTGAAAGACAAGCTGGCATGGTGCTTTTGGGCTGAAAAGCTACCTCACAACAGCTGTTGGATTTTTAAGTTAGCTTGTCACAGTTCTGAGAAGGGGCTAGTTTATTTTAGACCTCTGGAAAGCCTGCAAGCAGAGACAGGGCTCTCCCTTTCTCATCCAGTGTGAGTGGAAAAATACCACCACTCAAAGACTTTAGAAAAAACTTCTAACTCAAGCAAGACTTAGGTCCAACTGACCAGCTACAGATTGAGGATCTAGTATTTCATTGGGGTCATTGAAAACATCACATAATTGCCAAAAAACATCCTTGAGGTTTGTACTCTTGATCCACAGAATTAGTTATTTTTGCCAGTGTTCTACCCATGTTATTTCTTGCACAGCTGTCTGTTTTTGGATTTAAAGGGGATCTTTTCAGTTTTAGTTCAAATGCATTTTGCAGCATGTTAAAAGATAAGTTTGATTATAATAAGTAAGTTTTATTTGGTTATTGACAAAACCTGGTGTCTGTTTCTTTTGTCCTAATTAGTAGTCAATGTCAGGCAAACTAATCACTTAGTGATTCAATCGGTTATTTATTTATTTGTGAGGGACTGTGGACTAGTGAGGCACACTGTTCTCAGCAAGACCATGATAAATCTGATCCTTCTGGTAATACAATGTTAAGAAATACAAAAGATCTTAAACTCATTTCTGTGGTTGCATATTGGAAGTAATTTTAAAAGCCTCAGCGCTAATTCCACATTTCTTATTGTGAATTTTTAAATTCTTCGTTCATGAGAATTGGGCATCATTTGAGGGGTAATTTTTGTCGCATGTCCCTAATTGCCTTGGAACTTACGAGGCTATTTCAGAGGGAAGTTAAGAATCAAGCACATTGCAGCAGTCTGGAATCACATTCTGGGCAGATTAGATAAGGATGGCAGATTTCCATCCATTTTGCAAAGAACATTTGTGAATCATATGAGTTTTTGAAACGATGATACATGTGGTCCTTAATGAGTACTTTGTATCGGTATTCACAAAGGAGAAGGATGTGGAGGATGGTAAGATTAGAGAAGGGTACGTTGATATTGTGGGGTATGTTAGTATTAAGGAGGTGGTGCCTTGAAAATCATTAAGGTTAATAAGTCTCCAGAGTCTGACAGAATCTATCCCAGGAACTGAAGGAGGTAAGGGAGGATATTGCTGGGGCTTTGACAGGCATCTTTGTATTCTCCTTAGCCACAGATAAGGTCCCAGAAGACTGGAGAAGAGCCAATGTTGTTCCTTTGTTTAAGAAGGGCAACAGGGATAATCCAGGAAATTATAGGCCAGTGTGCTTTACATCAATGATGAGAATATTATTGGAGAAGATTCTTTGTATCAGGATTTGCTCGCATTTGGAGAAGAGTGGACTTATTAGGGATAGTATGGCTTTTTGTGGGGAGGTTTTGTCTTACAAACTTGACGGAGTTTTTCGAGGAAGCAACAAAAATGATTGAGAGGGGTAGGGGAGTGGATGTTGTCTACATGGACTTTACTAAAGCATTTGACAAGATCCCTCATGATAGGCTGGTCCAGAAGATTAAGTTATATGGGATGTATGGTGAGTTCATAATTTGTATATAACGTTGGCTTGGTCAGAGAGGACAGAAGGTAGTTGTGGAGAGGTACTTTTCTGACCGGGGGTCTGTGACCAGAGGTGTTCTGCAAAGATCAGTACTGGGACATTTGTTGTTTATTATTTATATAAATAATTTGGATGAAAATGTAGGTGGTCTGATTAGTAAGCTTGCAGATGACATGAAAGTTGGTGGAGTTGTAGTTCGTGAGCATGGTTATGGAAGGATACAGCAGGATAAAAATGTTTACAAAAAAAAATTGGGCAGACAAATGGCAGATGGAGTTTAATCCAGACAAGTGTGAAGTGATGCATTTTGGGAAGTCAAATGCAAGAGCGAAGTACAGAGTGAACAGCAGGGCCCTTAGGAGTATTGACATACAGAGGGATCTTGCGTTGCAAGTCCATAGCTCCCAAAAATGGCAACACAACTGGATAATAAAGAAGGCAAATGGCACGCTTGCCTTCATTGGTCAAGGCATTGAGTATAAAAGTTGGCTAGTCACATTACATCTGTTTAAGAGTTTAGTTAGGCCTCATTTGGAATATTGGGTGTAGTTCTATTGGGTGCACACTATTGGAAAGATGTAGAGGCTTTGGAGAGGGTGCAAAAGAGGTTCACCAGGAATGTTGTCTGGATTGCAGTGTATTAGCTATAAGGAGAGATTGGACAAACTTGGACTGTTTTCACTAGAGTGTTGGAGACTGAGGGACAACCTGATAGAAGTATATAGAATTATGAGAAGCATGGATAGGGTGGATATTTGAAGTCTTTATTCCAGGGCAGAAATCTCAAATACTAGGGAGCATAGGTTTATGGTGAGAGGTAAAAGTTTAAAGGAGATGTGTGGGGCATGTTTTTTAAACAGAGGGTGGTAAATGGCTGGAATGTGCTGTCAGGGAAGGTGATAGAAGCAGATACATTAGCAAAGTTTAAGAGGCATTTAGACAGAAATGTGAACAGCCAGGTAATACAGTGATACGGACCATGTGCAGGCAGATGGGATTAGTTTAGAATGGCATCATGGTTGGCACAGAAATGATAGGCTAAAAGCTATGTTCCTGTGTTGCACTGTCCTGTGTTCTATTATAGTTGTCGTGGTCACTATCACTGAAGCTAGCTTTCAATTCCAGCTTTAATTAATGGATTTCAAAGCCTATAGCTGTTGTAGTGATTTTTGAACCCACATTCTGAGTGTGTTAGTGTGGGCCTCTGGATTACTATTTCATTACTGCTAAACCACCATCTCCTCCCAACCCCTTCAAATTATGGATGCTCATGTCCTTAAAGGTGCGCGTGCATTACTTACCTTTAATCGTGGCAAGTCCTTGTCAGCCTGCTCCAGTTGAAAACGCAGCTCCACGCTCTCTGCAGCCAGCCTGAGATTCTCTCTCAGAAGTTCTTGTTCCTTCTGAGCTGAAGCATCAGCTCCCATTCCAGAGGTCTACAGTACACAATAGAACAGTTCTTCAGAAACATCACTTCCCCGACATGCAGTACCACATAGAAGGATTCTTCTAAAGTATAACCTAGATATAAATCTAACAGTAAAGTAATGGATGAATGGAACCATAAGTCAAACTAAGACAGGTGTTTACTTTGAAGGGATACACAGACTGTTCATATTTCAGATTGTTTAGAAACTTTGCTACTAAGCCAAAAAGAAGCATTTACTACTCTAGGTGGGAGAGAGGGTATTCCTTCAGTTACATTTCATGAGTAAATAACCTGGAGTTCTTTTTCAGGGATTCTGTGCGTCTCAGATTCTGTCCCTCCCTGATCTTCTATGGGATCTTCCTCCGTTATCCGTTCAACTTCTCCCCCTGTTGCAGAACTTGGTTCACACTTGCTACTTGTGATCTCTCCATCACTTGCTGAATCCAACAGAGGAGCACTTATTTCCAACTGTCCGATATCATCTCCCAAGTTGTTATCAGATTCTTGCTCTGATTTTTCTTTTTCAGCTGCCTGGCCTATTTCTGCCCTTTCTTTCATAGAGGGCTGTTCTCCATTTACATAACCTCCATCTGCGGTAGAACCTGTCTGATTTGCCGAAGGCTCCTCTGTCTGGATTTCAGTACATACATCCTCTTGTCTCAAACTTGAGTGCATCTTAGTATCATTGGAATGCTTATCATATTTACTGAAAAGGCCAGCAGCTTCTCCAGTCCCATTTGAACATGTATTTTCTTGCTCATTGCAAATTTTAATACTAGTTCTCAAAGCCAATGCTGATTTCTTAAAATACTTCTTCTTTGTTTTAATTTTCACACTTCCATCAGTCCTGAATTCACTAATAGCATCAATGGGTGCAGATCCTTTAGATTCAAAGTCTGCATTGGGATCCAAAGTCTGCATTGAGAACATATATATTGCAAACAAGTAGCAGATAGGTGATATGAAAGACAGACAGATAGCCACACAGAGAGAACAAAAAAAGTTGGTGAAAGATGATATGGAAAAATACAGAGATCATTTCACATTTAGAACATGCAAGAACAGTAAGACAGTACTTCAGAATATCAGCTGCACTTTCTTTAACCAATACTCTGCAATTTGGACTGTTAAAAGTAATACAAAAAACACCCTGTTAAAGTTAACCATCTCTGTGCCACCAATAAGATGACTTTTGTTCAATTATTTTGTTGTTCAACTGACGCAATTATGGAAGGTTAAAAGGTTTGTGTTAGAAATTCAAATGATTGGGCAATTTAAAAAATAAAATCTTTCCTTTATACTTGGAAACCAGAGTCAAAGATTTTGGGATATTAGTGGACAAGGATCAATGTGTTTTGAGACCATTTCTCCCATACTATGCTTTCAGTATACTTGGTTATACTCAATAATGCCTTCTTTCAAATATTCTAAAACAGATGATAAAACAAATAACTGCAGATGCTGGAAATCAGAAACAAAAACAGAAATTGCTGGAGAAATTCAGTGCTGAAAGCAGGCCCTGTCATCACCCAGTTTCACTACTTATGGTCCCCGTTATCAGCTTTTCTTTATTTCTGGCTGACTATCATCCATCCCATTGTCTGTCTGACTGCCAATTTCTCTCTTTGGGCTCCATCTCCACCTATCTGCTCACTCCCATCCCCTCCCACTACCCCCTGTCTTTAGCATATATATCACCTTTTCCTAATTACTATCAGTTCTGAAGAAGGGTCACTGGACTCGAAACGGCAACTCTGCTTTCTCTCCATAGATATTGCCAGACCTGGTGAGCTTCTCCAGCAATTTCTGTTTGTGTTCTGGATGAACAGTGCAGCACTCCAAAAAAAAGACAAAATGTAAATGACTATTCTTCTCAAACAGAAAGCATCATTGAGACTGACTGGATAACTCTTTCAAACAGCTGTAACAGCAGAGGAAAACATCGTGTGTCTGCAGGATTCTACTCTTGATTTCTGCTGGCCATGTGGTTTCTAAAGCATTAAAACAAATACATACTGATGGAATGGAAAGTGCATTTTTTGACAGCTGCTTTTCTAAAGCTTGGACTTTTTCATGCAGATATTGATTTTTCAAAGTTAATTCTTCCACCACTGAATCCCGTGGTAAAGCTTGCTGTTGCCTGAGGTAAAAAGAACAAACAATTTTTGGTTATTACGTGCATCAAATGGATCTTGATTAAGGTGGAATCAAAGATATTTAAACTGCAGCTAAGGCCAGGGTTCTAGAAGGTTGATGAGGTCTATCTCATGCACCGGTCAAACACAAGTAGGGAAGCCGCCTTGACAGTTTGGTGGGCGAGACCCGCAGAATGAGGTGCCATTCAGACAATTAAGCAGCCAACATTGGGTCTCCTCTGTGATTGAGGTCTCCCGCAGCGTAAGCAAAGAGCTGCCGACTAATCAGCAGTCAGCAGCTCTTCAAGACACCACTGCTAGTGGGAGGGTGGCAACTGGCATTAACCAGAGGCTGGGGTCCCCAGAACAAAGGGCAAGATGGGAATTGTTGGCTATGGATCACAGTTGGGCAACAACAGGTCAGAGACAATTGCAGAGAAATGGTTTCATTGCAACCACACCCAATCCAGTGCCAAGCCCCTTGAACAAGCACAGAGCGCAAGACCTCGAGACACCTCACCCATGAGGTGATTGGTAAACTTGATAGGGTTTACTGGTTGGAATTCCTAGGGCAAGGGAAAGCCACATGACTATGATTTAATTCCTGAGCCACCGCTAAATTGTGGTGGATTGACAGATAATGAGTGTTAATTAACTCATTAATAAGCCTAACTAACATTCTGATGCCACAAATTCCACCAAAGAACTGTGGAGGCTGGAAATCAGAAACCAAGACACAGCAGGTCTGGCAGCATCTGGGAAGAGAAAGCAGTGTTAATGTTTAGAGTTTAGTGACCCTTCTTCAAAATAGTTCTGCCAGATTCTGCCAATTTCACAAATTCCATGCCAGCCCCTTTCACTCTCAGACTTAAATTGGGGGAAAACAAGGCGTAGAGCTGGATGAACACAGCAGGCCAAAGCAGCATCATAGGAGCAGGAAGGCTGACGTTTCGGGCCTAGACCCTTCATCAGAAAAGGGGGAGGGGAAGGGGGTTCTGAAATAAATAGGGAGAGAGGGGGAGAGCGGATAGAAGATGGATAAAGGAGAAGATAGGTGGAGAGGAGACAGACAGGTCAAAGAGGCCGAGATGGAGCCAGTAAAGGTGAGTGTAGGTGGGGAGTTAGGGAGGGGATAGGTCAGTCCATGGAGGACGGACAGGTCAAGGGGATGAGGTTAGTAGGTAGGAGATGGGGGTGCGGCTTGATGTGGGAGGAGGGGATAGGTGGGAGGAAGAACAGGTTAGGGAGGCGGGGACGAGCTGGGCTGGTTTTGGGCTGCGGTAGGGGGAGGGGAGATTTTGAAGCTTGTGAAATCCACATTGATACCATTGGGCTGCAGTTCCTACTATCTCTTAATCGGGGGAAATATGCCCAGCACCAGGAAATGGAAAAAACCTCTCCCACAAGGAAGTGCGCATGATCACCATGTATCCCATTGCAATAATTTGCATTTAATCCAGCCTGACATCTTCTTTCACCTAAAGACAGTATTGCTCTGAAAAGAACAGGATACATTCAGACTTGGAAGTAACAGTCTGCCACACAACTGCCCATAAGTAATCATTCTCAACAAGAGAGAATCTAACCATCACCCTGATTTTCAATGCAATTATCATTGTTGAATCCCTTATCATTGGCATCAAATGACCAAAACCTTAATCGCACAATCCATATAAATACTGTAGCTACAAGAGCCACAATGATGCTGGCACTTCTGCAGCAAGCAACTCATCACCTGATTCTCCAAAACATGTCCATGTACAAGGCATAAGTCAGGAATGTGATGAAATACTTTCCAACTTGCCTGGATGAATGCAGCTCCAACAACACTCCGGAAGTTCATAATCATTCAGAGCAAAGCAGCCCTCTTAACTGGTATCCCATTCACCGCCTCAAACATTCACTCTATAGTGGTAACACGATGTGCCACCTCCAAGGTGCACTGCGGCAACCCACCAAGGCTCCTGTGATAGCACCTTCTAAATCCATGATCTCTACCATTGAGAAATCAATGGGAGCAGATACAAGTGAACATAACCACCTCAAAGTTCTCCAAAGTCCTCCAACACATCAGCCCGCCTTGGAACTATACTGCTTTTCCTTCACTGTCACTGGGTCATAAACCTGGAACTCCCTAGCTTGTATCTACACCACAGACCATAGCAGTTCAAGAAGGTGGCTTAACTCCACTTTATCAAGGGCAATTAGGAATGAGCAATAAATGCTGGCCTTGCCATCAATGCCTGCATTCCACGAAAGAATAAAAGAATGTTGCATGTCCTTATTTCTAGGAGTAGGAATATGAACATAATGAGATTGGGTCCACTCCTTGGGATTCTTCCTGAACCCTAACTGCTTGGAGTCTGCTACGAGGAGCATTTGTGCAGCCTGGACCCACTTCTTCTACTTCAGTCCTCTCCCATCTCAAACTTGCAATGAATGGTTCTCCTAGAAAACACTCAGATACATTTAAATAAGAATACTTTCTTAAGTACCACCCATCTCCCTAATGATGCTCTGTACTGTCCCTAATCTAATCTTTAGGGTCAACTGAATGCTTTTAAACTAATTTAGCTCCAACTCTCTCAGGATTGCAATTACTTTGCAGTCACCACTTCTCCAGCTCAGTAGGCTCTTTTTATAGCTGCTAACCACCTAAAGAAGCATGACCTCAAACCTTTATGTGTAACAGACTTCCATTTGCTTCAATTGTATTTATCTTATTTCTTACACTTAAACTTTAATTCCCAAACCCCAAACCAAAACATTTCATTAAAACACGGGAACTGTAAACTGAATATTTGCAACAATAATTTTAAAGCAATCTGTCTCATTACCCACCTCATTCTCACAATCTGGTCTTGAAGGTCTGTATTCTTTCTCCTTAAATCTTCAATCTCTCGATCGCATTCCATGGTTCTGACACCTATTACCTGGTCAGCTGTAATTCCACGAGCTTTCAGTTTCTTCTGTAAAATTGCCTTTTCCTGATCAGCCCTGCCAGGGAACACAAGTTTAATATCCTCACATTAATAAAGACCATGTATGGGGGCACTATCAGCTTCCAAAACTAACTTCCTGCAGTATTTTTGAACATGCTTTTCTCTTACCATTTCCTAATCCTTTTTTAAAATGTAAACTGTCACAACATGGCGTATGTCATGAGCAGTAGATAGCTCTGTAGAGTACATTGCTGAATTCTCCCTATTATCACCATCTATTTAGACATATATACTTTTTCAGCCGACTGGAGATAACACAATTGGAAATCTAAACAATTATTTCTCCGAATCAGCTTCTTTTAGTTATTAAAAAAATTAACGCCATTTAACGATGCTTGTGTTAGATGGTGCCACTTTAAAAAAATTTCTAGGTTATAATGAAACAATATTAGAAATGTACAGGAAACTGTGGAACTATGAATTTAAAAACTATAAAACTTGAATTTCAATTAAAAATTTAATCTGCAAAGAAAATTAACATATGTCTACACTTAAATAAACATTAATGTACATTTCTCTTTCATTGAATAGCGTTACTGCAAAACTATCTAGAGATAATCATACATAAAGCAAGTCCCTTCATTCCAAAGGGGTAAGTTGCCCAAGTATAAATTACTAATTAAGAGTTAAGATTGGGTTCATACTAGTTGAGTCAGAATTAAATCAGTATCTGATGCCGTTAACATGAGACTGATTCACAAATATTTTACTGTAAAATCTAACATATAACCGATGTATTCATTTTGACCTCACATACACTAGGACAACAGATTCCCTACAGCTGTAATGCTATATAATCAACAAGGAGACAGACATGAAGCACCAAAGGATATTCATGCATACAGCAGATTTATGAGAAATACCAAATCAAGAAATTAAATATAAAACAAAAAGAGTAAGCAGCACACAGCACATTAAAATGCTAAAACTCTTTATGTTTATTATAATGCTCATGTAGCAGAATAACTCAAGGTGCTTATAAAGGACAAAACAGTAAAGATATGAGTGTAAGGAGGCTTTTAGAAGTCAATGCTGTAAGTGCAAGTCACGGACAGCAAGTATATAGTGACGAAAAGATCAGCCACTGATACAATAGTGGACAGTAGACGTTGGAGCAGAGGCAGAGCAGATGGTGAATGCTGAGATATAAGGAAAGATAGAGGAGCAAGGAGTCATTGCAGCTCATTAACTAGTGGGATGGAGGAGTGCTGGAAGCTTGCAAAGCGATATTCTGAAATTGACTGAGCGTTCTGAAAGATGCAATGGAGGAGGCCTGTAAGGAGAACATTCAACAAAACAATCCTGGACTTGATGAAAACATGGATAATAGCTTTAGCAGCTGAGAGCTGGAAGAAATTACAAATCATTCAGTATTTGTACTGGTGGTGGAAGCAGACAGGTCACACTGGATGGAATCAGCATCAGAAGTAGTTCACTCTCCAATTGTGGATAATGCCACCAAACACAATTTGTTTTTCAAATTGGCAAAACAGACAAGCTGTTCATAAAATTGAGTGGTCATTTTAAAAAAGATGAGCTACTGGCTTATGTGAGAGCATTTCAATGGAGTCAGCCAGTGTAAAACTGGGAGGAGAAGACAACATCGTGCAAAGTACATCTGATTTGTTTAAAAACTTTACAACTTAGTGCATAATAATATTCAGCTGGCGATTATATTTGTTTGGAAATAACAAAGCACTTTATAGCCCAGACCAAATACAGTTAATGCTTCGGTAGTTAAACTTATTGGCAGAAACTGGCTGCTTACATAGTCTGTTTTAATACAAGTGTGCCAGCTAATTCCACAATGCAAGCAAAAAGAGTAATTAGTGGTTATATTAGGATGAGAGAAACAACATGCAAAACAAAAGACTTACTTTGCATATAATTCCTTTAGAGTGGTGATCTGCTTGGTCATAGTTTCCAGCTCCTTCTCCTTTTCTTTCAGTTTATGTTTCACTCCTTCCAATCTGGATTGCCACTTTTTGCCTTCTTCCCACCTCACTATTTCCTCTTTTGAAGTCTGTAGTATAAAGGAGAATGGGCTTGTCATGTAAAATACTGTTGACTTCAGTTGTGGTTTATTGAAATAAAGATTAAAGAGGGGCTCTTTATAGAAGAGTGAAGACTAATAAATTGACTGGAATTTTGTTTAAGATGTAACTAGTAGAATAGATGAAGAACCACCAGTGGGTGCAGTATATTTGGATTTTCAGAAGGCTTTTGATAAGATCCCTCATAAGAGATAAGTTAAAGTACATGGGAAATGGGGTAATATATTGGTATGGATTTGAGAATTGGTTGACAGAGAGGAAACAGAGACTGGTAAGAAATGTTTTTTTTTTTGAACGGCCCCCCAGTGGAATGCCACAAAAATCAGTGCTTCCAGTGATAAATAAATGACCTGGATAAGGGAGCCAAATGCAACATTACCAAGTTAGCTGACGACACAAAACTGAGCACAATTGTGAGTTGTGGGGAGTTTGGAAAGAGGCTTCAAGATGATTTAGAAAGTTGACTGAGTGGGCAAACACAGTGCAGATGCAGTATAACATAGATAAATGTGAAGTTATACACTGGTGTGAAAAACAGAAATGAAGAGTATTCTGATTGTACAATGCTGATGCTAGAATTTCAAATTGAATAGAAGCGGAAATGGCACCTTGGCAAGTCCCACTGTCTACCTTCTTAAGCAATTAAACTTAAAGAAAGGGAAGAAACAGAGTACGACATACAAGCAGTTCGAGTCAAGTTAAGACAGCGAAAAACAAATAAAAAGAAAAGAAAAAGATAGGATTAAGCAAAAGAGAGAGAAAAAGACAGTAAAAGAAAATTTCAATTTAAGAAACCTCTGGGAACAAACTGCTAACATGGTGAGTGAGTCTCCACAATTTTGAATGTTTGCTTTTGGAATGTTCAAGCTGAGTGGTATATTGAGGGGAAAAGGAAATCACACCATTACCACAGCCATCCAGACATAAATTAGCAGTCCTAAACGCCTGTGACGAGATTCATCTGTCTTCGTGGTGCAGACTGAGTAATTTCAGGACATACAACGAGTAAACACATAGCAAGATGATAATGGATTTTATTCAAAATTAATGGTGGAGTGGCAACAATCATCCAGCAACTTCTGTTGAACTGAAACTCACGATATATCTCTTCCTCACCGCAAATTGTTAGGATTTAGACATGCCATACACTAATAATATTGCTTGGGGGAGGGGGGACTTATGGGAGGAGGAGTAGGGAATTTGCTGTTACATTTACAGCAATTTTGGGCAATTTTGTCTGGTGCTGTTCAAATCCAAAGCTAACTAATTGCTTAATAGCTATTTCAATGTAAATTAACATAACCCCGCCAGTGAATATCAACAACAAATGAAAAAGTCACATTACAATACCTGGTCCTTTTCAAAAGAGAAAACAAAACACACCACCTTTTTATGCAACCTCCATTGCAAACTTGGTTAACTAAATTCTACTCTAAACAGATATTTATCACCATCAAAAAGAACTCCAGCAGTAGTGCTTTAATTTTTGTTGATTGTGTATCAAGAGACTCTAGTGGAGAGAGCTGCCATGGCAACATGCCAAAAGGCTACTGGTGCCTATATTAGTCAATCAAACTCTAATCCATTGAAAAAAACTGTTTGAATCTAGTCTTCACATATACGTCTTGCTCAAAATAGAGTTCACTTATTTAATATTGATAATTCAATACTAAGATATTCAATAAAGGTATTAAAATAAGAATCTGTTGAAAATGTTTGCAACAGGTGGATTTGCAACATGATTCTTCGTTTATAATCAAAAGAACTTTCTTGGTTACTGTGTATGGCTCTGCTAAAGAAATAAAAAGAAAGAACTGCATTTATATAGTGCCTTTCACAATAACCAGACAACTCAAAATGCCCTACATCTAATGAAGATGTTTTTGAGTGTAGTCACTGTTGTAGCATAGGTAACATAGCAGCTAATTTGTGCATGGCTAATTTACAAAAACAGAAATGTGATAACAGCCAGATAATGTGATGCTGATCAAAGGATAAATATTGGCCAGGATGCTTGTGGATGACACTTGAGCTCTTCTTCATGGGATCTCTTACATCCACCCAAGAGAAAGATGGGGCCTTGATTTAATGTCTCATCTAAGGAGCAGAAGAGGCCTTCATTGAATGTCTCATCTGAAAGATGACCTCTGACAGTGCAGCACTTTCTCGGGTCTACAGTGGAGTGTCAGCCTAGACTGTTGTGCTCAAATCTTGGAGAGGGACTTAAACCCAAAGCCTTCTCACTCAAAGGCAAGAGAACTATAAACAGAACGCTGACTGACAGACTATGTTAAATCATGAAAGTGTATATGGATTTTTATTTTTGACTGTCCGACAAAGCATTTCTTTGATTAAATGGATACAGGACTATCGGCTGAGATATTTAGAAACTGGTTTCTGTCACATTATTCTGGGTTTCAGTAAGAGGAAAAAGGCATTTCTCAAATATTTATGGAAAGGGAAATAGGAGTAGTTTACACGATATTATTAAGGAGCAAGTTGGAGATTAATTTATATCAAAACGAATTGTCAGGCAAAAAATTCTAAACAATCCAGTTTAAATCATTTGGATCTCAAGTATTTGTGTTTGTTTTGGAGCTTAATCTTTGGTTAAACGAGAAGCTGCAACATCAGATTCAGGCTGTGGAAACTTACCCTGTCCTCTTTCAAAACCTTTCTCTCCATTTGCTCAGATGCCACCTTCTGATCTAGTTCGCATTCCAATCTTCTAACCTTTTTCTGCAGTTCATCTATTGTGCTCTGCTTATTGTCAGTCTCAGTCTTCATCTGTAACATTAGAATTAATTCAAAAAGATTTAAAATTTTGCGATAAACGTATGAACATAAACATTAATACACTGTCTATCTCTCCACATACAGCTAAGCTGTTAACAAAATGTATATGAGATATACTTAATACAGAAAACACTTCTGTAATACAGAACACTTCTGTAAATATACTCATTCAATCGAATGGCCACACAAAATATCAAAAGTTGATTCAATTTTTAGTCAATTTCTCATCAAATACTGTGATGTTTGAGTAGTCAGTTGAGGATGCGTGAGTAGGTTCTTTGCCAGTAAGTTTTACTTAAGGCAAAGTTGCCTTATTATTTAAGCAATGTATGCTGTAAATAAAGGATAACAGTGATGTGTATATCCCCTGCATTACGTTTCTATTACTTTGTGTGTGTTTTTACATTGATTATGCAGACATCTTCATTATCTGGAATATTCCTTGTTCTATAAGTTCCAGATAATAAAACATTTGCAGTATATTAATGAATATCTTCTTAATTCCATCACAAATGTCTTTTCTATTCCAAAGATTGTCCCTGTTTTAGAGATATTGCCACAGTTGCTAACAAAGATATTTTTGGACAATTTGTCAGAACTGAGAAGGTGCCGTGCAATCAACCATATTTCTTGTTGTCCCAATGTTGGAGCAGGCTTTTGAATGAACATAACTTGTAAGTACTTTCTATTCAGTTTTGATATACCAAGTATCATGTCACAATGTTGTTACAGGCTCTATACCAATCTCTTTCCCAATTCCTACGCCCTGTAAGGCAGTACATTCTTTATCTCAGGAAAGATAAAATGTTGCTTAGAAGGGGATGCTAGATTGATTCCTGGATTTGAAGGCTGTCCTATGAGGACAGAGGAAGAAAAATGGGCTGAAATTCTCCGGAGTTCAGAAGAATGAGATGTAATCTAATTGAAATGTATTAAATGCTGACAGTGTTTGGCAGGGTAGGTAGCAAAAAGCTGTTTTCCTTATCTGGAGAGTCCAAAACTAAGGATAATAGATTAGTTGGCAGTCTTTTAGGACTGGAAGACAAAGAATCATCTTCATTCAGGGGGTTGTGGTATTACTCCAGAGAGCTGTGGATACTGAATCAAAAGTATATTGAAAGGCCAAGACTAATAGACTTTTGGGCACAACAGGAATTGAGGGATATGGCAATAGGATAGGAAAGTGGAGCTGATGTAGAAATAATGGTCTATACATTCTAGTCTTGCTCCTTATCACCACCTTTTGTAAAAGTCATGGACAAACAAAAAAACAAACTACTTAAAATAGAGTTAGCAAGAACTGCAGATGCTGGTGTCAGAGATAACACAGTGTGGAGCTGGAGGAACACAGCAGACCAGGCAGCATTAGAGGAGCAGAAAAGTTGACATTTTGGGGCGGGACCCTTCTTCAGAAATGGACTACATCATTATCTGAAGAAGGGTCCCGACCTGAAATGTCAACTTTCCTGCTCCTCTGATGCGGCCTGGCCTGCTGTGTTCCTCCAACTTCACACTACTTAAAATAGAGTAACTGTTTTCTCTAAAAGCAAAGGCACTCTAACTGTACTAAATGGGACAGATTTTGAACAGATCTAGCAGCTTGATACTGGGCATGTATTAGGCACAATGGGCCACAAGAGCAGCAGAATTGCACTCCAACACAATCTACAACCTCACGGTCCAGCATTTCCTCTACCCAAACATTACCATCAAGCCAGGGGATCAACCCTGGTTCAATGGAGACTGCAGGAGGGCATGCCAGCAGCGGCACCCGGTATACCCAAAAATGAGGGGTCAACCTAGTGAAGTTATCAAACAAGACTACTTGTATGTCAAACAGCATAAGCAGCAAGCAACAGACAGGGCTAAGTGATCCCACAATCAACATATCAGATCTAAGCTCTGCAATCCTGCCACATCCAGTCAAGAATGGTGGTGGACAATTAAACAACTCACTGGAGAAGAAGGCTCCACAGATATCCCCAACCTCAATGATGGAAGAGCCCACATCATTGTTGCAAAAGATAAGGCTGAAGCAGTAACAACAATCGTCAGCCAGAATGGATGCCAAATGCACGATCCACCTCAGCCTCCTCCAGTGTTCTCCAGCATCAGAGATGCCAGTTTTCAGCCAATTCAATTCACTCCACATGCTATTAAGAAATGGTTCGAGGCACTGAATACTACAAAGGCAATGGACCCTGACAACATTCTGGCAACAGCACTCAAGAATTCAACTGAGTATGCCATCAAGGAGCCCTAGCAAAACTGGAATCATTGGGAATCAGTGGGCAAACTCTCCACTGGTTGGGAGTCATACCTGGCACATAGGAAGATGGATATGATGGTTGTTAGAGGTCAGTCATCTCAGCTCCAGTACATCTCTGCAGGAGGTCCTCAGGGTAGTGTACTTGACCCAACCATCTTCAGTTGCTTCATCAATGAACTTCCCTACATCGTAAGGACAGAAGTGGGAATGTTCACTGATGATTGCACAATGTTCAGCACCATTCGTGACTCCTCAGATACTGATGCAATCCACTTTCAAATGCAATAAGACCTGGACAATACCCAAGCTTGGATGACAAGTGACAAATAAAATTCACGCCACACAAATGCCAGGCAATGATCATCTCCAATAAGAAACAATCCAACCACCACCCCTTGACATTCAAGGGTGTTACCATTACTGAATTCCTCCACTAGCAACATTCTAAGGGTTACCACTGAACAGAAACTAGACTTGCCATGTAAATATAGTGGCTACAAGAGCAGGTCGGAAGCTAGGAATACTGCCAGGAATAACTCATCTCCTGACTCCCCAGAGCCTATCCATTATCTACAAAGCACAAGTCAGGACTGTGATGGAACACTCCCCACTACCCTCGATGAGTACAGCCCCAAGAACACTCAAGAAGCATGACACTATCCAGGACAAAACAGGTCACTTGATTGGCACTATATCCACAAGCATCCAATCCCTCCACCACTGATTCTCAGTAGCAGCAGTATATACTATCTACAAGATGCAATGCAGAAATTCACTGAAGATCCTTAGACAGCACCTTCCAAACCTATAGCCATTTCCATCTGGAAGGGCAAGGGTAGCAGATACATGGGAACACCACCACTCGCAAGTTCCCCTCCAAGCCACTCACCATTCAGTCTTGGAAATATATTGCCATTCCTTCATTGTCGCTGGGTCAAAATCCTAGAATTCCCTCCATAAGGGCATTGTGGCTCAACCTATAGCATATAGACTGTAGCAATTCAAGAAGACAGCTTGCCACCTCCTTCTCAGGGGCAACTGGAAAGGACAATAAATGCTGGCCAGCCAGCGATGCCCACATCCCATGAGTGAATGAAAAAAATCACTTGTTTCTTGTTTAAAATATTCAAGTGGATGTGTAAAAAATCTTCACTAAAAACCAAAAGCATGTATTTTCTCCAACAAGATTTTATAGATGTTACCAAAAATGAGTGGAATTGTAAAATTATTCAGAAATACTCATAATCTTAAAGATTGAACTGAGGATTTTTCTAATCAGACAGAATAAAAGATGGGTAAAAATTTGAACCTGCAAGCTGTTGCACAGCCTCTTAATTTTTTTCTTCAGTTCCTCATTCTCTTTCATCAGCTCATCTTTCTCTGCTTGTAATTTGTTCTGAACCCGTTGCTTTTTCTGAAGTTCTCCATTTAAGTTCTCTATTTCGGCTGCTGTGGCCAGTTCCTTGCTCTTACACGCCTTCACACTGTCCTTAGCTGCTGCAAGTTGGTCTGTCAGATCTTCTATACGTGCCTAAAAGCAAAAGAAGTGAGAAATGTTAAACTGGGGGAAAATGTCAAACTGGTGCCATGTACTGTGCTACAAATGCGAATATTGATGATGCCTCTGCCCCTCTGAAGATCTGCTAAAAGCAGAAATAGAAAGGGCTGGAAAAAGCCAGCTGGCCTGTCAATATCTAGGGAGAGAACAGATCAGCTAATTTTTCAGGTGCACATACTTCATTGGAAGAAGCCACAGGTGAACAGTATTTAAAAAGGAACCAAATAAAGAGGACGGGGCAAGTGCTCATGACAGTTTTGACTCTTCAAATATCTGCCCTATCAACTTTCAGTGAAAGGCACTCTTGTGGCACAATGGTAGTGCCCCTAACCCCGGACTGAGAGGCCTGGGTTCAAGTCTCATCTGCTCCAGAGGTGTGGAATAATACCTCTGAACAGATTGATTAGAAAATAGGCTAAATTAAAAGAGGAGGGAAGAAAAAAATACATGTGCGAGAAGGTGCAAATTACTTGGGAGAAAAACAGGAGCTGGTTAAATGGCTGAAATAATAATGGGAAAATTTGGATATTTCTAATGATGTGAACAAAAAATGCGGGGTGGCTGGATACAACATTGCACGGAATATGCAGGGCACAAACAGGTCATTCAGCCCTAAATGCTACACATCAGTATTTAGGCTCCAAATGAGGTTCCACTCTTGCCTCTTTCATTTAATCCAATAGATAGGGTAGAGCCAGGCAAGATGTTTTCCCTGGTTAAGGAGTCTAGAATCAGGGGACACAATTTATTATAAGGGACCTAAGGGGCAACTTTTTCACACAGGGTGTGGTGCATCTACGGAATGAGCTGCCAGAGGAAGTGGTGGAGGCTGGTACAATTAAAACATTTAAAAGGCAGCTGAATTGGTATATGAATAGGAAGGGTTTACAGGGAAAATAGCCAAATGCTGGCAAATAGGACTAGATTAATTTAGGATATCTAGTCGGCATGGATGAGTTGGACCAAAGGGTCTGTTTCCATGCTGTAGAGCTCTATCACTCAAAGGAGGATGTCAGTTCGGGCTGAGATTAGGATAAATCTTGAGAGCATGATGAATCTTTGGAATTCTTTATCCTGAGAGAAATGGAAGCTCAGTTCTTGAAGATATTTAAAGTAGAGTCATAGACCCAGAGACATACAGCACGGAAAAAACCCTTCAGTCCAACTCATCGGTGCCAACCAGACATCCCAATCTGACCATGTCCCATTTGCCAGCATTTGGCCCATATCCCTCTAAACCCTTCCTTTTCATATACCCATCCAGATGTTTTTTTAAATGTTGTAATTGTACCAGCCTCCAACACTTCTTCTGGCAGCTCGTTCCATAAATGTATGATTTTCTGCGTAGAAAATGTACCCCTCAAGTCCTTTTTAAATCTTTGCCCTCTCACCTTAAACCTATGCCCTCTAGTTTTGGACTTCCCCACCCTAGGAAAAAGACCTTGGCTATTCAACCTAACCATGCGCCTTATGATTTTATGAACCTCTATAAGATCAACCCTTAGCCTCTGATGCTCCAGGAAGAAAAGCCCCAGTCTCTTCAGCCTCTCCCTATAAGCTCAAACTTTCCAGTCCTGGCAACGTCCTCATAAATCTTTTCTGCACCCTCTCAAGTTTAATATAGTTTAATAGGCCTCTTATAGAAGGCCAACCAGAATTGTACACAGTATTGCAAAAGTGGCCTCACCAATGTGCTGTAAAGGTTGATACATTTCTAATTAACAATGGTGTAAAGCATTATGGAATAGTATAGGTAAAAGGCATTCGCGTGTTTGATTGCATTAAACAGTGGAGTATGCGTGACGGGTTGAATGGCCTATTCCCATTCCTCTGCTCCTATCAGGATAACCACAATGCTTTTATCTTGGATGCTCTAAAATGCATATGATATTTACCCCCAGTATACTTTGTGTTCGTGAATTCCACATTGCAATTACTTTCAAACTAGAATGCTCTCTCCTCAATTCCCTTTGTGATTTGAGTGTCTACGTTACAATTATGGTCCATAGTTTTGGTCTGCTCCAACATGTGGAAATATCTGGTCTGTATCCACCCCATCAAAACTTTTCATGATATTAAGGCTTACTGATTCAGCTCTCAATCTTCTCTTTTTTACAGAATAGAGGCCTAACCTGTTCAATTCTTTTCTTAATGGTTGTAATCTCTCAGTTCTGAGATTATCTTTGTAAATATCCTTTGGATCTTCTCCAGTGTCTCCTTCTATCCCATTTTTAATAAAACAGAGATCAGAACTCTTTCAGTTATCCAGATGTAGTCTACCCAAGGTTCTAAAAATGCTTAACATAAATATGGGGATTTTCAATTCTATCCCTCTGGAAATGAACCACTAGGTTGTATGCATTAATTTTAAATGACCTTGTTAACGTGTATCACTATTTTGTGACTTTTATATTTTACCTGAAAATCCTTTTAGATTATTTTAAATATCACATTTGGAGTTTTGTCATTGGGTTTAAATGGAAGCAGGAATAAGCTGGTAAAATTGAGTTGGTTCTCATTGTCCAGAAATTAAATAGAAGACAAAATCATAAATACTAGCAGCACATAGTTCTGGTCCAGGATCCACACTCAAAGTTCCAATATCTCCCTCTTGTCTTCTCCCACTCTTTCTCCCCTCCCACTGGCTGGATGTGAGATATCCAACAATATGAACAACTGAACAGGGCATTAGTACTTGTCCTGAATTTCAGTTAATCCAACAAAGGAAATCTGTGTCAAAATGCTTTGAAGCCTGCTTTTTCAGTCGTTCAAGTTGCTGGCTTTCTTTGTTGGAAAGCCTGTATTAAAAATACAAAAACATGTTCCTCAGCAGATACGCAGATACGTACAAAAAAAAATCTGAAGGATTTAAACATGACTCAATTGCTAAAGAATGAAAAACAGTCCAAAGGAGATTGGTAAAACAGCTCACCAGGATGAATGATAATCATGGGCTTGAATTTTAACGACTCACCCTCAGTTCTTTAGTTTGCTTATCAACAATTTGTTGCACGTTGAGGTGTCCTTCCTTTTGTGCAGCCTGGTTTATAATCTGTTGTTCTGCTTGGGATGTCATCTCAGCTCGAAGGTCCAACAGTGCTTTACTCAGAGCCTACAAGGCACAGAATGGGAATCAGAACAGCACGACCCTGACCTTCCCAAAGCTGGTCATTTTAACACAGCTTACTGCTCACATGCCCGCTTGTCTATTCTCTGCACGTTGCAGTGCTACAGTGAACCTTAGCACAAACTGGAAGAACAACATCTCATCTTCAAAGTAGGCACTTTACAGCCTTCTGGACTTAATATTGAGTTCAACTCCCTCAAACTGTGAACCAACTCCCATTTCATCCCTTTCTTTTAACTTTACCTGTTACATTCTCTGTCACCATGTCGTCTCTCTCCCCTCACCCCACCCCAGTGGAAACTGTCTGTTCTTTCAACTCTGGCAGTTAGACACCCCCATTGTTCTGCCATTCTCACACTCCGATCACTTAACTTGAACTATCAACATCTTTTCTCCCCCAGCACTCTACACCCCCACCCCTGCCCCATCCCCCAACTATAGTATAAATGCTGCCCCCTCCACACTTCATGTCAGCTCTGACAGTCATTTAGATTCGAAACATTAGCTTGCTTTCTCTCCCCAGATGCTGCCTGACCTGCTGTGATATCTAGCATTTGTTGTTTTCAGTCAGAGAAAAAGCGTTTACAGGAATAAGATAACGCCTCCAATTGTTAACAGTCTGAACTGACTGTGCCTGAAATCTACAGAAGAGTTTAATTGGAAAAATAGTCACCACTTTTAATATTTTAGGTGGCATATTTGAAATTGCAAATAGTGGGTTATGTTAAATCAAAAATAGTTAAAATTTTAAAAAAAATAAAAGTAGGTTACATTAAAAGGTTATTCCTAAATGAGTAGAAACTATGAAGTACAGTGTAAAACACAACAGTAACAAGCAATAAAGATATCAATATCCGTGCCAACTGTTTATTTACATGCATTTTTGCTTTTCTTTTTATTCATTTTTCGTTATTACCTTTTGCTGCTTCTCTTTCAAGGCAAGTTGACCTTTTAACCTGTCCACTAAATTCTTCATGGTGGTGGTGGGTGCCCTTGTATTCGCTTGTTTCTGATCCTCCAGTTCAGTTTGCAAGTACTGCACCTCCTTCTCCGTCTGCAGCTGGGTGCACCTCAGCTCATCTAGTTCATTGCAAAGTTTCTTTACCTCAGTTGCATGTTTCTCTTCAAGACTTGAAACAAAAGATGACAAAATGTTTAATGTTTCAGTGTATAAACCCATTGCATTTACAGCACAGGCAATCAGTCCAGCTGGTTTGTACTGGTGATGGCACTCCAACTGAGCCTCCTTCTGCCCTGATTTAGTTCACCCTGTTAATATTTCTTCTAGTCCTCTTTCCCCAAGATGTTTATGCAGCTTTTGCTCAAGTGTATCAATCCTATTTGCTTTAATTTCTATCCTAAGTGGTCACAAGTTTCGCATGTAAACACATTTTATGTAAAGAATTTTGATGATCCTTTTGGACTTGGAGTATCTTATGTTCATGACCCCTAGGATTGAATTCCCTTGTATTGTCACTTTTAACATTTTGTCGATCTGTATCCCTTGATCACTTTGTTTCTCTGCCTTACGCTCTTACTTCCCAAGGAATTGGAGACTGATTAAGTTTGCACCTTTACATTGGCAGGAGAACATGACCCAAATCTGTGAGAGTGACATGGTTGTTGCACAATGGAAAATGTACATATTTCACATTCTCAAGATTGTACAGTATTCCATGGGCAATGTCTTATTTTTGAATTGCTATCACTACGTTTAGGTGAGAACCAATTATGTTTGACAAGGGGAGAGTGAAATGAATCCGTTCTTAACCTGTTTGCAGGGAGACCAGGTTTGGGAATTGAATATCCAAGGGTATTATGTTTCTGAAGGATGGGCAGGAAGGAAAAGGAGGCAGTGTAGCTTTGTTGGTAAAGGATGAGATTGGTGATGTAGTGAGAAATGATATCAGCACTGGAGATCAAGACACGGAATCAGTCTGGGTAGAAATAAGAAATAGCAAGGAAAAGAAGTCTCTGGTGGGAGTAATCTTCAGATCCTCAGCAGTAGTCCTACAGTCGGGCACAGTATAAACTAGAAAATACTAGGGGTTTGTAAGAAAGGTACAGCAATTATTGGTGATTTGAATATGCATATAGACTTGATCAATTAAATTGGCAAGGACAGTCTTGAGGGAGAGCTCATTGAGTGTGTTAAGAGATGGAGCAAAATGTTGTGCAAACAACCAGGGAGCAAGCTATCCTGGATTTTATACTGTTTAAGGAGGTGGGATTGGTTAATGTTCTCATAGTAAAGGATTCTCCAGAGAAGAATGATCACAGCATGCTAGAACTTCAAATTCAGTTGGAGGGCAAGAAACTGGAGACCAAACTAGCATTCTAGCATTAAACAAAAGTAATTACATTGGCATGAAGACAGATTTGGCACTGATGGACTGGGCAAAAAAGACTAAAAGGTAGGAGAGTTGATGAACAGTGGCAGATGTTTGAGGAGATGCTCAATTAGAATCAGAGAATCCCTACAATGCAGATAGACGCCATTCAGCCCATTGACACTGCACCAACCCTCCAACGAACATCCCATCCTATCCCTGTAACTCCACATTTACCATAGTTAACCTACCTAGCCTGCATACTATGGGGCAATTTAGCACATCCAATCCACCTAACCTGCACATCTTTGGACTGTGGGAGGAAACTAGAGCAGACCTGGGGAGAATGTGCAAACTCGATAGTCGCCCAAAGCTGTAATCAAATGCAGGTCCCAACTAAAACTATATTCCAGAGAAGAAGAATGAATGTAAAATGGGGAGAAATATCCATGGCTAAGCAAGGAAGTTAAAGATAATATAAAGCCAAAAACTAAGGCATACCATATTACAAAAGTAAGTGGTAGGCAGGTAGATGTAGAAACTTTCAAAGATCATCAAAGGGTTACTAAAACAGTCATAAAAAGAGCAAAGGTCAATTATGAAAGTAAACTACTGAAAAATATAAAAATGAATAGCAATAGCTTCTATAAGTATATACAAAGGAAGACAGTAGCTAAAGTGAATGTTGTCCCTTGGAGGATGAATCTGGGGAATTAATTGTGGGGAACACAGAAATAGTAGAGTCATATAATCAATATTTTCAGATCAATTAGTTTAACATGTATTATTGGGAAATTGTTAGAATCCATTATTATGGAAAATAATAACAAGATATTTGGAAAGTCAAATATAATCCATCAGAATCAGCAGGTTTTACAAAGGGTGAATCATGTTTGACTATTTGCTAGAGTTCTTTGAAGATGTAACAAACAATGTGGATAATAGGGATCCTGTAAATGTAGCATATCTGGACTTCTAGAAGCATTTGATAAGGTACCACACGAAAGGTTAAAGATAACAATAGATCATATGGGGTTAGAGATAATTTTTTAGTTTGGATTGAGGATTGGCTTACAAATGAAAAGCAGAGAGTTGGGATAAATGGGTCTTTTTCTGGTTAGCAAGTTGTAACTAGATGGGGTGCCACAGGGTTCAGTCCTCAGGTCCCAACTATTTTCAATCTACATTCATGACTTGGATGCGGGGATAGAAGGTACTAAAACAGGTGGGAAAGTAAACTGCAATGGATAAATAAAAAATTTACAAGTGAATATTGATAGTTTAGGTGAATGGGCCAAAATTTGTCAAATGAAGTTTAACGTAGATAAGCGTAAGGTTATCCATCTTGGTCGGAGGAATAGAAAGGCAACTTATTATCCAAATGGAAAGAAACTTCAGGTGCTTCTGCGCAGAGGATCATGGTGTCTTCATGATCTAACAGAATGGTGGAACACATTTAAAGCGCTGAACAGCTAACTCAATTCCAAGTTGCTAAATTCAGTATTTATGTCCCCACCATTTAAGCTCTACTCCCACAATGTGAAGGATACAGCAAGAACCACCAAATTTTGATTTGATTCAAAAATTATATGCTGACATTTAAAATTATTTTAAAAGCAATTAAACTAGGTTAAAACATATAAGCAAATTACACAATGCTGGAAATGAGCTACATTTAGTTCATGATCAGAGCTCACTTTGCTTTTTCCATTTTGTGCTCTTTCACTTTCAGCTGATTAATATCTTTCTGTTTCTCTAGTTCCATGGTTGCTCTCTTCAGTTTGTCCACAAGCGCTGACAGTGAGCTGTCCTGTTCTGCCACTGTTTGTTCCAACTCTGCCAGGCGTGCCAGATGCTTGGGTGTTGGAACTGAAAGGGATGGTTTCTCCATCAGCTCCTGTTACAGTAACACAAATGCTTATTGTTCTGTCACTGAATTGCCTACATTCTCCTCTTTTCATTACCCAATTGCTCTTTCCTCTCCGAGAATGCTGAATGACACTTTCAGTCTTTTCAGTTCTCATTTCAGATTTGCAGCCTCTGCACATTTTAAAAAAATAAACAACTTTTCCTTCATTTCAAACAGCACGGCTTATCCTATCATTAGATTCACAGGGTGTGGTCTTTGTACTACATCCTGCAACATCAGCCTTCAGAATTTACGTTAATTATATTTAAATTAAATTAGATTTACATTTAATTAAAGCATGAAAATTTTCTTGACAGGAAGTGGAACAACAACATTCCCCAGACATGCTGGTATTAATAATAATGGCCTGGGAATGAATTTCATTATCTCCTTGTTAAGGCTACTCATGTCAACCATTGTCTCCATGAATACTGTGGAAGAAATGTACAAGTAAGCAACAAAATGAGAGTGATTAACAAGAGAATTTGTGCTGGCAGGGAGTGCAAAATGGGCTGTCAATCAGGTTTGGCATGGAATGCGAGATTCTCATTTAATTGCAAAAGTACACCACTATAATCGTGAAAAGAAAATGCTGCAAGTCAATACAATGCAGGATAGGAGCCAGAGAAGACTGAGTGACTCCACGAACCTGTGCTTCCCACAAGGTGATACAGTCTAGGGACTGGGGTGTGGAAATCATAAATTCAAGGCTACACTGTAGTAGCCCCATGCCTAAGTTTGGCTCCTATATGCAAATGCCTCTTGGAATTCAACCCACTAAGAGCCAATTTCTGAAAAAGCAAATGCTGTCTTTATGGTCAAGGATGCTGCAAGGTTACCCCAGATGAAGGCTGTCTTAACTAATATAGGTGCTCTCTATAGCCTTTAAAAAATATTCAAAAACATATTAATCGAAACATTCAAAAGGGAATTAGATGATTGTTTGAGAAGATGCAATGTATAGAGTTATGGGAAGAAGGAGAATGGTACTAAATGAGCAACCGGTGGGCCAAATGGCATCCGCCTGGGCTGTGACAATTCTGTGACTAAAGTAGAAAACTAATGAATTTACAACAAATTAAGAAACAGCATATGAGATTAAAGTATTACATAAGCACTTAATCATCTTTGCAGAAAAACCAATACAAAGAGTTTAAGTTAAACTAACCATTGCAGATTGTTTAAATTTATTCAGTGATGCATCTGCATATGAATTCAGTTTCAGGTGCAAAACTTTAAGATCCTCCTCATGTTTCTTTGCAATTTCTTCTTGGTCCTGTTAAGTGTTTAAAAAAAAAGCAGGGTAAGTAATCTAGATGCCTTCATTATGTATGAATTCTTGCTCTTGGTTCTCAATCAATGAGGTTTTGGTAAAACAGCAGCTAAGTTTGAGTATTTCCAGCAAAGATTTGATTCTTCTTTCCTGCTTAACCAAAGGACCACAGTAGTTTTTAAAAAGGCAAAGAGACTGTTCAGCCCACTGCTTTTCTTTTTATTAGATTAATGCTACTGCCACATTTTCTCCTCATAATAATGTATCATTTCCTGCATTAAATGCTTATCTCCCCTTGAAAAGGTCTAATGGCCTCATGTCTCAATTACTGCATTTAGTACCATGCAAATAAATGTTTCCCAATATCTCTGCACACACTCTGTAATAATTTAAAATGAGTAATTCTGCCGCATTGGCCCCAAGCGGGGGCAACTGTCTTTTCTTGTTCATGTCTTCAAAATTATTGATAATTTTAATACGCTGTCTGCTCCAGCAAAAATATTCCCAGTATCTCATTGCTCTCCTAATCGCTAAAGACCCAGAGATCGTTCTAAAAATTTCAAATAATTAAAAGCCACATTTCTGACTGTTTATCATCTGTTTCTTAGATGAGATGTTAACTTGAGGTTGCCTCTGTCTTCATGGGTTATGGTCAGTGTTTTGTGTAAGCATTGAGAACATGAGATCACATGATTACCTAGAACATACCATGAAGGCTTATGACAGGCTATCTGCTTTAAGATATTGTACCATACAGTCACAAAAAGAATTTGAAGATCTTTCACATTAAAATGAATAGACTTTAAAGAAAGGGGAGCATTGTTCCTGGCACTGGTTAGAGAGGGCAAATTTTAAACTGATGTCCTGGCCAAAATATATCCCTCAAAAGCATCAACAAAGCAGATTATCTGATCATTATCACATGTTGTTTTTGGGAGCTTGCTGTGTATAAGTTGGCTGCCACATTTCCCATTACAATTGTGACAGCATTTCAAAAAGTTCTTCATTGGTTATAAAGAACTTTGGAATGGCCAAGGATGTGACAGGTCTATATATAATTGAAAGTTTGCTTTTTCTTACACAATGTAATTTCTCTGACCTGGTGTGCTCTTGTCAGCAACTGTTGGTACTTTTGTAGAACTTCCTCCTTCTGATCTAGTCTGGCCTGCAGGTTAGCAATGGTTTGATGAGCTACTTTCAGGGCCTTCCTACTTTCTGTATCATCCTCTGTCTTCTTACTGAGGTCCACCATCAGCTTTTCTCGCTCAGCTGTAGCCGGTAGTCGAAGTCTGAGCTCATTTATTACTTGGTCTCGGGACAGCACATTCTGTTCTGCCTTCCACAGAGATGCCTCCTTCTCTTTAAGTTTCTGTAAAGAGATTAGTTGAACTAATAAATTGTGTGATATTGAACAATTCCAAACTTCTGCCACATTCCTTCAGTTAATGTGCCCTTGTTTTGCTTTGAAAAAGCCAAACCCATTTGTTAGGTGCTGAGGTTTTCAAGTGTTAGTACGGGAGGTGGGGGAGGGGTGGGACTGTTGGGTCCAGCAGCAGTTTGGTGGGGAGTAGGGTCCAGTGGTGTGAGAGTCTTAAAGTTGGATCCCAATATCGGGCTTTGTTCTGACAGTATAAGGGATCTTGGTAAAGTGTACTGGGTGGGGGAAGGGGGCATTGTGGTTAATTTGGGGCGTGGGGGGGTGTCGTGAGGTTAGTTAAATAGTGACTGAGTCTAATTTTTCCTCAGTAACTATTTACTCAACTGCAGTAGACCTCTCCAGATCCTCCAATTTAAATGGATGCTTTCAGTGAGTTCCAGGCGTAAGGGATTGCCCACCAGAATCCACCATGTTGTGGGTTCTGCGGGGCCCCAATATACAACTCCCATCTACACTGCTAAAACGATTATCTGGCCATTGGAAAATCTGGGCCATAGGTACTTCTTCCAGTGTGTATTCCTCTTCATTTTCTAACTAGCTTCATATTTTTTACTTTCTATCACTCACAATATACCAAATAAAATGGGAAAATATATAGGAAGGCCACTCCCCAGTTCAAATCCTACATGCTTACCATCAGTAACAGCATCTTTTTCCACTTTCAAAAAACTGACCACATCCAACCTATGTTAACCTCACCATTGCTGACTGCTTTATACATGATTTCATTACGACAGGACTTATCCTTTCAAATTCCCTTCTCATTTACCTTCTAAATTCCAACCCGCATAAATTCCAATTTATACAAAACTCCCATACTTTCGTCCTGGACCATGTTGAGTGCCATACATGCCATCTTCACTGATTCCGTCTCTCATCACATGAAATTCAAAATGTTTGTCTCAGTCTGGAATAATTAAATTGGAGGAAATTTCTGCTTGTCCAGTATTTAATTTGAATAAGCAGCGTGATGACTTAAGAGATAGTGAAGCAGTCAAGTGAGAGGTGGTGGTATGGTCGAGCTAGGCATCATCAGCATTCATGTGGAAACTATTGTGGTGCTCTTGGTGATGTTGCCATGGATTAGCATATATTTGATAGATAAGGTGTGAAGAACAGAACCTTAGGAATCACCAAGCGAGGGAGACAGGTAGCAAAGTAAACAAGTTTAGGAAGGAAATGTCAGAGTGTTGAATCTGCACCTCACAGTTTTTCCAATAAAATATTAGCACAATCATTTGTGGCATGTCTTATTGACATTTTTAAGTTGCAAACTAATAGTTCTCGACTTTTCCTTTACCTCTTCCAGAGTCCTGCAGGTTGCTTGTGTTTCAAGAATTATGAAGACATGCTCTCTGATCTTTTGCACAGCCACATTCAGCTGCTCTGGAAGTGGTTTATTAGGGTCTGGGATTGAACCAGTTGCTTCCTCAAACTGTCAAAAATGGAATATGATGAGTACAGCTACAAGTACAACACTACACGATTGTAGTCTTAAAGACAGATTTTACCACATTAGAAGCATATTCTATTGTTCAAATGCTCTACCACAATAGAAATATCCAAGTTAAATTTATTCAGATTATTTTTCAGAAAATAAAGGAAATGTGGTGTAAAGCGTTCTAGCTTTTTTATTGCATGAATTACAAGAGGTCAGTATGCTGGTACTGCAAATAATTAAGAATAATAATAGAATATTATACTTTATACATCTGCTCTACCAATTCTTGAAACACATAATGTAAGGATGTTATGCTTCGATTACATAGGAGATTGGTGAGACTGAATCTTGAATACTGCACGCAGTTTTAGTCTCCTTATTTAAAGGAATATGTAAATGGGTTAGAGGCAGTTCTCAGGACGTTTACTAGATTAATACCTGGAATGAACAGGTTGTCCTATGAGGAAAGTTTGAACGAACTACACTTGTTGCTATTAGAGGTTAGAAGAGTGAACGAAAGCGTTCCCTCTAAATTTGTTTCTGGTTGTGTGGGCCTCGGAGATCCGTGGGTGGCAGTGACTTTTGGAACCACAAGTCAATGCTGATTGCCAGGTGCGGAACCTTGAAGCGGCTTTCAGCTTACAGAGAACAGTGGTGAGGAGTGTCTTGAATGAACTGTCAAAGATCCTTAACAGTCCTGGGTTCCTGGCAAAGTGGACATGGAAAGGATGTTCCCTTCTGTGATTGAGTCCAGGGTAGCAGCCATGATTTAAAACCTAGGGATTTCCCTTTCAGACAGAGACGAATTTTTTTTTTCTCTCAGAGGGAATTTCATTTGGCATGCTGCCTCTGAAGGCCATGGAGGTGGGATCATTGAATATTTTTAAGGTGGAGGTAGATTGACCCCTTGCCTAAGAAGAATCTAAGGTTATTGGAGGTAGATGGGAATTCTAAAGATCAGTCATGACCTTGTTGAATGGTGGAGCAGATTTAAGAAACTGAATGGCCTTCCTCTTCTCCTAATTCAGATCTGGCATTGTCCTTTACGTACAAAATTATGAATGGTTTTGACAGAGTAAATGGGAGAAATGTTTCAATTGGAGTTGTTGGTTGGTTTGCCAAGCTGACTGGTTTTCATGCAAATGTTTCATCTTCTTTCTAGGTGACATCGTCAGTGCTGTGTAGCCTCCATTGAAGTGCAATTGTTCTGTCCCACTCTGAATTTATATGGTCCGGTCTGTCCTCGTGAGCAGTCTTGTTTCTGGTTTTGTACTGCAGTTGGATGTAGATAGGGTCTATTTCAACATGTTTGTTAATTGCATCGGCGTTTGAAAACCAGGCCTCCAGGAATTCTCGTGCTTGTCTTTGTCTCACTTGTCCTCGTACTGTAACTTTGTCCTAGTCAAATTGATGTCCTTCTATGTCAGAGCGTATTGAAACGAGGGAGAATTGGTCATGTATGAAAACCAATCAGCTCAGCTCAACCAACAACTCCAACCGCAATCCGAGCTACAGATCTTCGTTAAAATATTGAATGTTTCAATTGCTAGGAGAGTTGATAACCAGCAGAAACAGATTTAAAAGTAATTTTCAAAAGAATGAGGGGTAGATGAAAATTTGTTTTAAGTTGCAAGTGATCTGTAATTTGCTGGCTGCTAGGGTGGTATTAGCAGCTGCAAGAACAACTTTCAAAAGGAAAGGGGAATGTTCTTGGAAAGGAAACATTTGCAAGGCTGAGGAAGGAGCAAGGCAGTGAAGTAACTCTTTCAAAGAAACACCAGGGCATGATGTGCCAAATGGGTGATGTCATTAGAAGTTACATTAAGGTGTTATCCCCTCACTTATAGAACATATTGACCTGATTAATTGAACAATTCATTGCACTATGCACCTCATCTTAAAATTTACATGCATTATCTATAAGCCATAAAACACATCCACCTTTTGAGCTGCACTCAGTATTTCGTTATGTTGATGTTCATACATATCCAACTGATGTTGTAGCTCTAACTCTCTGCGATCCCATGCTATCTGCCGTTCTTCATGGAGCTGTTGGAAGTGGGTAAAGAAATCAAATGGTCAATCTATGGAACAGATTTCCTGAGAAGATGGTGAAAGCAATTAGTATTGATTCATTCAAATGAAAATTAGATTGAATTATTTTGCAAAAATAGCATTTTGAGATATCTTATGAGTAATTTGATTTATGACTGCAGCATCCTTAGGAAGACGGCAACTTTGGGCACTGGTCAGAGAGGTAGAGCGACAACATCAGTTGGATATGGGG